CCTCCTTCCTCACAAAGGCTCCCACCTGGAAGGAAGCAAGAACAACCCGGCTCCATCAGGCCCACCTAGTGCCACAGGGGCCAACCGGAAGCCCGGAAGCAAGCAGGGCCCCAGGGCAAGAGCCCCCTCCTCTCTCAAGGTTTCCAGCACATTCAGGAGGACACGGCCTTTCCCCCCTGCTCCTCTTTCTTCTCAGGCCACCGTTGGACCATCTTGCAGCTGTTGATGGTTCAGGAGGAGGCCAAGTTTCTTCTGGTCAGCTGGGAACCTCCCATCCTCAGGTCCTCAAAGGAGCAAAATAAAGCCCCCACTACTGCTGGCAAGTGCAGAAAAATGAGACCACCACTGCCGGGGGCTTGAAGGGAAGTCATGTTGGGAAGCCCCCTTCTTCAGCTGAGAGAGTGAGGGGCCCCCAAGCATTCCTGGGGGTGGCGGGGAAGGTCTGGTTTCTGCGGCGCAACAGACTCCAGTCTAGTCAAGTGTGTCCAAGGTCACAAGGCAGAACAGGTTTGGGGACAAAATGAACCAGGCCAGGAGGCAGGCAGGCCGGACCCCCCCAACACAGGAGATGCCTTCTGCCAATAAAGGGCACTGCCCGCCCCCTCCAGCCAAGTCACCCCCCTCCGCCCGGCTGCCACCTCTCCCCCAACCAGTGTGTCCCCACCGGGGGAAAGGGTCTCCCATGATGAGGCAGGCCACCTTCCTCCCCACATGCACGCATCTCTCCCCCCCCCCCCCGCCAAGCCAGGCTGCTAGATTGAGGCTGGAAGTGGAGGCGGCAGCGGCGGCAGCAGCAGCAACAGCAGCAATATGCAGGGTAATGAAGCAGGGAGCAGCAATGGCCCCCACAGGACTCGTTTACTCCACAAATCTCCCTTCCACTCACTTTTCGCTAAGAATTTTAACACCAAACTTAATTGTAAAGTCGCGTATTGATTGGAAAATGCAAATGGCAATTTAAATGTAATCTAAGCTCCCAGCATGATCCCGGCTCCCTCCAAGGAGAAGCCACCCGGCCCAGGCAGCCCAGGAAGGGAGAGCGCAGGATGGGATGGGGCCGGAGCAACTGCCCCAGGGGCCGGAGGGGGGGCTGGGGAGGATGGGAACACCCCAGGCAGGACAAGGAGGGAGGTGGTGGGGAGGCCGCTCCCCTCTTGCTCAGCCCCACTGAGGAGCCCAGCTCTCCACCAGTGCAAGCCAGGCACGGAGGGCTGGGCTGGGGGGCTGGCCTGGTAGGGCTTCTTCCGTCCTGCCCAGCTGCCCCTGTGGGCAGGGAACCCTAGACTAGAGGAGCCCTTTGACCTGACTCTCAGGCGGTAGGGGGCCGGAGCCGGCCAGGAGGGTCTGCAGGGAAGCTCTGGGGCTTTGACGCTGCCTGCAGAGGGGCAGCCGTGGGTTGGCCTGAGCCCTTGGCCAACAGGAGCAAACAGTGCTCTTGCGGGAGTCCCACAGGCAACTGTTCAGCCGCAGCAAGAGAGGGCTGTTGGACAGGACGGGCCTCTGGGCTCGCCTTCTCCCGAGTCGCAGTAGGGAGCCTGCTTCTGCCCCCAAGCTCCCAGCTGGGAGGGAGACTTTGCTAAGGAACCCCGGCAAGGCCCTGCAACCCAGCAGGAGACCTCTGGCAAGGGCCCTGGACTGAGTTCACACAGAAGCCCCGGGTGGGGGCAGGTTGAGGGGCCAGGAGTGAGGAGAGCCCTCCCAGCCTTGTGGCCTTGCAGGCGTGCATTTGGGGGGGGGAGGAGAGAGCACCCCAAAATGGCAGCCCAAGTGCTACACAACTCAGTCAGAACTACCAGAATGCCGCACAGAAAGCGGCCCAGCTGCCACGGACAGTGAGCCACAGGAGGGCTGTGTGGCCTGCAGCTCCGCCCAGCTGCTGCCAGTCACCAAGACCAGGAGGGGGCTCAGTCAGCCCCCCGACACAGGACCCCCGAAAGAGAGCGGGGAGCCCCGTGGCTGGCAAGCAGAGCCAGGACAGATAATGCCCTGTCCCCCAAGGCCTCCTGTTGTGAAAGGAGAGAGAAAGGGGCCCAAACCCTTGTGGGGAGTGGGCTGCTGGCGGGTGGGGCCCCCTGAGAAGCCAAGGGCCAAGGGCCGGCATCGAAGTCCTGGGCAAACAGCTTCTCTTTCCCACAAAGGCTGCCTGAACTGCAACACCCTCAGCTGCACCTTTTCCCTTCCTGCCGTTTTTCTCCTTCAGATTCCCCCTCCTCCAGCTGTGTCAGTGACGGAGAAAGGGGTTGGCGGGGGGACGGACGACACTGCCCTAGTCCTGCCCCTGAGACTTCCAGGAGACGTTTTGCACCAAAGCCCCAGAAGGCTCCTCTTCCACAACCAGCAACCGCGACTCCTGTCCACCTTCTTTGAAGCAGGGAGAGATCTCAACTTACCAGGTCCTTTCCCCAAATGGGGCAGACAGCAAGGCAGGGGGCTTCCTCCAGAAGACCTGGCGCTGTCTGGAGGAAATCTCCCTGCAGAGACTCTTGCTGTAGTGGAGATGGCAGCAAAACCACCTTACGGGATTGCGGAGCTCGGTCTCCTCTCGAAGGCGGTCTTACACAGAGAGCCAGCCCAGCACTTGACCGGCTCCTGGGAAGGACGTCCTTTGATGCAGGCCTTCTTCAGCAAGGCCAGCCACCCCGGCCCCTGGAATCTACGTTCAGGGCCAGGGCTCAATGCCAGGAGAGGCTGCCAAGCGCCTCCTCTTGCACCAAAGCTGCAACCAGCCTTTGCATCCTGGCATGACGGGCAAGGCCTGGTCCCCAGCAGCCTTCGGAGATCCATGCTGAATGGTGCCCGCCCCACACTCACTGACCGTTGCACGAGGGCCCAAGCAAGCAACATGGAGTCCCAAAGATGTCGCCAGCCAGCAGATGGTGCTTGGCAGCTCCCCGATGGCACCTTGGAGAGCATGGCAAAGGCCTCCCCTCCTCCCCGCCGCCCAAATGCACACACGTAGGCACACAGAGTAGCCGAACACAGAGCTGGTGACTGCAACACTGGCATGGAGAAACACAATGGGCCTGACAAAGAGATGCTCCTCAGTCGCGGGGAAGGAAAAAGAGTGGGGTGAGCCCCAGGTGCCCCTTCTGCCCGCTCCTCCCCCCCCCGTCTGGCCCTCCCGCCCTCCCTCCAGGGCTGCAGCGATGGGGGAAGAGCGCGAACCTGCTTAATGGGAATGGCCCGCCCGCTGCCGATGGAGTCCGCCTTACACTCCGGGGCCTTCTTCTCCCGCTCGATGTCCGTGCCTTTCCGAGACTGGAAGAGAAGAGACACGGGGCGTTAGATGGGCAGGGAGGGCAGGGCAAGGGAGGCTGCCCCCTGGAGACTCAGGGAAGCCCCCACCTGCTCTCTGCTCCAGCCCCAGGCCAGAGGAGTGGAGGCGCTGCCGTGGCCTCGGCCCCCGCCTGTCCGCCCACCCTGGTCCCCGGGATGGGGTGATAGACGAGAGCAGCATGGGATGGGGTGAGCGTGGATGGAGGAAGCAGCAGCAGCAACAGCAGCAGCAGCAGCAGCAGCAGCAAAAGCACCACCGGAAAAGAAGGCACCAGCCCGACTAATCCAACCGTTTATTTGGTGAACACACGGGCACCATACAAAGTCGCGGATGTCACTGGGCCACCGTCAGCCCCTTACAAAAGAGCTTTGACAATAAACAGCTACTTTACATTTAGAACATGATTCTTGGGGAGAGAAAGAGAGAGAGAGAGAGAGAGAAAGGAGGAGGGCGGGGAGAGGAAGAGCAATAACTCCAGTTCATCATCATCATCATCATCACCACCACCATCAGCTTAATAAATAAACGGATCACTAGATGAAGCTGGAAACCACAGTCTGCTGAGAAGCGGTCCATGGAAGGTGCTGGAGAGACAGTGGAGAGCCTTGCGGGAGTCACGGCGGGGGACGCAAGCGATACATTCAGAACCACAAGAATGGCGGGAGGAGGCAGCCCTCGGCCGGCGTCCGTCCATCTTACAAGCCCTTGCGTTGTCTGTCCATCAACGCAGCCGGCCGCACCAGCCCCTGCGCACTCGGAAGAGGGTCGGAAAGGAGGAGCTGGTGGCGGTGGCGGCAGCCCTCTTGCCCCGCACTCCAACGAGCTCAAAAGAGTGGGCCTCCAAGAGCCATAGTCGTCTGGGGAGGAGGAGGCGGCGGCCGTGGCAGAGAAGGAGGAAGAAGAGCAGGAGGAGGAAGAAGAAGAGGAAGAAGAGGAGGAGGAGGAGAGGAGGAGTCCATGCAGGAGGAAGGAGGGAGCCGGAGAGCAAGTAGCAGGGCGCGACCGGCGGCAAAGCGTCCCGTGGCCCCTCCATCTCCTGGCACTTCCTGGCGGCTCTGTCGGTCTTCCTGTCCCCGGAGGGCCCCTTCTCGGCACGCGGACAGTCCAGCTCGCCCGGCAAAGTCCCGGCTTAGAGGGCAGGCGCAGCAGACTCCCTCCGAGAGACTTTAGAGAGGGGGGGAGGAGGAGGGGCTAAAGACTCCTGCGTGTCTCCGGGAGGAGGGGGACCCAGGCGGCAGGTAGGGCAGGCCGCTAATCTGAGATCACTCCCAGTGCCTGTCCCTGATCCGGCCCTGGAGAGGCAATGAAAAGTGAGAGAATTGGTACTGAGGTGCCTGCTGGGAAACCAACGGGATCTTCTAATTTGGAAGGAGTTGAAAAGGCCTTTTGGTTGATGAAAAGTTGGAAACAGTGGCACATATCTGCAAATATCGAAAGAATAAAGAGTTTGGCATGTTATACTCAGAAAAGGACGTGTGTGCGCGTCTGTCTGTCTGTCTGGGGCACGGCAGGAAGGACACAGAGAATCAGGCCGGCCAGCCCAGAGGTGGGGCAGTGGCGGCGGCAGCAGCGGCAGCAGCAGCAATCAGGCCGAGCAGATGAGAGAGAAGGAAGAGCCAAGGGAGGGAGAGAGGAAGGGAGGGAGGAAAGAAAGGAGGAAGGAAGGGAAGCAGGATTCTGCCTCCACCTGCTGGCCAGAGACACACTGACACCCTCCGTCCTCCTTGGCTGGTGCAGAGAGCAGGAGAGGCAGCCAGGAAGGGGCAGAAGCAGCAGGAGTTGGAGAGGGAGGCAGGGGGAAGCAGCAGCCATGGGAATGAGCTTCTGGGAATGAGGGGTGCACAGGTGAAGACCAAGGAAACAGGGTCCCCTCCCTCCCCCCCACCCCGTGCCCCAACAGCCAAAGAAGCCCCGGCTGCCAGACCCCTCAGGAGCCCCCGTCTGGAGCCCCCCGCGAGTGCCGCCCCCTGGAAGGACCCCCACGTGAGAGCAGCTGTGGGGCAGCAGTTTGTGGATGGACGTGAGCAAGCATGGTGAAGAGAGCAGATCCGCAGGGAGCTCGGGGGGGGGGGGAGACACCAAGCAAGAGGGGTGGTCTCACGGCAAGCCATTCCGAGTGGCAGCAGGGGCAAGCGAGCGAGAGAGCGAGAGAGCGAGCCGGCCAGCGCAGCGCAGCACTCACTCACTCAAAGATCCGCCTGCGAGGAGCAGGGAGGAAGGCAGCAGCCAGCAGGACCAAGCAGGAGCGTCGGGAGGGGGCCGCGTGCAGTGGGGGCAGCAAAGCAAGCAGGAGCAAGGACAGCCAGGGCCCCCGCCGGACCCCCCCAGCCAGCAGCAGCCCCACTTGCAGAGGAAGAGCCGAGACCCAGGAAGGCAGGGTGTGTTTGTGCTTATGCACGGAATTGGCCCAGGGAAGAAGCCCCAGAGACTGGGTCTGGTCAAGTGGGCCGGGGGGGGTGGGCTTGCAAGAGAGAACAGCGGCCATTTGTCTTTGCAAAGGCTGTGCCCCACAGCCCCCGCCCGAGCGCCAGACAGGCAAGCCCCAGCTTCCACATCCTGCCCACCCCCCGGCTGCAGCAGAAGACCTCACAGCCAAGCCAAGGAGCCCCAGCAAGACCCACAGCCTCTCCAGGTGCCCCCACCTCCCTCCCTAGGGGCATGCACTGCTCTGTGGCCCTCGTGGGGCTGGGCGGGGGGGGGGGGGCTGCGCAGCTGCTTCCAGGCCAGGTGATGCCTGCTCTGGGGTTTAGCGTGTTCATGGCTTTTCTCCGATTAGAAATCAGGAAACCTTTGCCTGTGTTCAAAGATACAGATTCTCTACAATGGTCAAGACTTCCAAGACCGGACAGCCTTGGCCCGTGTTGCAAACAGATGATTGAAAAATGGGGAGAGGTCCCGTCTGGGATTTCTCTTTGGAAGGGATAAATATGGGCTGGCCAACCATGCCCCCCCGGCCATTCTTTAAGATGGAAGACCCCTGGGTGCCCTCGGCCCACCAGCCACACCTTCCCTCCCAGGATTTTCCAAAATGCGCCTGAGAGTTCTCAGCAGTATCACAATGAATTTGCTCTTTTGTCTTTATTGCTTTTTGCAGGAAATCTGCACACACACCCTGTGGTATCTGGACTTCTGTAGAAGAACAGAAGCGGGGAGGGAATTGGGCCCTTAAAACTGAGCAGGAAGCAACGAGGGTCCTCGGAATCTCTCCCCAGGGAAGTTCGCCTGGCGCATTCATTAAACACCTTTAGGCACCAGGCAAATACGTTCCTTTTTAACCAGGCCTTTGGTTGGTCCGATTTACATCCTATGCCTTCTTAAAAATGTGGGGGTTTTTTTGGCGGGAGGCCTATTGTGCTGTTGTTTTTATTTTTGTTAGGCATTTTGTGATTTTATATCTTGATTTTAATCTGTGAACCGCCCTGAGGCCCCTGGGTATAGGGCGGTATATCCATTCTAAATAATAATAATAATAATAGGAATCAGAGAGGCAGAAGCCAAAGGCCTTGGGGCAGAGGGAGGGATCCAATTTCTCAAATTCAGTATTTTCTGGACAACCAAGAAAGCTAAAAAAAATGGTCACTCAGGGGAGAGGACAATCCAGAATGACTCTTCATGAAATCTCTGCTCCCCCCTCATGTCTCCACAACGTCACCCTGTAGCTCAATCCTATTCCCAGCAGTGTTTGCAATTTGTCCCGATTTTTAATCATCTGCAAAGTGGATGAGCGTCCCTCCTGTGTCCAAACCATTTGCAAATGTTTGGAACAGGGCAAGACCCACCACGTGGTTCCTTGTGGGGCAACCTTGCTGCATAGCTGTCAACTTTCGGATTTGAAAAGAAGGGATCAGCAGCCTCACCTGTCCCGGGGACAGACTACGGGATAGCTAGCAATCCGGGATAGCAGCGGGAAACGGCGCTGGAATAAGGGAATTTCCCGCAAAAAAAAGGGAAGGTTGACAGCTATGCCTTGGTGTCGCCCCACTTTGCCCCCCGCAGGCAATGAATGGGCTGCTCTGCGCAGGCAGCCCACCCAAAGGAGCCGCCCACCCACCCTCTTCCCATGCGCCCCCCCCCCCCGGACACTCAGGCACTCACTGTGAAGATGTTGGACCGGCGCTTCGACTGCTTGCGGATGGGGGTGGGGGTGTTGGAGGCGGCAATGGTCTCGATCCGCAGCTCTCGCTGGCTGATGCTGGGGGTCGAGGGCACAGAGGAGGAGTAGTCGCTGAAGGCCCCGCTCCCGTTGGCAGCCTGGGGGGGAAGGGGGACACATGAGGCCAGGGGGGTGACACTGGGGGGCCTCCCACACCACCAAACCACCTATCCCACCCCCCAAAAGGGGCTGCCTCCCCCCCCCCCCGCCGCAGCAGAATCAACAAGAACAGCAGACGGTGCTTAAGTGATTTCTAATGGAGGCCTCGCCTTCCTTGGAGGTTTTTAAACAAGGGTTTGGAGCCACTCGCCAGCGATGCTTTATTTGCGATTCCTGCATTGAAGGGAGTTGGACTGGATAATAATAATAATAATAATAATAATAATAATAATAATAATAATTTATTATTTGTACCCCGCCCATCTGGCTGGGTTTCCACAGCCACTCTGGGTGGCTTCCACAAAGACCAAAAATACACTAATATGCCATACATTAAAAACTTCCCTGAACAGGGCTGCCTTAAGATGTCTTCTGAATGTCAGGTAGTTGTTTATCGCTTTGACATCTGATGGGAGGGCGTTCCACAGGGCGGGTGCCACCACCGAGAAGGCCCTCGGAGCTGGACCCCAGTGTCCGGGCAGAACGATGGGGATGGAGACGCTCCTTCACGTCTCCTGGGCCTTTGAGGCCGTTTAGGGCTTTTGAGGTCAGCACCAACACTTTGAATTGTGCTCGGAAAACGTACTGGGAGCCAATGTAGGATGGATGACCCTCAGAGTCCCTTGAAACTCTATTAGTAAGAGCTGGAAAAAAATCACATCTGGCAACCAATTTGCCCCTTGGGTTTCAGATGGATAAAAGGTAAAGGGATCCCTGACTGTTAAGTCCAGTCACGGATGACTCTGGGGTTGCGGCGCTCATCTGGCTTTACTGGCCGAGGGAGCCAGCGTTTGTCCTCAGATGGTTTTTCCGGGTCATGTGGCCAGCAGGACTGAGCAGCTTCTGGCGAACCAGAGCAGCTCACGGAAACGCCATTTGCCTTCAGATGGATGGGCAAGTCTAAAAAGTCCAGGACACAATATTTCATGGCCCTCTAGCGGCTCTGGTGGCTCATTGACCAGAAGTAAAGTATTTAGCATTAACTCTGGAAGTGTCGACCCAGTTCTGACCAAACTATGCCTCCTAGAGCAAAACATACACCAGGAAGCTTTGTTTGGTCAGAATCGAGTGGACACTAATAATAATAATAATAATAATAATTTATACCACGTCCATCTGGCTGGGTTGCCTCAGCCACTCTGGGCAGCTCCCAACAGAGTATTATTAGTAAAGTTAAAGGTACCCCTGACCATTAGGTCCCGTCGTGGACGACTCTGGGCTTTCGCCCTCATCTTGCTCTGTAGGCCGAGGGAGCTGGCGTTTGTCCGCAGTTTTTCCAGGTCACGTGGCCAGCATGACTAAGCTGCTTCTGGCGAACCAGAGCAGCGCACGGAAACACCGTGTACCTTCCCGCCAGAGCGGTACCTATTTATCTACTTGCACTTTGACGTGCTTTCAAACTGCTAGGTTGGCAGGAGCAGGGACTGAACAACAGGAGCTCACCCCATCGCGGGGATTCGAACTGCTGACCTTCTGATCGGCAAGCCCTGTGGTCTAAACCATTGAGCCACCCACATCCCTAACAGAATATTAAAAACACAAGAAAACATCAAACCAAGGCTGCCTTCAGATGTCTTCTAAAAATCAGATAGTTGCTTATTTCCTTGACATCTGACGGGAGGGTGTTCCACAGGGCAGGTGCCACCACCGAGAAGGCCCTCTGCCTGGTTCCCTGTATCCTCACTTCTCGCAAGGAGGGAACCGCCAGAGTTAATGCTAAATAGATGACTTCTGGCAAATGAGCACCAGAGCCGCTGGTGGACTGTGAACATTTCTGTCCTGGGCTTTTAAGACTCGTCTACCCAGATACTATCTGAAACCAAAGCGGAGCATTGGCTGCCAGGTGTGAAATACATTGGCATCATTTTCAGCTCTCCTACCCACCCGCCTGGCAAGGGAGTCTTGCAAGTATGCGGAAAGCGCTGGTTGGCGTTAGGGGGGTGCTAGTTGTCACCTGACCCCCTGACTTTGCAAAGAGAGGGCATCAGAGACACCCCCAGGACCAGCTCCCCCTTCTGCCACTCCAGCTGAGGGCCAGCCAGCTCTTCCCCTCCAGTCAGGGCAATATATCCTCTCTCCATCTTTTCCATTGAAGGCTACCCGGGGGGGGGGCATCTGGGTGCCCTCTGCAAGGACAAGATGGGCCATTGGCCTGATCCAGCCGCAAGGGCTCTTCTTATGGAGATCTACTGCGATAGCAGAACCTCCATGCCCAGGGGCAGTCTACCTGGAAGATGGGGAATAACAATTGGAGAATCGCTGTTGCTTCCAAGCTTCCCATATGGAGCATTGGGGAGGCCACTGTAAGGATGGGACCAGATCCTGCAAGGCCCTTTTGGGTTCTCATGTCCCTTTCTAGGCCTGTCTGGCTCAGTGAGGCTACAGCTCTGAGCAACGAGAACTCTGCTTTCCTGGTGAGGATATTTACAGCAAGAGTAATAAAAAGAAATTGTTATTTAGGGGAATTGAATTTAATTTTAAATTATATTCCGGAAATGTGGGAGATTACAAGGGGTCAAAAAAAAATGGATGTACCGTGCTATATTAGAAGCAAAAAAACTTGTTTTGATGAATTGGAAGAGCCGCAAAGAGATTCCATTGAGCACATGGGTTGATAATATGGACAGATTAGCTACATATACGAACGAACTGCATGTCGACGCAAATTAAGAATGGATAAATATGAAGAAATCTGGAAGGAATATTTAAGCGATAAGGCGGATCGTGGGGGGAGGAGAGAGAGGTGGGAAAACATTGTTAAAAAGGTGTAGTCATAGGTATATCAGGGTATTCAAATCTGAATTGTCAAATTGTGTTATTGTGGTTTTTGTTGTATGTGTCTTTTGCAGTTGTTGTTTGTATTGCAAAAATGATTGAATAAATTTAAAAACAACAACGACTCTGGTTTCCTGCAGGGCTCAGCCCAGGACAGCCTCTTCCCGCTGACGGGGCTGGCCAGAAAGACCCTCCAAGCTCCCAGGAAAGACCCAGGGCCCTCCCCAAAGATGCCCCCCCGGCCCGCCCTACCTGGTTGATGTGCACGGAGGGGATGGAGGCAGCCGAGACGGACGAATGGCTGGGAGAGTTGGGCAGCGACTTGCAGGGCCCAATGGAGAGCTGCTGCTTCTTGCGCAGGGCCACCACCTTCTGGGCCACTGGAAAAGCGGGGGGGGGGAGAGATAAGCCCCAGGCGACCATCGGGGGGGGGGCAGTTTCCAGAAAGGGGGGAGCAGCCCCCATCTCTGGCACAGCAGCCACACTTGGGGTGCCTCCCCCCCCCCAGATGGGCTGGGGAAAGGCAAGAATTGGAAGGCTGAACCACAACAGGTATTTGCGGGGGGGGGGGTGGCAATGGGTTGCCCCACCTCTATTTCCGGGTCTCTGGAACTCCCCGCCACTGTAACTTCCCACTGTGACGCTTCTCCGCTGCCCCCTCTGAGATTGGGGGCAGGCGAGGCGGGCACTGGCAGGCCAGGTTCGCCTCAGGGCCATAGTTGTCAATGTTTTCCTTTTTTTAAGGGAAATTCCCTTATTCCAAATAGGCTTCCTCGCAAGAAAAGGGGAAAGTTGACAGCTATGCTCAGGGCCAATCATCCGCCCTCAGCACAAGCCCACCAAAAGCTCTCCCAGTTGCACTTCTGCCTGCTGGGGCAGCTGACCCCTTTGGGACTCTTCGCTCACCCATGTTTTGTGGGCACGTGCCCATAGGGCAGCCTGGCAGGGCTCCCTCCCCCTGCTCTTCACCCCAAGTCTCTGCCCCCCACTTCCCCCTCTGCCACCATGACTTTCTCATAGGGGCAGTTAACTGCCTGTCTGCCCTCAGCGGAGCCCTCCAGGTCCAACCACAGGCCGCTGTTCCCCAGACCAATCAGAAGGCTTTCACCCGATCCAGGCCCCGCCTCCAAGCACTGCAAGGGCTCCTCCCCTCTCAGCCAGGAAGCCACTGCTGAAAAGGCCCTGCAAGAGCGCCAGGCCTCAGCCACCCCCTTGGTTCCTATAAAATGCATTACGCAGGAGAGCTCTTTGCACGACCCAATTCAGAAGATGTAAACACAACACAATTAAAAACAGTAACAATTAATTGCACTCTTGTTCAAAATACAACTCTTTTAATCCAACAAAATGCATGAATTTGGTCTGGTGATGCCAGCTTTTCAAAGCCTGATAGTCACCTGCAAGTACGTACAGTGCCCCCTGCCACCCCCTCGTCTCTGAGCGGCCCCCACCCCCAAGTAATCCCTCCACCCACTTGGGGAACCCTTGCTCTACCGCCTTCTCCATGGGGCTGACTGGGGGCTAATGGGAGCTGCAGCCCAAAGCCCCTGGGGAGGTACCAAGCGGGCAAATACTGCCCTGCCACCAACAGAGACCATGCAAAACATAAAGGGACCTGTGGAACTCACTGCCACAAGATGGACCAGCAGTCTCTACTCTAAATGGTGTATTTCTTTAAAAAACAGTCAACATACCATGGTAGAAAGGGCAATTCAGGGGCAAAGGCCGTTGCCCGCTTGCTGCCAGGAAAGACGGGCTCCCTTCTTGCGCCCCAGCAAGGCAGCCCCGCTCCCCTCTTGCTGCCCCGGCGCCCACTTACCATCCTGGAAGACTCTCTCCACATTGAGCCCGTAGGTGGCACAGGTCTCGTAGTAGGTGCAGCGCTTCAGGTCGTTCGACAGCTTCCTGGCGCGGGAGTCGTCAATCACCCGGGGGTTGGTGGCGCTGATGGCATCTGAGAGGGAGGGAGGGAGGGGGTCAGGGAGAGGCCTGAGAACATCTGCCCCCCTGATGCCAACCTCCCTGGGGCAGGCAGGGGTCACACACAAGGGGCCAGCGCCTTGTGCAGCCACTCAGTCGCCTCCGTGGGCAGAATGCGCCCTGCCACATTACACCCATTTGACGCCCCTGTAAAAACTCAGTCATTGAGTGTGTCCTTGGGAACTCCCTGCCTCTGGACCTCAAGCAGGCACCTTCCTGGCTCTCTGATAAAAACACTCCTTTCAACAAGCCTGTCCAGATACTTAGGAAGTTGATGCAAATCTTAAAGGCGTTTTAGCATTTTAACTTTTTGCATGTAATTTTGCAGTAATTTTGCCCTTGGTTTTCTTGTCTTTTTGCAGAACCCTGTGAGGCATCCCCCCCCCCCCCCCGCAAAAAAATCAGGCACTGTATAAATTTTGATCAAACAAACGAAGTCCGCCATGCCTGGGGGGCCCCTGCTGTGCCCCTCTCTAGATGTTGCCAGACTCCCCCCCACTCACAGCAGCCCCAACAGCCAGCTTGCCCAATGGTTAGGGACAAGGGAGGGAGGCCAACCACATTTTTTTGAGGGGGGTGTCATAGCAGGTCCCCCATTCCTGCTCTAAGTTCAGAGGGAGGGAAAGAGGCCCCCTTCCCTTTCATCTGTTCAGGGGTTGGAGAGGGGCGCCCCCCTGACCCCACTGCCTTTCCACTTCTGGCCCCAGTCCAAGCAGAACCCCCAAGGCCTCCTCTTCCTGATAAATTGCTTCCTGTGAACAAAAAATGCTGCCCCCACAGCACCCCAGACCTTCCCTTCTGGATCCAGAACATGACTCCTCCCCCCCCCGGTCCACATCCACCGCGGAGCCCACGTGCCGGGGGGGGGGTTCCTCCCACGCATTTGCTTTTTGCTATGCCCGACCCCCCCCTTCCCCTGTTCTCCCCCTGTTGCCACTGCACTGGCAAACGTTAGACTGTAAGCTCCTCGGGGCGAAGACTCGCCGTCTCTCCCCTCTGCAGCAAAGCCCTGAGAATGTCAAGACCGTGGGGCCAGCAAGATCTGGGACAAAGCGCTGCCGTGGGCCAGCCAGCCAGGCTGGAAAATGCATTCTGTTCTGCCCCCCATCCAAGGCAGTCCTCATCCTACAGCAATCCTACAGAATGGGCTGTAGGGGGCGGGATTTGGCCATTTAAGGTGGCTTAGTTTTGTATCTGTGCCAACCCCCTATTACTATTTTTAGGTAGGTAGCCATGTTGGTCTGACACAGTTGAAATAAATTAAAAAATTGTCCTGTAGAGACCAACGAAGTTTGTTCTGGGTATAAGCTTTTTTTGGTATCTGAAGAAGTGTGCATGCACAAACTTAGTCTCTAAGGTGCTACTGGACAATTTATTATTATTATTATTATTATTTGAATTTATATACCACCCTATACCCAGAGGTCTCTAGGGCTGGGCAATATATCAATATATCGTCCAAGTCCATATCGTAATATCGGTTTCATAATTTCCGACCTGACAATATATATCGCCAATCATGATGCATGTGTGTGCGCGCGCTATGCAAAAATCACAATGTAGGAAAAACTGTGAAGCCAGCCAGATGGGTGAGGTATAAACGAATTATATAATAATAATAATAATAATAATAATAATAATAATAATGTGGGGAGGGGGAGAACAGCAAGGCAGGCCCCTTGCAACCCAGAGGCGAGTCCACAAAAGCAGCCTCTCGCTCACCCTTTTCCGGGACAAGACAGTTTGCTACGGGTGGGATTCCTGAGTTTTCCTTCTCGGAGCAGAGCAGCCCGGACCCTGCCGTGATCCCCAGACCAGAGAGAGCGGCTTCCCACTGCCTGACCCTCCAGTCCGCTCCAAGGCTGGACGGAGGGGTCCTGCCCTGCGCTGACCAGCCCCACCCCCGCTCACCTTGCGTGCCAACCAACACCATGGGCACCTCTGAGGTGTTGCGGTAGCTGCAGAGCCGCAGGTAGTAGTTGTAGACCGTCTGGAAGCTGATCTCGTCCTCCAGGCTGAAGACAAAGACCACGGCGTCCACCCAGGCCGCAAACTGGAGAAAGAACGGGGGGGGGGAGTCAGAGGAGCATGGCCTCCGCCGCCCCCAGCAGGACCCTCGGAGAAGCCCTTCCAACAGGACAACAGAGGAGCCCCATTTTTGGCTCTCCTGTCCGAGGTGTCTCTCGCTGCCCTGGAAGTGTTTCCAAAGCCTCTCCTTTCTTTTTTTCAAATTCGTCTTTATTAATTTAAAATATCATCTTATGTGATAAGATGCTTACAACAAAATTAAACACGAATATATAAAAGAAAAAGTACAAAAAAATAAAAATAAACAAGAACAAGAGAGAATTAACAATAAGAAATGAATATTAGTTATAACATCCTGTCTTATCTAATAAAGCCTTCTGAAAGAAACTTCCGATCTTTCTCGTTGTACTTTTTCCATTGTCTTAATTTTATCGCACAGTTTGTTTCATAGCTTTTTCCTGTATATTTTTCTAGTATATTTATTCCATTTGTTTATTATATCCAAGTATCATTCAATTCTGCTAGGATAATATCATTTTTTAGAATATAATATAATATATACTCCTTGAATAATCTCCATTCTCTGTATATTTTTTGATTTGGGGCTCCTCTAACTTTTCCGGTCAGCTTTGCTAGAGTACCCCAAAGCCTGGCCTTTCAGAGGTGACTCCCAGAGGCTGAGGGGGCCCACAGCAAGACCCCTCCCTGACCCCCACCAGGAAGGGGGGCCCAGAGACTTACCTGCAGTTCAGGAGGGCCTCCTTCATCGCGGATCAGCAACAGGTAGCTCTGCCCATCCACCACAATCTCCTTCTTGAACCGGCCACCTGGGGAGACAGGAAGGCAGGGCAGGGGGTGGAGTGGGGGGAGAGATCAGTGGCAGAGCCAGACTGGAAAAGGTCCACCTCCTGGGCAAGGGATCTGACCCCCCCAACCGCAAGAAAGAGCGCTGGACTTGGCTCCCCAAGTCTCCCCAGCCCTGCCCTAGATAAGTCCCCTCTCTCTTTCTCTGTCTTCCGTCCTGCGTCGTCAACAGGAGTGGGGCTGAGCTAATGGTGCTCCTGTTGCAGGAATTTATGTATAGGTTGGGGGGTGTTGCCCCTCCAGCAGATATCATGCACATGCAGCCCACTACCAGAATCAGCACAATCACTTTTGTGACTTTTGTGATTTGTCCCCACAAAACACTTGGTCACAGTTTCTTCCTATCTATTCAAAGGGCCTCTGCTGCACGATACCAAATGTTATCTGTTGTTACACTTGATGGGTGTTTGGTGGAGGGCAAGGGGAACCATGGGGCAGGGTCCAGGATGCTCAGATTACTGCCACCAGACCTCCCCTTTCATGATGTAACCATGATGTATTAGTGATGTAGTTGGGGGGGTGTAACATGGGGATTAAGGGATGCGGGTGGCGCTGTGGGTTAAACCACAGAGCCTAGGACTTGTCGATCAGAAGGTCGGCGGTTCGAATCCCCGCAACAGGGTGAGCTCCCGTTGCTCGGTCCCTGCTCCTGCCAACCTACCAGTTCGAAAGCACGTCAAAGTGCAAGTAGATAAATAGGTACCGCTCCGGCGGGAAGGTAAACGGCGTTTCTGTGTGCTGTTCTGGTTCTCCAGAAGCGGCTTAGTCATGCTGGCCACGACCCGGAAGCTGTACGCCGGCTCCCTCGGCCAATAAAGTGAGATGAGCACCACAGCCCCAGAGTCGACCAAGACTGGACCTAATGGTCAGGGTCCCTTTACCTTTACAGGGGTCCCTTTACCTTTTTAACATGGGGATTAGCAGCTAATCAAAGTTTGGGTTCTCTTTCGTTCCGGGCTTCCATCTTGTTCCACCTGGTGGCAGGTGGGAGTCCTGTCGCGACAGTCTTCAATCAAGACCAAGCCTACTGGCTGCTGTTTTGCTCTGGTATTCCTGGCTGGGGTGTCCTTGTTTTTTGTCCAAGGGAGCCCTCAGATTTCTCCGTTGACACTCGCCACAGACCCACCTCCCTGGGGCACAGGCGGCCCAAAACAAAAGAGACCCTTATGCCCAGAGCATTTTGCTCCCACCGCCTCAAACTCTTAGGCCGCCTGGGATTTTAGGGGTCTCCCGGTCAGAGCCAGGTGCTTAGGAAAGGACCATTAGAACCTGCCCCCCCCAAAGTGTCATTCTGAGCAGAGCACATTGTAAGTAAGAGAGCTGAAAATAGGAGGAGCAGCAGACGAGGCCAAGAGTGGAACTTGGGCCTTGCAGCAGAATCGGGGCCGCCTCAGAGCGACACGAAGGAAACCGGTTCCTTCACGCCAGCAGCACGGAGGCTGCGCTGGGCCAAGGCACAGCTGTCAACGTTTTCCTTTTTTTAAGGGAAATTCCCTTATTCCGAATAGGATTCCTTGCAAGAAAAGGGAAAAGTCGACAGCTATGGACCAAGGATGCTCCAAGTTCACTCACAGCCTCCCCTACTCTAAAGGCGGCCAAACAGGCAAAGGGGGACTCTGTCCTCAGCAGCCCCCTTGCAGTTCCCAGTCCCAACGTACTGTTTACATCCACAGCACCCAAGGTTTTTTCGGATGGGTGCCTGGTGGGAAGCCAAGCGGATGCCAGGATTAAACCAGAGGAAAGTCTCTCCCAGCAGGTTGGAGAAGCATAGCGAAGAGGACTTCCGGATCCTGTGGCCCATTGAATTAAGGAGAGGGGCTCCTTCAGGGAGTCACAGAGATGTCCGCTTGACCCCCAGGACCAGGAGGGTCTGAGAGATGGAGGGGGGCCTCTCCCACAGGAGGAGACCACAGGAAGGGCTGGATCCTGCTCTCTGCCCTGGGCACAGGAACAGGGCAGAGCGCGAAAGGCACAACCCCACGTCTGTCCCTAACGGACATGGACTTGGAACCCCCCCCCCGCGCCCCCTAAACCACTTTGATTGACGGCCCTGACGCTGCTACAAGGGTCATGTAAGAGAGGTTCCTTATTTGTAAGAACTCAAGTCGCCTGTGTGGCAGCGAATGAACTTTGAAACTCCCTGCCTATTGACACCTTCCCCTTTCTGGCGCCTGCTAAAAACATTCTTGTTCAGACAAGCCCACCTGGGTATGTAGAAAAGAGATGTGAGTTTTAATCTGTTTCTTGCCTATTGTTATTTGAACTTTTCGAAAGTCTTAAATGATTGCTGTTGGTTTAAAAGAAAAATTCTCTTTTGTAAACTGCTTTGAGGGTTGTTATTTCTACAGTCGTGCAGTGAGCGCCTTTTGCAATTATGCAGTGCATAAATTTTGTACAGCAGGGGGTCCCAGGCATGGCTGTGACCCACAAGAGGGCCAGAGAGGGCCTGCCCTCTTACCTTCTGGCGATTCCTCCTGTACGTAGGTCCCGGTCAGATAGCGGTGAACCAAGGCTGACTTCCCACTGGACAGATTCCCCACGATCCCCTGAAATACAGAAGGCAAGGCTGAGCACCACGCCCTGTCTGCTTGGGAGGTGGAGGCTGGATCGGGGCCTGGCTGGGCTGACGGAGGGAGCCACGCTCTTCCCTTAAATGCACCAAGTGGTCTTTTCCAGCACAGAAACGATGGGGGAGAGAGAGAGATCCCTTTGGATTCCAGGCAAGCTCAAGGAAGTCGGGCAGTTACCTCTGAGGAATCATTCGTCTGAGAGGCAGTGTGGTGTAGTGGTTAGAGTACCAGAAGGCAGCCTGGGAGAGACCAGGGTTCGAATCCTGGCTTGGGCGGGGAGCTCCCTGTGTGAACCTGGGGGCCAGTCACTTATTCTCAGCCTAATCTACCTCTCAGGGTCGTTGTGAGGCTAGAAAGGGGAGAAGGACAACCAGGAGCGACTTGGAGGAACAGGGGGGATATAAACGCAGATAAATGAACAGTTACAAAAAAGAGAGGAGTAGTTTTCTATATCAATCCTGCACTTGAACCCAAATTGATTCAGAAGGATGAGAAAGGTAGAATCTTAATAATACAAATCAAAATTCATGGAGAGAAAGTGATTCTGGTTGGCATTTATGCACCCAATGACAAAAAAGCAATCTCTTTCAAAAAAACAGAACTACTCGAATTTGCAGATCAAAAGATGATCTAAATGGGAGACTTAAATGGAGTTCCTTCTCTGGATAAAGACAGATCACCCAGAAAAAAAGAGACGAAAGAAGGTAAGTTACCAGAGACTTTCTTTGTTCACTTACTACAGTCACGTACATGACAGCAGCTTGAGAATAGATTCCCTATGGATTTCCAAAGAATTGGAGACAAGAGTCAAAAAAATTGAAATCAATCCCAGAACCTTTTCAGATCATAATTCCTTGATTACGGAACTACAAAAGGAAAGCCAAATCTCCTTTGGATGGAGACTAAATGATGATTTATTAGACGATCAAAAATTTAGGGAAAAAACAAAAAAGGCCTTGACCGATTAATTTGAAATAAACAGTCAAGGACAGACAAAATTACAGACGGTCTGGAAGGCATGTAATGTTTGGATTTATTTCATATTGCTGTTTATATTGCATGGTGCAAGGTTATTTGGGCTCCAATGAGAAGAGCAGGAACAAACGGAACGCAGAAAATTGTGCTACGAGTTCCCGAAAGAGCTGAGCCTGGCTATGTCAGCGCTGGCTGCTCAAAGCTCAAGCCCTGCTGGGCAGGGGCCTCTGGCCCACGCTGGACGCCCACCATGGGCACCTGCCCTTGATTGGCAAGACGGCGCCAGGCCTTGCTCTCCCTCTCTGCAGTCCCAGCATGCGCAAGACGGAGCAGTGCGCCAGGAACTGTGGCCCCTGCCTGCGTTTCTGCGGAGCTTGTCCAGCAAGGAACGGACAGCCTTGGAAAGCGGTGGGCTCGCAGGATTGGAATGCCACTTGTAGTTTAATGGTGAACTTTGGCGATAATGGAGACGTAAAAGATTTGGATTATTATAAAAGACGCAGGAGGGAATGATTAATAATAGGACCCACAAAGGGGAGGAGGGGAGCCCAGGAGGTTCCTTGGAATCTTGTTTTTATGATTTATTTCATTATATGATTGTAAAATTTTAATCTGAAAAACCAAATAAATATTAAAAGGAAAGGGCTCTCCACTTTTTATGGAACAGGAAGGTGGAAAATAAGAAGTTCTTCTCTTGTTTTTTTTTTTTTTACCCTTTATCTTATTGCTCTCTCTTTTTCTTTTCTCAGTCTTTATTTCTACTGTCCTTTTCTTTTCTATTTCTAATTTTATGGTGCAGTGGAAAAAGAATAATTAAAAATCTCATTTTAAGAAAGAAAGAAAGAAAGAAAGAAAGAAAGAAAGAAAGAAAGAAAGAAAGAAAGAAAGACATGGATGCTTTAGTTGAGATTCCTGCATTTGTCACTTCCAACTCTACAATTCTGAAGGGTGGAGGGGAGAAAGATGGGGCACACTAAGGGGGCAGTACCAGGCAGCCCTTGTCACCCCACCTGGCACCTGCCGGGAAGAACTGCCCACAACCCAGAGTGCCCTTTTCCACCCCAAACTGTCCTCCTGATAGGAATAAAATGCAGGGTGGCTCCCATCAGCACTGCAGCCTTTGCCCAGAAGGTGGCGCTCTTTGCCTTTGCAGATAATAAGTGCCAAAGGCTAACAAAGGGTTAAACCCGTTAATTTGGGAAGTCCTGCCCTGACTCTCTTGGTTCCCAGGTGGTTTTAAAGGCACAGGTAAGCTCTTTCCCAAAGGAGGCAGCAAAGGCCACCAAGCTGGATGGCTTAAAAAAAGGATTAGATAAATCCATGGCTGCTACGGGTATAGAAATGAAATTATTGTCCATCTTCCACGGAATGGAAAAACGGAAAACGAACAAGGTCCCAACTAAAGAAGAATGGCAACTTAAGCTGGTGGAATATGTGCAGCTTGTAGACTTTACATATAGAATAAGAGAACAAGAAGAACATACGTTTGGAGGAGATTGGAAAACGTTTATTGAATATATGGGAAATAATTGTGAACAGCTGAAAACCCTGGCAGCATTAAGATAAATTTAACAGTGTAAATAAGTTTTGATGGATGCAGTAATGGAATGCTGAATGGTTTAGTTTTTGTGAAATATTCAGGGATTTAAGAGATGCAAAATGAACCACGGAAAGAAACGAAGGGAAGTCACTGCTATTTTAAGGATGTAAAATGAGTATTTTAAATTGTAAAGCAGCAAATTTAATATAAAAAAGAGAAAAAATGAAATAATAATAATGATAATAATAATTACTAGACTTTGGGGGGTGGGGTGGGGAATAGCACCTAGACATTCCGTTGTGGCGACCCTAACCCAGGTTTAAGGTGCCATTTGGCAATTAGATTGTATAGCTGAGCTGCTACCAGTGGGGAGGGGCAAGGGCTCTTGTGTTCAAATCCTGCTCTCTGGCTTCCCACTGCCTGGCCTCCGTGAGAGCAGGATGCTCCCCCAGATGGGCCACTGGCCTGGCCCAGCAGGCTCTCCTTATTTGGGGCGGCTGTGGCTCACCCCTCATTCTGCTGGCTCTTTTGATCGTTTTTTTTGGGGGGGGGGACAGACCAGCTTCCAGGGGTCTTTGGAGCACCAGGGAAGACAGATCTTGCTCAACCTCCCCCACCTGCAGGCTCAGACGCGTCTCCTCTGGGGCCCAGCCCCCAAGTGGGGGGCAACTGGAGACCTCAGTTACTGGTGGCTGCTCTAACAAAAGACCCAGCTGGCAAGGCAGCGGAGCTCAGTGGTCAACCCAGACTGCTGGACAACCCCCCCAACCCCGCCATTCTCTGCCATTTGGCAAAACCACACGTGTCCCACACTGCCAACCCCCAGTTTCTGCCATCCAGGTGCTTCTCGGGACCAGGCGTGGCAGGGGGTTAGACTAGATGACCGCTGGAGACCTTCCAACTCTGCAATTCTACGATTCTTCCAGCCTCCAGTGGAAGAAGAGAACCACATCTCCTTCCTTCCTTGGACCACCAGGGATATATATGGGGTGTCATCCACGGCAAGGTTAAAAAAAACATGGGTAGGTGGGTATTCCTGAGGCCCCAGCCATCATACCCTGGGGATTGAGGGGTCAGGGCACACATCTAGGGCCAGCCATGGATCCAGACCCCAAAGGACCTCCGAAGTGGGGAGGACGGGTGTTCATACTGTGGCCGCTGTTGGAAGAGGAGGCTGGGCTCAGTGGGCTGCCTTGGGCCTGACCCAGCAGGACTCTTCTAGTAGAACCTCCAGGTCCAGAGGCAGTCTATCGGGATTCCCAGAGAGCTCCCATGGGGCAATCAGCCACCAGGAGAAGAGTCCAAATTATAGGCCAATCACCTTAATTATTGTAGTCAGCAAGATAATAACAGGAGTCAGTGCTAACCAGACTGGGATGGCTATAGCAGTATATTAATATTATTTGCCAAAGATGGGGAGCAGATAATTTGAGGTTAGTAGGAAAAGGGGTGCTTCAAACAGCGAAAGAGCTGATGGGGCTGCAGTTATTTCTCTTGATGCTAAAAAGGCTTTTGTCAAACTACATTGACAGTTTATTTCTGTTACTTGGGGGGGGGGGGGGTAAGGATTTCCTCAAGAAGTTATGGGTTGGATTAGGATCTTATGCTTTTCTCCCAATCGCAGGTGAGAATTCCTGTAACATTCATACACTTTTAAATTCCTGTAATGTGGGGACTGATAGACAACAAAAGTGGATTCTGCAATATTTTAGAAGACACCTGACTTTTAGAAGGCAGCCCTGTTTAGGGAAGCTTTTAATGTTTAATAGACTATTGTATTTTAATATTCTGTTGGAAGCGGTAAATTAATTATTATTATTATTATTATTATTATTATTATTATTATTATTGGGGTTCTGGGCAAGGCAGGGCCCCTTGGACTCTCCCGAGGTTCTCAGGTACAGCCACGGAAAACTCACCACTTTCAGCTCCGGCACAGACCGGCTCAAGGTCCACTCCTGGCTGTTGACAAAGGAATCTGCAGAGAGAGAGAGAGAGAGAATCAGAGGGTGAAGGGAGCCCCTCAAAGCCAAAGACACCCCAGAAAAACAGAGGGGAAGGGGGGCTTGTCAGAGCATCACATCTCTCAGGCTGGTCAGTGCTGGGTTGCACACCCTGTAGATTTCTGCAAGTTATGCCCCTTTCCCCTTTCATAAAGGAGCCCAGAGAGGCAATAAAACACCACCTGATTCTTCTTCTTGGGCCAGCAGCTCATCTGAAACCACCCACAGACGGGGAGCCACTGCAGAAAAGGCCCCGTTCTCATGTTGCCACCCTGCGGACCTCTCAAGGAGGAGGCACACGAAGAAAGGCCTCAGAAGATGATCTCAGGGACCGGGTAGGTTCAGTTGGAAAGAGGCAGTCCTTGGGGTATTGAGGTCCTGAGTCGCTTAAGGCTTTATAGCTCAAAACCAGCACTTTGAACTGGGCCCAGAAACTAATCGGTAGCCAGTGCAGTCGGACCAGAATTGGTGTAATATGCTCAGACCATCTTGCTCCGGTGAGCAACCTGGCCGCTGAATTCTGCACCAGCTGAAGTTTCTGAACTGTCTTCAGAGGCAGCCCTACGTAGAACGCATTGCAGTAATCTAACCTTGAGATTACCAGAGCACAGACAACAGTAGCTAGGCTATCCCTTCCCTGTTTGGAAGCTGTGGCTGGATGGTTACGTGGGAGCCGGTTGAAGTTAAATCCTTCGAAGACAGAGGTCCTTTGGCTGGGACAGGACGATATGGGATTGGGGGGGCAACTCCCATCTCTTGCAGGGGTGGAATTAGTGCCAGCACCGTCCATTAAGAGTTTGGGTCTAATCTTCGACACCTCCCTTTCCATGGAGGTGCAGGTTGCAGCCACAGCAAAGGTGGCATTTTTCCATCTCCGCCGTATTAAGCAGTTGGTCCTTTACCTTTCTCGCCCTGATCTTGCCACTGTGATCCACGCGACGGTCACCTCCAGACTGGATTATTGTAATTCGCTCTATGTGGGGCTGCCCTTGAGACTGACCCAGAAACTCCAGGGGGTGCAGAATGCCGCGGCGAGACTCTTTATGGGGTCCTTGCTGCGAGATCACATTCACCCGGTGCTATACCAGCTGCACTGGATCCCGGTGGAGTACAGGATCAGGTTTAAGGTGCTGGTTTTAACCTTCAAAGCCCTATACGGCCTAGGACCCTCGTACCTAGGGGACCGCCTCTCCTGGTATGTCCCACGGAGGACCTTACTGTCTTCAAACAAAAACATCCTGAAGGTCCCAGGCCACAGAGAGGTTAGGCTGGCCTCAACCAGAGCCAGGGCTTTCTCAGCTCCGGCTCCAATCTGGTGGAACGCTCTGTCAGAAGAGACTAGGGCCCTGCGGGACTTGACATCTTTCCGCAGGGCCTGCAAGACAGAGCTGTTCTGCCTGGCCTTTGGCCAGGGCACAGTCTGACCCCCTCCTTCGGTAATCCTCACAGAACTTTAGCCTAATGGTTGCCATCAATTTGATTTGAATTAATTTTATAATGAATTGATTTTAGAATGTTGTACTATTTTATTGTTGTTAGCCGCCCTGAGCCCAGCTTCGGCTGGGGAGGGTGGGATATAAATAAAATTTATTATTATTATTATTATTATTATTTATTATAGGGGCGTAGCTGGGCCACCAACCAAAGATGATGGAAGGGACTCCGGGCCACTGAGGTCACCTGAGCCTCGAGATACAGCAAAGGATCCCCAAGCTGTGAACCTGCTCCTTCAGGGGAAGTGTAACCCCATCAAGAGCAGGCAACCTCCCACCCATCTGGTCTAGAGAACCATCCACTACCTACCCAATATTACCTGCACTGACTCGCAGCTGCAGCTCTCCAGGGTTTCAGAAACTGGGACTGGACCTGGGAGCTTCTGCATGCAATGGACCTTCTCACTGCCCTCAGCTCCTCCTTTCCTCCCACGGCTACCAGCAAGCTCTTTGCCCAGAGGCCATGGCAGTGCCACTCCCAGAGGGCAAAAGAGGCCTTGCCTCATGCCCCGCCCCATCCCAGAGATCTGCAGAGGCGCCAATGGAGGTACTGATGGAAAATGGAGAGGAAGCAATTCTTTGCAAGAACCAAAAGCATCCCTGCCCAACCACTAAAAGCACCCCGTTCACCCCCCCCCCCGTCAAAGGGCAAATTGGCCCAAGCACCTTCCTGCCTGCCCATGGAGGGTGGGAGGAGCAGCTAGCCGTCGTTCAGTTTCGGGGGTCACAGCCAGGCTCACCTCCTAAAGGACACGGTGGAGCTGGAAAAGGTTCAGAAAAGGGGAGCCAAAATTATCAAGGAGACAAAGAGCTCCTCTATGAGGAGACATGGCGGAGGTGAATAATGATAAACATGGAACAGAGAAAGATGGAGAGAAGTTTCCTTTCCTCTCTGCCAACAGTGGGGACCTCCAAAGCCCTTCTTTATGCAGCGCTGAGTTCAACTATGGAACTCCCCAAAGATAGTTTTATTAAATGCGCCAATAATAGCGCTGGCTTTCCCAGTAGTGATGTATGGAAGTGAGAGCTGGACCATCAAGAAGGCTGATCGCCAAAGAATTGATGCTTTTGAATTCTGGTGCTGGAGGAGACTCTTGAGAGTCCCATGGACTGCAAGAAGATCAAACGTATCCATTCTTAAGGAAATCAGCCCTGAGGGCTCACTGGAAGGACAGATCCTGAAGCTGAGGCTCCAAGACTTTGGTCACCTCATGAGAAGAGAAGACTCCCTGGAAAAGACCCTGATGCTGGGAAAGATTGAGGGCACAAGGAGAAGGGGACGATGGAGGACGAGATGGTTGGATAGTGTTTTCGAAGCTACAAACATGAGTCTAACCAAACTGCGGGAGGCAGTGGAAGACAGCAGTGCCTGGCGTGCTCTGGTCCAGGGGGTCACGAAGAGGTGGACACAACTAAATGACTAAACAACAACAACAATAGCGCTGGAGGTGCAAGATGCAATTAAGCAAGCTAAAATAGATAAAACGCCAGGGCCTGACGGTTTGTCAGCAAAGTATTATAAAAAGTTGCAGGATTTGTTGGTACAACCATTAAAAGAAGTAATGAACAGGATTTCAAATATAGGTAAAGTACCAGAGACTTGGAAAGAGGCCTGTATTACTTTGATCCCAAAGTAAGATGCGGACTTACTTTCACTTAAAAGTTATAGGCTTTTAATTTCCTTATTAAATAATGACTATAAGCTATTTGCCAATATACTTGCCAACTGAATGAAAGGAGTTGTGGTAGAAATAATTCATCATGATCAGGCTGGTTTCCTACCAGGACGCCAGATGTAGGATAATACAAGAAACATAGACTATCTAGAGGTCAGGAATGAGAAACAAGCTGCTTTAATGTTTATAAATGCTGAAAAGGCCTTTGATAATATTTCATGGGCTTTTATGAAGAAGACAATAAAAAAGATGAATTTTGGGAAACTATGGAACTCCCTCCCACAGGATGGCCACCAACTAAGAGATGCCCATAAGAGGCACCTGGTTGGCCGCTGAGAGACCAGGATGCTGACCAGACGGGCCACTGGCCTGATCCAGCAGACAGGCTCTTCTTATGTTTTTAATGGAACCTCCAGGTCCAGGGGCAGTCTATGTAGAGTCCCAAGTTCTTGGGGGATATTTGGCCACACTGTGAGAACAGGGTGCTGGACTAGAAGGGTCCTCTTGGGCCTGATCCAGCAGGGTTCTCGTCATGCGCTTAAGGCTGGGGGAGGCAAGCGCTGCCTGCCTCAGCTGGAGATCCCAGAGCAGCCAAAGGCAGCAGCAGCAGGCAGGAGGAGGAGCAGCAGCAGCAGGAGGAGGAGGATCAGCCCCTGGCTCTGGGCTTGCCAGAACAGCACCCAAACTGGTTAGGCGAGTCTGGCTGCTCCAGGTCTCTGCAGAGGCAGATGCCTCTCAGTGTCATGCCCCCCCCAGAGGCAGGGAAGGGGAGGGGGCACTGCAGGCAGAAGGCAGGGGGAGGAATGGGGTCTGTCCAAGAGGGAGAGAGAGGTCCCCCCACTTTCAGGAAGCCTTGGGAGCCACACAGACAAGCAGCTCATCTCCATCTCTCGAACCTGCCCCATGGAGGAGGCATCTCGGGATGGGGGCAGGGGCGGGGGCTGCAGACTGGGTGGGGCCCCGCCCAACACGCCTGCCCGGGTCAAAGCACAGAGTTCAGCAAACGGGGAGGCCCTCCCACCCCCCACGGGATTGAGCTCAGCTCCAGCCGCGCCCCAGCCCTGCCCAGACAGGCTGAGCCGGTCTCTTGCGCAGAGCCCCCCCCCCCAACTTCTGCCATCACCTCTTCCTCCGCAGCCTCTATGCAGAAACCCAAACCTGGCCATGCAATCAAATAACTTTCAAGTTGGAAGGGACCCCCGAGGGTCATCCAGCCCAACCCCCTGGAATGCAGGAATCTCAAGCCAAGCCATGCAATCTCTGCTTAATAACCTCCAACAAAGGTTTAAAACCTCCGAAGGAGACTGGTCCAAAGCCAAACTGCTCTTACCCTCACAGCTCTTTCGTAAGACCCAAACTGGGGGCCGGGGGAGGCTGGGGTCCTATCTGGACCAGATGCCAAGCAGGCAGGCAAAAGGGTCTCCGACCCCCAACACACCTTCAAAGCCTTGAATGACTCAGCCCCCCCCCCCCCGTATCTGAAAGGGTAACTCCTTCCCTGCAGACCCTCTCGGGGGCTGGTTTGGGGTGGCAGTTAAGGGGAAGAGGGCCTTCTCTGTGGTGGCCCCTAAACCGTGGCACTCTCTGCAGCGGTGGGTCTGGCACCCTCACTATCCAGCTTCTGGTAAAAGCTGAGGACACCCCATGGGAAGTGTATGCTTTTAGGATCCACCTTGTTTTTTGCAATTGAATATTGCATTTTAATGTTGCAACCCGCCTTGGGACCTTGGGGTGAAGGGTGGGCAACAAGTAAACAAACAAACCTGCTTAGATTCACAACTCCTTCATGAGGGCCAGGAACCTGGGGGAGGATTTAGGGAAACTGAGTCAGAGCAGACTGACCTCCTGGAGACACACAGAACTGCACAGGCAACCCCAAGGACACACCTCAGTTACCTCAACACATTCTGACTTCCTTTTCCCACGCAGAAAAGAGCAACAATGCAATATTCAAATGCAAATATCTGGAAGATTCATATGCAGATCGGGGAGAACAGCCTCCCCACAAAACATGAACCTGAGCCAGTTATCCCAGAACTGGGAATGGCAGGATTAGAAGCCGAAGGCACCCGCACCCTCCAGCACACCCATGTCCCCGACCCCCAGTGCCCTGCATCCCTGCATTGCAGGGGTTGGACTAAATGACCACTGGGGTCCCTTCCAACTCTATAATTCAAGCTTCAACCGCCCACTAGGCTCCCTCCTTTATTCCGACAGGCCTTCAGGATCTGGCTGCTTTCATAGACAGGCCTGGTGCGCTGACGTTTCTTGGGCTGTTGCTATTTGCATTTTTAATAGATTTGTTTTTTATATTGTTTAAATTCTATACAGGCTTAATACTTTTTGATGATCATCTTTCTTTCCATGCTTTTAGTTTTTCTGTTTTATCTCTGTGCTGCATTTTTTATCCGTAAGTATAATAACAATTTCTACCTCACAGGATTGTTGTGAGGGTGAAATGGGATGGGATGGGGAGGAACTGTGTGTGCTGCCTTCAGCTCCTTGGGAGGAAAAGTGGATTATAATGTTCTAAATGAATGAATGAAAACATAGGGCCCTTTGGACAGTAGCCAAATATACATCCTTTCCCCCCCCCCCCCGGCAGAATCTCAGAACTGCCTGTTGCGTTGCAATTCTGCCCTGGGACTGAGATGGAAAGGGGTGCACTGACTTCAGTCCAACAAACACCATTCCTTGTTGTTTTCCTGACCCGCAACTTGGCTCCTTCGCTGCTCAAGCCTCACTCTAGAGAACTACGAGGAACTCGAGGAATTAACTTCCTACGGGTAACAGCAAGAATATTACACACAAAGGCTTGGAGGTTACACAGAAAACCCACAAGGGGGGGGCATGAAAGAGGGCGGAGGAGAAATATGGGAATCGGCTTTCATGGCAAAATGGGCATTTTTGCCCCCGCTGGTAAAAAATAATAATCAAAGAAAGCAAAGAAGAGAAACATGTTCTCACAAGTGGTGGCTATTAAGGTTTATTACAGCTCTGTGTGTTTCAAAACGGCACTTGCTCCTCCAGGAATGACCCAGAGACAATCAAAACTGCAAAAGTCAGCTACTGCTATATTAGAGAAGCACTACACAACAGCATTTAAAATATCTGTGAGTGAAAACAGCTACCCATCATTTGAGACCATTGCATCAAACGGAACAAGGAAAACTGTCAAAAGCCACAACTGAGAGACTGCAGCATCTTTGCAGCAACCCCAAAGCCTCTCTGGCCACTTCAGAGAGTCTCCCTACAATTCAAAATTGCTTTGAGAGGCTCATTTATAACGGCACCCAATTTGGGTTGAAGATTAATCCAACATGGTTTGCTTGCTTGTTTTAAAAAGATGCCCTTGGATGCTAGAGAGGTGTCAAGTCATGCGTGCTTTTTTGTGACGCGGCCCCAACCATTTGTCCCATTCTGTTTGAAATCACGGCCTTCTGGCCTAAAGAGACACCTGGGGTGGGGCTCTCGCCTTGCCATGCACCTGCCCTCACAGGTGGGAGAAGATGCACCACTTTGCCCAGGCTGGGGGAGGAGGGAGACACACTGGGCACCTGCAGTGCAGCCTCAGATTTATTTTGCATCTCAATTCAGCCTTTTGTCTTACACTGCTACAGAAGACTGTGCAGGCAGAGCCTAGACATCCTGACTAGTGGCCAGGGTTCGAAATCCGCCTGGCACATTTTGCACCTGGCTATTGGCCACCTGCGACCAAGTGAAGATGCCCGTGAGCCAGGATGGGGCCTGACATCTCTGCCACCTGGGGATCCTTGGATGGGGACTGTTTTCACACACTAAGACCCCGTCCTGCAGAATTCTATCTGTGATATTTTATCTGCACAATCGGAATGAACTTCTGTAACCAAAATGCTTTTTCTGGGCAGCCTGAGCAGGAGCAGCGAACAACATTGTAGTGAATTACTGTATTGCTTGTCTTCATTTGCCCCCCCCCCCCCCGGACCAGCCCTGCTCATATATGTGAAGAATATTCCTACATTATGAATGGTCAGCATTAAGAAAAATACGCTTGAATAGGCTATATCTGCAGATGGTTCCTGGATCAAAGGACTTCTTTAAGTTTTGAAAAATCTTAACCCTGTTTTTAAAAATCTTAACCCTCTGAACTAGCCAGATGTTTCACTGAGAATCAATCAGTCAGTCCGTCATTTGAAAAATAAAATTTTGGAGCCGTATGGCCTTGAAGGCTAACAAATTCCTCACGGCACAACCAGCTTTCGTGGACGGCCATCAACATGCATCAGGCGGCACAATCCTGACTTGCAGGTTCCCGTTAAGGTGCCTGGGTGGGGAGGCTGCAAAAAGGGAGCTCCAAAGGAAAGGAAATGCAGGAAAGCCCAGACTGGGACCGTGGAACGGAGGGAGCCGCCTGGCGCAGAGTCAGGCTGTGAGTCCATCTATGCAGCGCAGGACTGACGACCCCAGCCCCCCCCCCCCCAGGCTTCGCACAGGGGGACCCGGGCATTTCTGCCAGGAACACTAGCAAAACCTGAATTCTGTGGAATTGCAGCGGCAATGCAATAAAATGTAGTATGTTTTAAAGAAAAGGAGGGATAAAAACGCAATTAGAAATCACTCGGCATTGCAGTGGCTGCAACAAGCGTAATAGGCATTGGGTTGTCTGCCAGGACCCTTGGAAATCTTCAAGTGGGGGGGCATTTGGCTCTCCAGGGTTTCAGGCAGGGGTTTGTGCCAGCCCTACGGCCCCCTCCTGCCCCCTTCCTTCTCTCCACAGGGCGCAGGTGTTGCCTGACATCCCTGCCCCCACCCAAAACACACACGCTCCCGGTTTGGCCTCCTGCCCAGCTCCTTGGCTTGGCTTGCCATCCCTGGCGATGATGACCTCACCTCACCCACCGGCTGGTGCCCAGGCACGTCCCTCTGACGTCTACCTGCCCTTCCTGTGCCAAATCTCCTTCCCACTTGGCCCCTCCTGCCTCCACCCAGCATCTTCCCACCAGAGGCTCCCTCCAGACATCTCAGGAAGGCCACTGGACCTCAGGGCTATGGAGCATGCAGAGGACCCCACCCTCAACCCCCAGCAGAATCTCCCAATAAGAGACCCCAGGGCCTGAAACCAGGGTTAGAAACTCAGGTATATCAGCGAGGCGGCAAATGGCCCCTTAAACCAGGCTGACAGTCGCCAAAATGGATTGCCTAGTTGTCATTTGGGGGCCTGACAGCTCAAAAGTCGTATTATTCAGTATGACATTTGGGTTCCTGAAATTTATTCTGCTTCTGCAGATAAAATATCACAGATAGAATTCTACAGGACGGGGTCTTAGCGTGTGAAAACAGTCCCAACCCAAGGATCCCCACATGGTGTAGGCATGTCAGGCCCCATCCTGGCACCGGGGCATCCTCACTTGGTCACAAGTGGCCAAAATCCAGGTGCAAAATGCACCTGGCACTTGGCGAATTTCGAAGTCTGCTCTTGGGGGCTACTTTGGGGTGCCAGGATGGGGGCAGATAGAGCCTGGGGCCTCCTCTCTGGGCCCTGACCCCAGGTGCTGTCCCTGACCCACTTCACCTCCCGCCCCAAATCATTGGGCCTGTGCTTCGTCAGAGCCTCTTGACCCCTCCCCATATGGACCACCGCCATGACTAGTCTGCCCATTATTGCATGCAGATCTGGCCAGGTCCCCGGGAAACCTCAGAGGATCAAACTCCCCCCCCCCCAACATTGAGAGCCAGGAAGTTCTCCCATGGCCAGTGACGGAAATCTCCCGGGCGTGTTTTGCAACTGGCGCGCATCCGACTGTGACCACATGGAGATCTCTGAGTGCCGGGTTGGTGAATGGGGGAAAGCCAAGTGAGCTGAAATATTTTCCTTGAAGCTGGAATTAGTTTTATTCTGGGTTGCTTTATACGATGTTTTAATTGTGTTGTGAACAGCTTTGAGATTTGTTATTTAAAATATAAAGTGGCATAGAAACAGAATTACAGTCGTACCTTGGTTTTCGAACAGAATGCGTTCCGGAAGTCCGTTCAACTTCCAAAAATGTTCGACAACCAAGGTGCGACTTCCGATGGGCTCCAGGAGCACCCTGCAGCCAATTGGAAGCCGCAGAAGTGGCGCCGGACGTTCAGCTTCTGAGGCCAAGTTCACAAACCAGAACACCTACTTCCAGGTTTGTGACGTTCCAGTTCCAAGTTGTTTGTGAACTAAGCTGTTTGAAAACCAACAAACAACTGTAATAATAATGATGATAATGATGATGATGATGATAATAATAATTCATTGGGAAAAGGCACCTAGACATTCCATGATGGCGACCGTACTCAGGTTTAAGGTACCATTTGGGAATTAGATTGTGCACCTGACTTCCTAGCACTGCTCATGACTCTCTTCCCTCTGCTCCCCCTTCCCCCCAGCAGCTCCTCTGCTTTAGCTTCTGTCCCAGCCAAGGACCTCATGTTTTGAAGGAGCCACTCGCAGCAAACCAGGGGGGAGTGGGCAGCTCCCTTGTACAGAGTCAGAGCAGGGGCCCCTCCAGCTCCATACTGCCGGCACGGACTGGCAGCAGCGCTCAAGGATTTCAGGCGGAGAATCTCTCGCCCACCGCTGCCTGGAGGGGCAGTGGAGACAGAGGCATAGCTGTCAACTTTTCCCTTTTTTTAAGGGAAATTACCTTATTCCGAATAGGATTCCTTGCAAGAAAAGGGAAAAGTTGACAGCTATGGACAGAGGTCTTCTGCTTGCCCAGGCAGATGCACTGCCCACCGAGCCACGGATTAATAGCCAGGTGTTTGCCAGGGAAAACAAGAGTCTGCAGTCCAAACGAAGCGTCCTCTACCTGAAGCTGCCTGGGGGGGTCGAGGGGCCTGTCCTGTCCCCCCACCTGGCCCACTGCTGGGGTCTCTAACCACCCAGCCGTGCAGAAACCTGCAGCGGCAGCAGAGGCTGCCTATGTGGCCAAGCTGTGGGGTGCAGGGCTGTGGCGGCTCAGAGGCAGCTGTGCTCCAGGCGCTCTGCACATCTGGCCTTGGAGAGAGGAGGGAGAATGGCTCTTTCCATTCTGGGGCCCCAAGGTGGCGGAGACTCCCACATCCACATTCCTGGCCATCACTAAATATCCTCTGCATTCCTGCCTGCCCTTGGCTTCTTGTCTGGGGTTGGTCTGTGAGCAGCCAGAGGGAAAGGATCGCAGAGTTGGAAGGGACCCCCAGAGGGCATCTAGCGCAACCCCCTGCAATGCAGGAATCAGGGTGGATAAAAATAAATGATTTTTAAAAAAAAATAAAAAAATGGATTTTTAAAATTTAAATTGGATTTTTAAAATAAAATGCTTTTGGAGGAAAAATCTTTCTAAAGATAGTTTTCTGTTTAAGTTACATTATAGTCTAAAGCTGGTGTAGGCAAACTCAGCCCTCCAGATGTTTTGTGACTACAATTCCCATCATCCCTGACCACTGGTCCTGTTAGCTAGGGATGATGGGAGTTGCAGTCCCAAAACATCTGGAGGGCCAAGTTTGCCTATGCCTGGTCTAAAGGCTATGCATCAGGAAATAAGGATTTGTTTTGTTTTTCATTCAGTCTCTCATATATATATATATATATATATATATATATATACACACACACACACATGTGTGTGTGTGTGTGTGTGTATGTATGTATATATATGTGTATATATATTGATTGTTTAACCACATCAGTTAACAAACATGGATACATAAGTTATAATATTATTGTTTTAGTCAAATAAACTATTTAAATTGTTATTAAGGAAATGATTATTTTTCTCCTTCCAATAAAGTACAGCAGAAAAGCTGTCCAAATATAAGCAGTTAACTGATTAAACCTCACAATAATTTCCTAATTATCTATGTATTTCTGATAGTATAACGAAATCAGTATTTTTTAATATAACTGTAAAAACTACTCTGAAAATTTATTATTCCAAAAATGAAACCTTCACCTGGTTGCAAATATTAAGATTATACCAGAGAGAATGAGTCCTTCTGTTAAAAAAAGAGAGATTTAAATCAAGTCTTACTGACTAGTTATTTAAATTGTGATTTAAATCGATTTGATTTCCATCAAATCCACCCTGGCAGGAGTCACAGCTGAAGCATCCCTGACAAGCGACCCTCCAACCTCTGCTAAAAAGCGTCCAGGGTGGGTTCAGTGAGAAGAGAATCTTTTTAAAGGAAGTCCCCTCCCGCTGCAAACCACGCCACTTCCATGCCCCTCCCTTGCCAGCTTCTAGGCAGACTCCAGCTAAGCGCTCCCCCCCACCCCCCAGCAAGAGAGTTTGGCTGTCCAGCCTCCCTCCAGAGCTACATTGGCACCAAGGGCAAAAGTCCTCCTGGCACAGCCTCAAAATCTCTCCCCAGCCCAGCCAAGGGATGCTCCTTGGCCACAGTGGGACTTCGACCAACGGCTCTCGTGGGGTCTGCAGGTTGCCACTGGGTCTAAATACCCCCCAGAAAAGGGCGTGGACTCCTGCCAGCTGCCCTCCAGCAAGCCCGGTCTCAGATAAGAATGCTAGCAGCCTCCTCTGCAGGGTTGCTGGGTAGACAACCAGTCAAAGTTGCAATCATCATAATTATTTCAGCATACTGTACGTGGGGCTAAAAAGTTGCAAACGAGAGTTTAAGCATAGACCACACAAGGGGGCAGGAGGAAAACACACAGGAAGGAGCTGCCTTTGAACACTCTATACTCAGCATTGCCAACCCAGACTGGCAGCACCGGAGGCGTTCCCAGTCCTGCGTGCAGCTGCCGGTGGGGCCTGAGCCGGGAACGTTCCTCATGCGCAGCGGGTGTTCTGTCACTGAGCTACGATGCCCCAGAGCCAGTGGTGGAGCAGTGGTTAGGGTCATAGAATCACAGAAATGTAGAGTCAGAAGGGACCCCGAGGGTCATCCAGTCCAACCCCCTGCAAGGCAGGAATCTCAGCCATAGCATCCATGACAGGTGTCCAGCCAAGCTCTGCTTAAAAACCTCCAAGGAAGGAGAAAAGGACCCTTGACTAAAAGCTCTTACTGCCAGAAAGTTCCTCCTGTTCTCACAGTGGCCAACCAGAGGCCTCAAATGGAAACCAGCAACCGGGATTCGAACTCAAGAGCAATGCTGTCCCCGCCTGGGATTCCAGCAACTGGGATTCAGGTGCACTGCTGCCTCTGACTGTGGAGGCAGAACAGAGCCATCCTGGCTGGTAGCTATTAAAAGCCGTCTCCTCCATGAATTCTTTTACAGCCATCCCTATCTCTTGTGGCAGGGAGTTCCACAGTTTAACTTTATTAAACTGACCAGCCAACCTCTGCTTCAGTGGTCAGAGGAGGACCTGGGAGAGACCACGGTTCAAATCCACCCGCTCAGCCATGAAGTGGCCAGTCACTTCCTCAGCGCCCAGCCTACCTAGCAGGTCTGTTGTGGGGCGGAGGAGGAATAGGCAGGCCACCTCCAGCTGCATGGGGAAACGAGTGGGATACATATGCAACAAAGAAATCCATTAAATAGAATACCGTCCACCTCCCCAGACCCCCCCCCAGAGAAAATCACAGCCTTGGTCTGCTTCAGGGGTGTCCCCCCCCCCTCACCCACCCGGCTTTTCTCCGTCCTTACCGGGCGCCCTCCCGCTGCTGCGGCGGCTCCCCACCGAGACGAGGACGGGCTCGGCCCCCGGGAGGCTCCAGAGGGCGCTGGCGGGGCTGGCGCGGGGGTCGAGGGGGCTGAAGGAGCGGCCCGCGCAGCGCTCTCGGCGCCGGAGGCGGCCCGCCAGCAGCTTCCAGAGGCTGCCTGCTCCTCCGCCGCCGCCGTCGGGGCGCGCCCGGTCCCCGCGGGGCTGCGCGGCGTCGGGGGTAGAGCAGGTCCCGCTTGCTGGGGAAGGTGTGCAGGGAGCTGGCGTCGCCCTCGCTGCGGGTGCGGAGGCGCGCGGGGCGCAGCAGGCCGGAGCCCGAGCGGTGCAGCTCGTGGCCGCGGCGCAGGCGGAAGCTGAAGCTCTTGCGCAGCGAGCTGAGGCCCTTGCGCGCCCCGTCGGCGCGGGCGCCGAACAGGTTCCAGCGCCGGCTGCCCCACAGCGAGCCGCCGCGCAGGAACCCCCGGGCTCCGTCGGGGGCGCCTCGGCCGGCAGGAAGGCGGCGCTGGCCGGGCGCGGCGGCGGCGGCGGCGCCCCTTCGTCGTCGTGCCGTCGGGGCGAGCGGAGGCGCAGGAAGTCCAGGAAGCCGCTGCGCGCTCGCGTCGGGGGCCGGGCGGCTCCGAGGGGCCCGACGGCCAGCCCGTTGCCCACCGAGCAGAGGCTCTTGGGGCGCTGGCGCTGGCGCTCGGCCGCTTTGAGGGCCGCCTGGACGGCGGGCACGCCTTGCAGGTCCAGCGACTCGCACACGCTGACGGCGCGGCGCGGGCACGCGCGGGGGTCCCCGGCGGGCGACCCGCTTCACGCCAGCGCCAGCCCTCGGCAGCCATCCTCGACGGCGCGCCCTGGCCGGCTGCTGCCGCTGCTGCGCATCCCCGCGGCGCTCACGGCCGGGCCCCGGCGGCCCCGCGCCCCATGCCCCCGCCGCCGCCGCGTCCGCGCTGGCCTGGCCCCGTCGCTGGCAGAGCCTCCTCTGGCTCGCGCATCGCAGCCCGCGCCAGGCAGCGACGTGCCCGGGCCTGGCCCCGACAGCGCCTCGCAAACTCTGGCGCGGATCCCGCCCTGCCCGGAGCGGAGGCCCGACGGCGCGCAGCTGGGAAGGCGGCCTCGCCCAAGACGGAGCGGGCCGGCAGCGGCGCGGCTCCCAAGGCGGGGTAGCCGAGGAAGAGGGCGAGCCGTCGGGCCACCCAGCCCTGGGGCGCGGTGGGGCCAGCGGAAAGGCAAACCGGGCTCGGCCGTCTGAGAGGCTGCGGGCGAGATCCACTCCAGAAAGGCTCGCTGTGGGGCCAGTTCTGGAGACTTCAAACCAGGCCCCCCGAGCTCGGGCCTCTGCCAGGAGGGACGGGCACCCATTAGCCCCCACCCCCAAACCCAGCCCCAGACCTTCCGAACCCCCGAGCCGTTTCTTTCCTAATGCAACAGCACCCTCTGCTGGACCGTCGAGGCCCAGCCCGGAGCCCGGCCAGCTCTGCGCAAAGATAAGGCCCCCCCAGGTCAAGGAAAGGTTAATCCACGCAGCCCAGGGGCCTTTCCTCTGGCGAGGGGCTGTCACTCACCTGGGACCGTCTGCACACAAAAGAGCCTCCTGCTCTGGAGGGCAGGACTCGAACCCATGGCTTCAAGTTACAAGCATTGAGATTCCGACTAAACATCAGGAAGACCTTTCTGACAATAAGAGAGCTGTCGGGCAGTGGAACAGTCTCCTTTGGGAGGTTGTGGACTCTCCTTCCTTGGAGGTATTTAAGCAGAGGTTGGACGTCGTGGATGCTTGAGCTGAGGTGCCTTCATTGCAGGGGGTTGGACTAGATGACCCGGGGGTCCCTTCCAAGTCTACAATTCTGTGATTCTATGAAAGCAGGGAGCTCTCACTAAGCGTTGCTTCTGCCAACAGCCAGTGCATAGAAGCTTCTGGGTGGAAGAGGTGAAGGAGGATGGACAGCTGTCTCTGCCTCCTCTGAGGAGCAACATCTTTAGCTCAAGTGCATTTGTCTGGGGCAGCTTTCACCAGAAGAACCCCCTGCACATGAGTAATGCCACAGCTGTTACAGGTACCACATAATCTTTTTGCGTGATCTTGGCACCTACGCTTTGGAACTCCCTGCCTATTGATAGCAAGCAGGTGCCTTTACTGCAATCTTTCTGGCACCTGCTAAAAACATTTGTATTTGGATAAACCTTCCAGTTGCTTACGAAGCTAATGTGAGCTTTACTGGGGGGGGGGGGTTGTCTGTTGTTATTTTAACACTTTGAAAGTTTTAAATTGTTGCTAATTTTTCCTACGGCTAATTCTGTTTTATTTATGGAGATTGGGGTTGATTTGTTTTTCCCAGCAACTGGTGTATAAAATTTAGGAAATAAAATAATCCCCAGGCAGAAGCTCACAGCCTCCCTGTATACTGGGCATACGCTGGGCATTGGTGGCCAATCCGAGGTTTGCAGAAGGTGGCACATGCCATTTCCTACCCACCGGAAGCTGCCACGTAGAGCTGGCTTGTTGGATCCCAGGCCAACGTCCACACAGAGCGGCGCAAGCTCCTCCCCTTGAACTTTGCCACTTGCCCGAGGGGCCTCTTTGCATGTGAAAGTCCAGTTTGCCTTTGGCCGGGAGAGGCGGCCTCTGAAGATGCACGGAGGCACAGCGACCCATCCAGGTTCGGGAAAAGTGGGTCACTCCTGGAGCCCCTTCACAGAGACTCAGCCCACTGGAGTGACGCTGATTCTCAAGCCTTCATTGGCATGTGTACAGTGGTACCTTGGGTTACAAACTTAATTCGTTCTGGAGGTCCGTTCTTAACCTGAAACTGTTTTTAACCTGAGGTACGCTCCCATTGCTCAGTCCCTGCTCCTGCCAACCTAGCAGTTCGAAAGCACGTCAAAGCGCAAGTACCACTCCGGCGGGAAGGTAAACGGCGTTTCTGTGCGCTGCTCTGGTTCGCCAGAAGTGGCTTAGTCATGCTGGCCACGTGACCCGGAAGCTGTACGCCGGCTCCCTCGGCCAATAAAGCGAGATGAGCACCGCAACCCCAGAGTCGGTCACGACTGGACCTAATGGTCAGGGATACCTTTACCTTTACCTTTACCACTTTAGCTAATGGGACCTCCCGGTGCCACCGCGCCGCTGCTGCACGATTTCTGTTCTCATCCTGAAGCAAAGTTCTTAACCCGAGGTCCTATTTCTGGGTTAGGGGAGTCTGTAACCTGAAGCGTCTGTAACCTGAAGCGTCTGTAACCCGAGGTACCACTGTACAAGATTCCAGGAAGGTTCAATACAAAACATCCCATAAAAATACCCTGCATCTGACACTCAAGTTAGTGCCATCTAGCATTCACAAATCCTCACTGCAGGTTGCAGAAACTTGGCTACTACCTCCATCCTGAGTAAACATAAGGAAGGCCACCTTGCATTTGTCCAAATTCCACTCCCTAATAGCAACCAACTGATGAATAAACATAGATCGAACTGTCAGATACCAGGGTCAGTGCAAAAGAACATGCAAGACTGATTCCATTTGTCTCTGTCCAGAGAGACACATTCTTCCTGCCAGTGCTGTTTTCTGGAATCTCCCCTGGAGTGCTGCTGAGGGCAAGCCATTCAGTCTCGCCGGCATCTTGGCCCTGCATCCATTTGGGTTTGTCCAAGGGGAGAGAAAAGTCAGCCCTGGCTTCTCACAATCCCCAGACTTGTCCAGGTGTTCTTCCCAATTTGGCTGCCAATTTATTGGACTCTGTTGTCTTAACAATCTGCATTGGATTATCTCAAACATGGAATTTTCGGACAAGCTGCACAAGGTGTCTGGTGAGATTCCTCTCTCATTTTATTCTCAATCCCACTTAACCATCCCAATAGTTGGTATTCAGCTAACTTGTCCGTAACCAGGCTGTTATGTTCAGCCCAGTAATGCAGCCGCAGCCTAAAAGTTTTTGGCTTGTTTCATGGCACAGGGCAGCGTGGGGGACACCATTTGGTACATCAAAAATTGACTGAAGGATAATAAAACCTGTCTGAAGGCAGCAAAGTCCACAGAGCAGCTTTGCAGCCGCAGGGGCCTTGCAAGATCTCTTAAGAAGCTGAGGAATCTGCCCCTGTTGCTCTGCTCCAAATCTTGCTCCTGGCTGTCTCCCCGTAGAAGACCCCCCAACACAGAGGCCCTGCTGTCTGACCAGTCTGCAGTGGGGTAGCTCAGTCAGTACAGCCTGAGACGCTTCATCTCCTTGCCTCTCTCACCCTGACCTCGCCACTGTGATCCAAGGGACGGTCACCTCCAGACTGCATGGATTATTGTAACTCGCTCTACGTGGGGCTGCCCTTGAGACTGACCCAAAAACTCCAGCGGGTGCAGAATGCCGCAGTGAGACTCCTTACGGGGTCCTCGCTGCGAGATCACATTCACCCGGTGCTATACCAGCTGCACTGGCTCCCGGTGGAGTACAGGATCAGGTTCAAGGCGCTGGTTTTAACCTTTAAAGCCCTATGCAGCCTAGGACCCTCGTACCTACGGGACCGCCTCTCCTGGTATGTCCCATGGAGGACCTTACGGTCTTCAAATAAAAACATCCTGAAGGTCCCAGGCCACAGGGAGGTTAGGCTGGCCTCAACCAGAGCCAGGGCTTTTTCGGCTGTGGCTCCAATCTGGTGGAACACTCTGTCACAAGAGACTAGGGCCCTGCGGGACTTGACATCTTTCCGCAGGGCCTGCAAGACAGAGCTGTTCTGCCTGGCCTTTGGCCAGGGCACAGTCTGACCCCCTCCTTTGGTGATCCTCACAGAACTCTAGCCTAATGGTTGCCAATAATTTGATTCTGAATTGATTTTAGAATGAATTGATTTTAGAATGTATTTCAATTAATTGATTGTGATTTTATTAAACTGTGTTATTTTTACTGTTGTTAGCCGCTCTGAGCCCCGCTTCGGCTGGGGAGGGCGGGATATAAATAAAAATTTATTATTATTATTATTATTATTTATTATTTATTATCTCAGGCTCACGGGTTCGAGCCCCACGCTGGGCAAAAGATTCCTGCATTGCAGGGGCTGGACCAGCCGATCCTCCCGGTCTCTTTCAACCCGTACAATTCCATGATGGCCACTGGAGGGCAGCCGAGGCCACTTGGCGGAAGGATCTGAGCTTTTCCTTTGCCTTCTGGATTCTGTGCCAGAGTTCAGCAGGTCAGCAGAGATCTCTGGGGCCCCAATCCGCCTCCCCCCTTGCAACAAAGCCTGCCTCATCAAGGGCATCAATCATCCGCGTGTGACACCAGATGCCACACAGCAGCCTGGTTTCTTAGCTGGGGAGTCCCTCTCAGAAAGCCATCCCTGCTCAGAGGCACCTGCTGGCCCTTCAGCTCTGCCCTCCTGGGGGGAAGGGAGTGAGATGGGTCCCCCTGAAGCCCCTGGGGCTATGGGGCAAGAGCTGCCTCAAGGAGCCCCCTTGACTCACTCAGCTGACCAGAGCCCCCTCTCCTCCTGGGAAAGGCTTCGGAGTCACTGGGGGCCGCATCTTGTGGCAGAGAGTCCCACAAGCTGCAGACCCCGGCTGCTGTCTTCTGCAGTCTCCCCTGCTGCGACTGTGCAAAGCCCCATCAAGGCCTTTCAGTATCGGCACCTGGATGGCGTATTTATTTGTAAAAAGACTTGTATGCCTCTGTGTCACGGACAAATGATCAAAGCAGTTTGCAGCAGTAAAACCAGACAAAAAAAGTTAGCAAGAAGGCGTCAGTTCACCATGGATTAACCCTGAGATTAAGGGTCTTCTGCTCTACCAGCTGAGCTACCCCTGTGTCCCTCTCTCTCCCACTTGCTTTGGGGGCATCCGGGGGGGGGGTCCCCCCATGTCCTGAGGAGCTGGTCCTAACCCTGCCGTGGAGACGCTTCGAGAGGCGGAAGAGGAGCAAGAGGGGTTTCTCTTAGGGCTCCAGCCAGGAGACCAAGAGAAAAGCAAATTGGGAGGTGTAGAGTCACAGAATGGAGCCTGGGGAGGGACCCCGAGGGTCATCCAGCCCAACCCCTGCAAGGAAGGACTCCCAACTAGAGCACCCATGACAAGCGCCCCCCCCCCCGACCTCTGCTTCAAAGCCTCTGGTGAAGGTCTTTCGCGTGGGATCCACGTTCTACTCAAGAGTAGACCCACTGGTCCCCTGCTGATAATAGCAACGGGACTGAGTTGGGTCCCTTCATTTCAACGGGTCGCCTCTGAGCAGAACTGACTCGGCGCCGGGAAGCATTGGGGGGGGGGGAGATCTGAGGACAGGGGGTCCAAGACCCTCCCCCATCACAGGCGAGGGAAGGCGAGGGTGCCCCCCCCCGTGCCAGGCTGCTGGCGCCTGGAGAAACGTCCGGGGGATTTGGGGAGGGGGGTGAGTGACGCCCGCCTGTCCGGACGTCAGTCGTGGATCCGGAGGGGCTGCGCAGTTGGGCTCGCGCGTCATTCGGGGACCGGGGGGGGGGGAGGAAAGAGCTCCGCCCCCGCACGCCCTCCCCCCTTCCAAGCCGCTCCGTCCGCCTCCCCCCCCCCCCCCCGGCTGCATCTCTCCCCCCAAACCCATCTCTCCCTCCTCGCAATGCAGAAAACCCGCCTGCGGAAGAACAGCCCTGCAAGCTCTGCTCATCGTGAACGGATCCCGGCGTCGCCGCCGAGTGAGGAGGGAGGGGTCCCCAAAGAGCATCTAGCCAGGAATCACAGCGCAGAACCTCCTCTTCCAGGTCTGCCCTTCTGCCAGGGGCAATGGGGTCCTTCTGCTGTGCACCCATCCAGACATCACCCATCTGGTCACTGCTGAAACCCTCCCTCCCCCCCCCCCCCGCCTCTGCTCCAGCCCTTCATTAATTGCACTCCTCCTGCAAATGACTTCACGATCCCACCCCACCCACGACACCAGATTATTATTATTATTATTATTATTATTCCTCTGCCTTTTTCTCTGACAGGTACTCAAAGTAGCTTACAGATAAAATAAGAACAGCTAAAGACATGGGGGGGATGAATAAAAACAAATAAACATTGGTAGAATTAAAAATGTATAATATACAATATAAAATATATAATGAAGAATAGCACGGCACCAGCCCTGTCCCCCTCCGTTCAGGAAAAAGAAAAAGTGATGGAAATATGGAAATATCGTGAGAGGCAGGACTGAGACTTGGAGTTGCTTTGACGTTCAGGCTGTGGGAAGTCGCAAAATTAGAATTAAATTCAGAATACAATTGGATTTGTTTTTATTTTAGTTTTTTTTTGGATTATGATTTGATATGCTAACTGGATGTTTTTATTGGAAAATTAATAAACGCTCTAACAAAAAAAAGAAAGAAAAAGAAAAAGTGGCCTACTTTGCTGGGCTGGCGTAAGCTGCCCTCTCTCAGCCACCTGCCAGATGGGCCAGCGCATCTGCATTGGCATCAACAGTGCATTTTAAACATTTACAGACTAGCAGACGTTTTTGTTTTGGGGTATGAGGTGCAACCCGGGTCTGCGCCAAAATGCTGGATCCCAGAGCTGAATCTCTGCAAGGCAGGAAGCAGAAAGACCAGCAGAAAAGGCTTGAGGAATGTTTGTTTTGCTCTGGCTTTCTCCGTGTCTATTGGCTGGATCCCTCTTCCCAGATGCCAGTCATTGCTATGACTCCTCTCACTGGCTGGAAACGCCAGAGAGGCGGAAGTAGCTGAGTTTCCCCGCAAAACCAAGGAGGATAAAGGGGGTTGTGGCTCAGGAAGGAAGAAAGAGCCACATTCCATGCGCAGACCCACGTGGTGAAGAGGAAAACATTGCAGAGAACACTTTGCAAGGACAGCCCAGCATTTGTTCCCAGTTAATGACAGGGATAGGTGTAAATCTGCCCATCAGAGGCTGCAGGTCCAGCACATGCCATCATGTGATGCCTTCACTTCTGAGCGGCTGGTCACACACGTGTGAATGTCTGCAGACATGCGCCGAAACATGCATGCTCTGGCATGCAAGGCCGTTGTCGGGAGTCCTGCCTCCTCCCTGGCCTGATCTGGCAACCGACATGTGATTATTGATTATCAAGAAGCTTGTCCTCCAAGCTCTTATGCACGGGGTGCAGATGTGGAAATAAAGGGCTTTCGAGCATTTATTCCACCGTTTCAGACAGAAGTGTTAAATCTCACAGAAGTGTCTGGAAAAGGGGAAACAGGCGGCCCACAAAGAGCATCAAATGCGTCACTGGCAATGCATTAGAACAGCTCAGAGAAAGACCTTCTTCACGCAGGGCAGAGTCAGACGGTGGAACTCCCTGCCACTGGAAGAAGCAATGGCTTCAACCAACCTGGTTGAAGGATTGTACAAATTCATGGAGGAGGAGAGGGCTAGGGGTGGCGACTGACCACAAGGGCTCTGCTCCGCCTCCACAGTCAGAGACAGCCATGCTTCTGAATCCCAGAACTTAGACGCCACAGGAGGGGAGAAAAAGGTTCTTGCACTCAAATCCCATTACAGGCCAGAAGAGGAGTTCATCTCTGTCTCCTAAAGGCAACTTCTGAAAAAATCCTGCTTGCAGGTTCCCCGTAATGGGCATCTGGTCAGCAACCGTAAGAACTAGAGGGTGTTGGACTAGATGAGTCCTTGGCCTCATCCAGCAGGCTCTTCTTACAGAATCAGAGTTGGAAGGGGACCTGAGGGTCATCTAGCCCAACCCCCTGCAATACAGGAATCTTTTTGCTCAACCTGGGACTCAAACCCATGACCCTGAGATCGAGAGTCTCTATGGATGGAGCTATCTGCTATGTCTTAAAAAGCAGAGACATCACCTTGCCAACAAAGGTCCGTATAGTAAAAGCTCTGGTTTTCCCAGTAGTGATGTATGGAAGTGAAAGCTGGACCATAAAGAAGGCTGATCGCCGAAGAATGGATGCTTTTGAATTCTGGTGCTGGAGGAAACTCTGGAGAGTCCCATGGACTGCAAGAAGATCAAACCTCTCCATTCTGAAGGAAATCAGCCCTGAGTGCTCACTGGAAGGACAGATCCTGAAGCTGAGGCTCTGAGACTTTGGCCACCTCATGAGAAGAGAAGACTCCCTGGGAAAGACCCTGATGCTGGGAAAGATGGAGGGCACAAGGAGAAGGGGACGACAGAGGACGAGATGGTTGGACGGTGTTCTCAAAGCTACCAGCATGAGTTTGACCAAACTGCGGGAGGCAGTGGAAGACAGAAGTGCCTGGCCTGCTCTGGTCCAGGGGGTCACAAAGAGTCAGACACAACTGAACGACTAAACAACAACATCTACTATGTTCTTACGAAAACCACAGGAGGGGAGAAGACTTGTACCCATTTGGGGGTTTCCCTTGGGGCAACTTGCTGGCCGTTGTGGGAACAGGAAGCTGGGCTGGGTGGGCCCGATCCAGCCGGCACTTATGAAGGTCTACATCATTGCGCGGCCACAAGCAAGAGCTCCTCTCTCAGCCTCTTCGGTGGGGATGGTGGCAATGTGACAACCCTCAGCCGCGAACCAGGGAGGCTGCTCCACACGGCCCAGACCCTTGTCCCCGGGGCTGTCAGGATGCAGTGCAAGGCCCTTCCAGAATGGGAGGGCTCTCTGTTTCCCCGGGAGCAAGCAAGCAACCAAAGTGGGGGGGGGGTGTCGTTGAACAGGGCTGGCATAAGAGACAAAAGGGGTGGGAATACGTGGGCGAGTCTGTGACCTATTTGAGGCTCCCCCCCCCCCCCCCGCTTGCAGAGACTGCTCAGACACCTGACTCAGCCTGCAAAAGTGTGCTGGGGGCGTTATTTGTAAATATCTCCTCCCCCCCCTTTTGCTTGGGCTGCTGAGTCACCTCATCTGGGTCACCCTGCTCAGCCAGCTGTGGCTTCTCACTGGGGCCCAAGCCCACAGCTGGGCCATCAAGTCAGGACCCCATTTGCTGGGTGGGCAAAGAGAGGAGGACCCATCAGGAAGGCTGGGGAGGAGTCCAGGGAGAGGGGGGGTTCACCTGGAGATCCAAGCACGGGGGGGGGGGGGGCAGGGGGGGGGGGGAAGGCTTGCAGGGCCCCTGGCACCCAGGTTTGCCTTCCTCCTGGTAGGCAGACGAAAAGATATTTGCAGAGGCGGCGAAGGGGCTGGAGGGGAAAGGGAGATGCAGAGCCAGAAGAGGCAGGTGGGGGGGGAGTGTGACCCCCCCCCCCAGAAAAGCAGGGATTCCATGAGGCAGTCTGTGCATGAGAGGCTAGGCTCTTCCGCTGGAGTGGGAGCCGGGGCCCAGCACACCATTCGCCACAGGACAGCCTATAGACGGAGGGGCACATGCAGTGGTGGTCAGAGGCTCCCCGAGGCTGAGAGGGACCAAAAGTGCACAGAGGCAACATGTCCTCTGGGGACCTGCCTGGCCTTAGAATAATAATAATAATAATAATAATAATAATAATAATTTATGTATACCCTGCCCATCTGGCTGAGTTTCCCCAGAATATTAAAAACACAATAAAGCACCAAACATTAAAAACCTCCCTAAACAGGGCTGCCTTCAGATGTCTTCTAAAAGTCACATAGTTCTTTATTTCCTTGACATCTGGTGGGAGGGTGTTCCACAGGGCAGGTGCCACTACCGAGAAGGCCCTCTGCCTGGTTCCTGTAACCTCACTTCTCTCAGGGAGGGAACCACCAGAAGGCCCTCAGTGCTGGACCTCAGTGTCTGGGCTGAATGATGGGGGTGGAGATGCTCCTTCAGGTATACAGGACCGAGGCATAGAATTGTAAAGTTTGGAAGGACCCTGTGGGTCGTCTAGTCCAACCCCCACTACAGCAGGAATCACATCTCCAGAGACCCTGGCGAGTGGCCACCCGGCCTCTACTTAATAACCTCCAACGAAGGAGAGCCCACCGCCTTCCAAGGGAGTCAAAGAGCGGAAGCAGACGGCAGGCAACACAGACGCCTTGGACCCTGACCTCCCCTGGGCAGCTGAGGGGCTCCTGCCTGGCAGAAGAGGAGCTGCCCCCCCCCCGGGAAGAAGCACACTTCTTGGCAGGGGCACCCCAGGCCTTTCAACAAGAGAAGGATTTAGACTGGCTCCTGGGGGCCAGAGCCAAGTCCCAGGGGCAAGAAGGAGCAGGAGAGTGGAAGCAGCAAGCAGATAATTGCAAGGAGAGGCAGAACAATGTGCTAAGTCTTTGTTCTTAGTTCTTCCTTATGTTCCCCCCCCCCCTTCTGAGTCTGGGATGCACTTGAAATGAAGGTAAACAAATTCAGACAGGTGACAAGTGACCCCTGAGGTCCACCGTGCTTGCTGGGCTGCACCTCCTCTAGACTACTGCAAGGCGCTGGCTCTGGGGCCTCTGCTGCAGAATTCTTGGGAGCTGCAGTTGGCGCAAAAGGACATACAGGAAAAATAGTTGCCCATGGGGGGGGATGCTATGCCAGTTTTGACATGAACACGCTGCGTTCCTGGCCCCGTGAAACTCCCTTCCCAGAGAGGCTTCCCTGGTCACCGACTTCATTCCCTTTCTGTCCCCCGTTTGCCCAAGAAATTGGCAGAGTCCATTTCCAGCGCCATTCCACTTCCACGGGGCCGCCTCTCCTGGTCTGCCCCGCGGAGGACCTTAAGGTCCACAAATGACAACACTTTGGAGGTCCCAAGTCGCAAAATGGTTAGAGTGGTCTGAACTAGGGCCAGGGCCTTTTCAGTACTGGCCCCGACTTGGTGGAACGCTCTGTCACAAGAGACTAGGGCCCTGTGGGACTTGACTTCTTTCCGCAGGGCCTGCAAGACGGAGCTGTTCCGCCTGGCCTTTGGTTTGGACTCGGTCTGACCCTTGTGTTTCCCACCCCTTATGGTTTTGATTTTTGGGCTACTTTTAAAATGAGACTGCATTTTAAACTGCATTTTAACCTGTATTTTAAATTGGTTTTTCCCCGTTATGTTTTTATTGTAATTTTACTGGTGTTAGTCACCCTGACCGTATTTTTCGCTCCATAAGACACACTTTTTTCCTCCTAAAAAGTAAGGGGAAATGTCTGTGCTTCTTATGGAGCAAATGCGTGGTCCCTGGAGCCGAATTGCCCAGGGGCGAAGAGCAGATCATGCTTTTTTTTTTTTTTTAGAAAGAGGGAAGGGATTATTGAAAGGAAACAGCTGATCGGCAAGGGATCAGGAGAGAGATAAGGGACTCTAGAGATAAAGGGAGGGGGGAGGTAAAAGCCAATGTATCCTCAGGATTTTTGCATTGGGTCACCCCAAATTCACCATCAGATCACAAAGCATGTCCATAGCTATAGCCTGCACCCAAAAATCACACACCCACTGTTTTGTGGGGCCGCAATGGCGCAAAAACGTGGTTACAGAGCAGAGATCCACATGGATCCTCAAGATTTTTGTATTGGGTCACCCCAAACTCACAGTCAAATCACATATCATGTCTGTGTCCACAGCATGAACCACAAAAATCATACATCCACTGTTTCATTCAGAATATTTTTTTTCTTGTTTTCCCTCTCTAAAAACTAGGTGCGTCTTACGGTCAGGTGCATCTTATGGAGGGAAAAAATACAGTAAATAAAATTTATTATTATTATTATTATTATTATTATTATTATTATTATTATTATTTCCATCGAGCTGTTTCCCTGTGGCATTGGGCTTCTACCTGCAGCCATTTGTCCCTGACCCTGTGTGGCATTTCTTCCAATTCTCAGGCTGCGACCGTTGCTCTGGGAAACGAGGCTGAAGAGCAGCTCCCGTTCAAATAAAAAAACGGCAAGGAGGGGGAAAGCTGTCTGCCTGAACAGCGACCAGAAAACATTTTGCTCCCTGCAGGTCTGCATGATATCGCAACCCCAAAGGCGACCCAAATCCATCTCCCTGCTTGCTGGCATTCTCCTGCTGCTGAAGGGAGGCGTCCGGCGGGCGCTTGCCCTTGCCCCCCCCCGGTCCTGGCATCCTCTCTGCAGGGCAAGGCCAGCCGGGCATTGAGACCCAAAAGCTTCTGCAGGCAGTAGCTGAACAGGCAGAGCCTGCCTGGAACCCCAGGCGGGTTTATTAATAACACTTAGCAGAATTTGGGGCTGCTCAGCTGAGTCTCTAAATCCCACCTGCTCTCCTGCAGGGATGCAAAATATTGCTCTGCTCAGGCGTATTTCAGAAGATACAGGCTGCACCCACTGAACTTGGCCGGAGGCTCATTCGTCGCCTTCCTTAATGGATGCAGATGACAAGGACCAGCCCTTTGGGATCCGGGTGGCATTTATCCTGAGGCAGGCAAGCAGGGAAGCTGCCAGAGCTGGCGCCCACCAGAGCCCTTTCCAAGCCTCAGAGGGGACATTGTGTCCTCTCCTGGAGAACTTCTGTTGCAGCCTCCTTGTTTCTGCAGAGGCCACAGACTGAGCCTCCGTCTCGCTTGGAAATCAGGAAACTGAGCCCCCGGCAAGACGCCAAAGGCGCTTCCTTCCCCTTTGCAGAACAAGTGTCAAGAGAAAGAGTCCCGCTTTGCTGTCGGAACAGGAGCAGCTGTTTAATTTGTTCCTCCTGGTGGATGAAGCGTCACAGCAGTCGTTCCCTTAAGGCATTTGCCACCTGCCTTTTGCAACCTGGCTAAAGAGTGGATCACTGCAGCTGGTTTGGACCACAACTCCCAGCAGCCCCTGCTTGACACAGCTCCACGAGGGTGGGGCAGCGGGTGGGAGCACAGTCACGCTGGACTAGGGATGATGGGATTTGTAGTCCAGCTTGGAGGGTGCCAAGACGGGGAAGGCAAGGCTAAGGAATTCCTGGGCTCCTGGAAGTTTCGCTGTTGTGGTTGTTACTACAGCCATTACTAACTTGTGATTCTAGGTTCTAGGGTGTGTTGCAGCACAGGAAAATACAAGGAAGGCAAAAGAGACCCCAGTTCCCTGCACACCCTTCCATGTATACCCCACCCCCCTTCATCTGTAGACCTCAGGGTCCTTCACAACATAAAACTGCAGTATATAGAAAGTGGGGGATTTGAGGCCGGGTCTCCCAGACAGATGCTTTATATTCAGATTTTAAATCTGCACCAGCTCATTCAGCACAGGACTTAAGAACCAGGTTCTGTGCAGAACTGGAAAATGTTTTACACCCCAAGGCTGCATATTTGACTGTGGGACAGAATCCCTCAGAAAGAGGTGGTCTCTCCTTGGCTGGAGGCTTTTAAGCACCGGTTGGATGGCCACCTGTCAAGACTACTTGAGATTGGGTTGGACTAGATGATCCTCAGGGGTCCCTTCAAAGTCGGCCATTCTAGGATTCTATTATTCTCCCCTGTCCCAGTTGGATACTTTATCACCAACCTGCCTCCCTGTTCAGGGAAGTTTTTAATATTTAATGCTGTATTGTTTTTAACACTCAATTGGGAGCCACCCAGAGTGGCTGGGGAAACTCAGCCAGATGGGCAGGGTACAAATAAAATAATTATTATTTATTATTATTATTATTATTATTATTATTATTATTATTATTGTTACTCAAGGAGACAGAGCTGGAAAATATTTTGCATCCCAAGGAACTGCACTCAAGTGGGAAAGTTAAGCAATATATTGATATATAATCCAAAACCAGTTTGAAGTCCGTATTGTGATATCGTGACCTGGCAATATACTGCAAATCTTGATGTGTCTGTTGGGCCTGGGATTTCTCCAGCCCTGCCCGCCTGGTCCCACCCTGCTCTTCGCTGCACTAGCGACGGAGAGGAAGGTCACCGCAGGACAGAGATCTTAAGCCCCGGTTGGCACTGCCAGATGGGCACACACGTCCCCTCACCCCCCTCCCTCTGCTCAGCGGGTTTGCCTTTTGCTTCTGACCCCTGGGGAGCCTGGCAGGCGGGCGGAGAAGGTCAGGCAAGCTTCCTCTCCAGCTGTGAGCTTGCTGGCCAGATGTGCAGCAGCTCAGGCGGGCAAGAGACTCTGGCGGACTCTGCGGGTCAGGAAGGCACCGATCCTGCGAGGGCTGCAAGGCCAGGCCTGGCTCTCCTGCCAGGTAGAAAAATGCAAGCTGGAATCTAGGAACCTTGGGGGGCAGCCAATCTGTGGGGTAAAAGCCTGCTGGTTTGGGGAGGAGGGGGTTGCAGGAAGCGCCATGAGGGCAGGCAGCTCTCCTAGCACAAACTGCAATGGATCCGCACCCAAGACCCAGATTTCTCTTAAGAAATCAGCCAGGAAGCTAAGAAGGCCAGTTGAGGATGTCCTGAATAACACAAGCAGAGTCTGCCTGGTATACGGTATACGGTATACGGTATACTGGTATACGGAAGCACTGCTGCCTCCGACTGTGGAGGGCAGAGCCAATAGCCCTTTCCTCCTCCCTGAATTTGTCCAATCCTCTTTTAAAGCCATACCTGCCTCCTTGTGGCAGTGAGTTCCACAGTTCAACTTTGCATTGCATGAAAAACTTCCTTTTATTTGTCCTGAATCTTCCAGCTTCATTGGACACCTGGCCCAGGAGCGGGTTCAAGGTGGGGCTCCCCACACACAAGAGAGACCCCCACACTCCACAGGCTACCCTTCCCCTTGCGGGGGTTGGGCTAGATGACCCTCAGGGGTCCCTTTCAGCTCTACAATTCTATGAATCTGCTATTCTCCCTCCACAAGATGGAGACCTCCCTCGCTGGGTTTCCTAGGCAATGACAGAAGCCAAAGAGGCTCTGGGCTCCCTGGCCTAAAGGCTTTGCCAATTCCCACTTCCAGCTGCAGGACTGGGAAGCGTCCTCTCGCCTTTGGCAAGGAAAGGGAGACGCTCCGTGGGAAGAGGACTTGGCTGGGGAGGCAGGAGGCAGATTTATGTTGGGGCTGTGGTGAGCCAGCAGGCCTTCAGGAGCAACCAAGAACCCGGTGGGTGGTGGGGAGTAGATGAATCGGACAATTACAGCGTTGGGACCCCAGGGGTCATCTATCCCAACCCCCTTCAATGCAGGAATCACACCTAAAACATCCAGGACAGACAGCCCTCCAGCCTCTGTTGAAAAACGCAAGATGAAGGAGACTCCAGGGGAGTCTGTTCCACTGCCAAACAGCTCTCCCTGTCTCAATGTTTACTTGCAATCTCCTTTCTTGTCATTGGAAGCCACGGGTTCGAGTCCTACCCTCTGGAGCAGGAGAAAACAAGCATGCTCCCTCTCCCATGTGACGGCCTTTAAGATATTTGAAGGTGGCTCCCGTATCTCATCTCAGTCTCCTCTTTTCCAGGCTCAACATACCCAGCTCCTTCAGCCGTTCCTCACCAGGCTTGCCTTCCAAATCCTCTGCCCACGTTCCAGCTTGCCACAGAGTAAGAGAATACGAGAGCTGGAAGGGAACCCCAGGGGTCATCTAGTCCAACTCACTGCGGGGCAGGAATCTCAGCTGAAACATCCCTTGTCCATATCCTTCTTAAATGGTGGTGCCCAGAACTGGGCACAGGACTCCAGGACAACCTGCTCTTGGGTGGGGGGCTTCGAAGCCTGACCAGCCTGGTCAGGACAGAGGAAAGGAAGCCCTTCTTCATGCAGCACATAAACTGTGGAACACCCTGCCACTTGGGGCAGAGATGGCCACCAACTTGGAGGACTTTAAAAGAGGATTAGACAGATTCACAGAGGAGGAGAGAGCTGCCAGCAGCTCTTAACCACCCTGGCACGGCTCTGCCAGGGGCCAGCAACACTTCTGAATCCCAGCTGCTGAAAAAAATGTTTAAAATAACCTTTTCTTAAAGAAAACCCCCAAAGCCTTCCTTGGAGGAATTATAGGTGCCAAAATCGCAAGGGAGCAGGAAAGACTATCTATGTTCGCAACTACAGCTGTGCGGATGTTACTGGCCCAGAGATGGAAAGAAGATAAAGTCCAGAGAAGGCAGGCAGATCAAGTGGATGAATTATGCCAAAATGGCCAAAATGACCGGAAGAATCAGAAATCAGGAAGACCAAAATTTCAATAAGGAATGGGGAAAATTTATAACCTATCATAAAAACCATTGCAAACAGTTAAAAACTTTAGTAGGATTGGAATACCACTCGTAGTTTAAAGGTGAACTTTGGACACAATGGAGAGGTAAAAGATTTGGATTATCATAAAAGATGCAGGAGGAAATGATTAACAGTAGGACCCACATTGCTTTTCTTGGGAGAAAAGCAATGGCAAACCTAGACAGCATCTTAAAAAGCAGAGACATCACCTTGCCAACAAAGGTCCGTATAGTTAAAGCCATGGTTTTCCCAGTCGTGATGCATGGAAGTGAGAGCTGGACCATCAAGAAGGCTGATCGCCAAAGAATGGATGCTTTTGAATTCTGGTGCTGGAGGAGACTCTTGAGAGTCCCATGGACTGCAAGAAGATCCAACCTCTCCATTCTGAAGGAAATCAGCCCTGAGTGCTCACTGGAAGGACAGATCCTGAAGCTGAGGCTCCAAGACTTTGGCCACCTCATGAGAAGAGAAGACTCCCTGGAAAAGACCCTGATGTTGGGAAAGATGGAGGGCACAAGGAGAAGGGGACGACGAGATGGTGGGACAGTGTTCTCGAAGCTACCAGCATGAGTCTGACCAAACTGCGGGAGGCAGTGGAAGACAGGAGTGCCTGGCGTGCTCTGGTCCATGGGGTCACGAAGAGGCGGACACCACTAAACAACAACAACAACAGGACCCACAAAGGGGAGGAGGAGGGAAGTCTGGGAAATTCCTGGGAATCTAATTTATATGTTTGATATGTGACTGTAAAGTTTTAATCTGAAAAACCAAATAAATATATGTATTGGGGGGGGGGGAAGAACCCCAGTTGCTGGAAATTGTGGGATGGGAGAGAGCTCTTACATTCCGCTCCTCCTTGGGGCATCTGATGCAGCAGGCTCTCCTTGGATTCCCAAATCGAGCCTCCATGGACAGAGCCAGTCTACCTTGAAATGGCAGAGAGCAAGAGTGGGGAAAGGCTCCCCTTTGGAGGCACCTGGTTGGCCGCTGTGAGAAGAGGCTGGAGGGTTGGAGGAGCCACTGGCCGGATCCAGCTGAAGGCTTTCCTTGTTTTGCCTTTGTCCACACATAGCCAAGGAAGGAAGAGGGAGGGAGGAGTCCTCGGAAGGTGACAGCCGTGCCCGTCCTCCAGCCCGCCAGGGAAACACCACTGGGGAAACCCAGGCGGAAGCCGCAAGAAGCCGCCCACAACCACCTGCGCAGCCCAACAACTTCCTGGCGCTGCCCGCAGAACTTCCTGCCTCCCGGGGCTGCTCTGAGACAGGCAGGGTCAGGCAGGCAGCGCCAGGGAGGTGGGCAAGGCATGCCCAGAAGGGCATTCCTAGGAGGAAACCTCAAGAAATTCGGCAGCTTGGCAGAATCCATTGGGGGGACTCCAAAGAACTCAAAGAATCATTGAACTTCAGGGCCAGAAGGGACCCAAGGGTCATCTAGTCCAACCCTGTGCAATACAAAAATCGCAGCTGATCACCCAGACGCAGACTCCTCTCTCCAAACACCTCTGTTTCCTACTTCTGAGAGCCAGCTCACTGTCTTTCTGAAGCTGAACCTCTTTTTAATATTGTATTTTAATATTGTGTTGGAAGCAGCCCAGAGTGGCTGGGGAAACCCAGCCAGATGGGCAGGGTATAAAAAATATTTATTATTATTATTATTATTATTATTATTATTATTATTATTACTATATTTATTATTATTATTATTATTATTATTATTATTATTATTATTTTCAATACTCACCCCTCCCTTTTCCCTATTTTTGGACAGGCATAAAATTGAGATTAATCTCTTTATTGCCAGATCCTGAAAGGGAGGAGCTTTTAGCTGTGATTTTTGCATTGCAGGAGGTGGGACCAGATGGCTAATATCATGTTCCCTTATACAAATCTATGGCGCAACCACATTTGGAATAATACTATAATATTGCAGAGTTTGAAAATGTTCAGAAAAGGGCCACCCAGATGATTGAGAGGAGGGAGCGACTCCCTTAGAAAGAAAGGCTGCAGAGTTTCGGACTTTTCAGTTCAGAGAAGAGGCTAGTGAGAAGTGACATGTTAGAATCATAGAACTGGGGAGTTGGAAGGGACCACACTAGTTCAGCCCCCTGCCATGCAGGAATCCTTTGCCCAATGGGGGGCTCAAACCCACAACTCCATTCCAGAAGTCTGTTTGACTTCCAAAACGTTTGGAAACCAAAGCACGGCTTATGATTGGCTGCAGGAAGCTCCTGCAGCCAATTGGAAGCTGTGGAAACCCCATCAGACGTTCAGCTTCCAAAAATAGTTGGCAAACTGGAACACTCACTTCCGGGTTTGCGGCGTTCAGGAGCCAAAACGTTCGAAAACCAAGGTGTGACTGTATTGTAAAGCGTGGAGAACTTGTGGACCTTCAGTGATGTTGAATGAGGAGATTCAGGGTGGATGCAATAAAGTTAAACTGTGGAACTCCCTCCCACAAGAGATGGGGGAGCTTTAAGTGAATATTAGATGAATTCATGGATACAGATATCAATAGATGGCTCTGTTCTGCCTCCACAGTCAGAGGCAGCAATTCTTCTGAATCCCAGTTGCTGGAAACCCCTAGAGGGGACAGCATTGGACTTGAGTTCGAATCCTGATCACTGATTTCCATTTGAGGCATCAGGAAGAACTTTCCGACAGCACTAGCATTCAGTGGCAGCCACAGAGCATGCCAGGCAGCCTGGACGAAACTGTGGCTGAGGGCAGTGCCAGCCTGTGAGTCAGAGGGCAGAGATTCCTCGCCCAGCTCCAGCCTTCCGCCCCCACCCTGCCAGTCAGCTGGTGACCAGCCCCCACCCCAAACCTCACGCCAGCTGCCGGAGGGGAGGGAAGCAGCTGCCCCATGGCTTGCCAAGGCCTGGAGGGCAGTGACCACGGGCAGCTCAGGCCCTTTCGTCACAGCAGCAGCCCCTCAACCGCCCCATGGAGCAGAGGCGGAAAGGGACCCTGGATGAAGTGGACCCCCAGGGAAGGCAGGAAGCCCCCCACCCCAAGTGGGCTTCAGCCAGCCCCCTTTTCCAGCCTGGCCTGCCTCACAGGGCTGCTGTGGGGACGAGGCGGGGAAGATGGGAGAAGCAGGCAGCAACCTCCCTTTGCCCCTCACCAGCCAAAGGACTTCTGCATTTTTCAGGAAACTCAAATTGTTGCCTCCGCGATTCCATTTGTAACCAGCTCAACGTTGTATTTGGTGTCGCATCCTGGAGCCCTGACAGCTGCCACTCCCTCTTCCAGTTCTCTCTCTGAAACAAGGCTCCCTTTTTGTAAAAATCCACCACCAAAAATCCCCTCTCTTGTTGTTGTTTAGTCGTTGAGTCGTGTCCGCCTCTTCGTGACCCCCTGGACCAGAGCACGCCAGGCACTTCTGTCTTCCAGAAGAAGAAGAAGAAGAGTTTGGATTTGATATCCCGCCTTTCACTCCCTTTAAGGAGTCTCAAAGCGGCTAACATTCTCCTTTCCCTTCCTCCCCCACAACAAACACTCTGTGAGGTGAGTGGGGCTGAGAGACTTCAGAGAAGTGTGACTGGCCCAAGGTCACCCACCAGCTGCAGGTGGAGGAGCGGAGACGCGAACCCGGTTCCCCAGATTACGAGACTACCGCTCTTAACCACTACACCACACTGGCCTCCCGCAGTTTGATCTTACTCATGCTGGTAGCTTCCAGAACACTGTCCCACCATCTCGTCCTCTGTCGTTCCCTTCTCCTTGTGCCCTCAATCTTTCCCAACATCAGGGTCTTTTCCAGGGAGTCTTCTCTTCTCATGAGGTGGCCAAAGTCTTGGAGCCTCAGCTTCAGGATCTGTCCTTCCAGTGAGCACTCAGGGCTGATTTCCTTCAGAATGGAGAGGTTTGATCTTCTTGCAGTCCATGGGACTCTCCAGAGTCTCCTCCAGCACCAGAATTCAAAAGCATCAATCCCCTCTCAAAACACCTCAATTCCCTGATTCTTAGAGCTGAGCTCTCTCTCTTAAGGCAAACCTCTTCTGCCAAGTCTTCATTTCTTTGACAAGTTACAGACGGGCATAAAATTGAGATCCATCTCGAAAATCACATTATTTGCAGATGGGGGGGGACACACACACCCAGCCCACTTTTTGCTGTGCTTCATGCATTGCAGAGGGTTGGACCAGATGACCTTTGGGATCCCCCCCATTTCTACGATTCTATATGCCAACTTTGATTTGGGGGTGCTTTCAGGCTGGGAGCAGGCGAGTTTTCTAGGGACCTGGGGGCAAATTCCTGACTTCTTAGCATTGGGGGGGGGTAGGAATCACGGAGCCACAACACAATATAAGGTTCAGTGCAGTAACATTTTCAAAGAACAGGGTTTGGGGGAGCAACTGAGCAACAGGGTGGATAAAAATAAATGGTTTCTAACAAATTTAATCAGATTTGTTTTCTATTTAATTTGGATTTTTAAAATAAAATGCTTTTGGAGAAAAAACCTTTCTAAAGATAGTTTTCTGTTTAAATTACATTATAGTCCAAAGGCTATTCATCAGGAAATAAGGTTTTAAGTTTTTCATGTGCGCTAAAACTCAAAGGTTTTTTTAAAAAAAATGATTAACCACATCAAGTTAACAAACATGGATACATAGGTTCTAATGTTTTTGTTTTAGTTAAATAAATTGTTTAAATTGTTACTAAGGAAATGATTATTCTTCTCCTTCCATTAAAGTACAGCAGAAAAGTTGTCCAAATATAAGCAGTTAACTTATTAAACCTCACAATAATTTCACAATTGTCTGTCTATGTATTTCTAATAGTATAACCAAATCTGTATTTTTTATATAACTGTAAAAACTACTCTGAAAATTTATTATTCCAAAAATGAAACCTTCATTTGATTGCAAATATTAAGATTATACCAGCAAGAATGAGTCTTTCTGTAAAAAAATAATGATTTAAATCAAGTCTTAGTGACTAGTGATTTAAATCAATTTGATTTAAATCAAATCATCCCTGCTGAGCAACCGTGCCCTCAGACACACAGACCCCACCACAAACACCCCCCCCCCCAATCTCTTGGGCAAAGTTTGGCCCCGTCACCTGCAATGGGGAATCTGCTGGAGGGAGGCCAAGTTCCACCCACCCTCCTGGCATCGGGCAGCCCCCTGGGCATCAGATCTTCCGCACGTGCCTCTCCCAAGCAGATGCCCCCCATCAGCACCTGCCCTCTCCCTGCTCAGCTGCCCCTGCGACCAGCCCAAGGGAGGGGCCAGGGTGGCACAGCATGGCAAGATGCCCACCCAGGGGCACCTGGGCCCAGGCAAACTCAGGGGTGCCAGGTGCTCTTTCTGTGTGCAACAGGACTGGCACCAGCTGCCCATCTGCCAGGCTCTCCTTGGCTTCCCTGGCAGGAGGGAAGTTGGAGAGAGTGGCATCAGCCCTGCCTCACACGGCAGAGTCGCCTGAAGCCAAGCAGAGGGAGCTCAGTTGCTGGAGCATAAAAATAATAATAATAAATTTTATTTATACCCCGCCCTCCCCGGGCTCAGGGCGGCTAACACCAATAAAATCACAGTAAAAACATAATGGGGGGGGGGGGTTTAAAATACAGGTTAAAATGCAATTTAAAATGCAGCCTCATTTTAAAAGTAGCCCATGGATCAAGATCATAAGGGGAGGGAAACATAAGGGTCAGACTGAGTCCAGACCAAAGGCCAGGCAGAACAGCTCTGACTTGCAGGCCCTGAGGAAAGATGTCAAGTCCCGCAGGGCCCTGGTCTCTTGGGACAGAGTGTCCCACCAAGTCGGGGCCAGTACTGAAAAGGCCCTGGCCCTGGTTGAGACCAACCTAACCACCTTGCAACTTTGGACCTCCAAAATGTTGTTATTTGTGGACCTTAAGGTCCTCCGTGGGGCAGACCAGGAGAGGCGGTCCCATAGACTTGTAATCTCAGGGTTGTGGGTTCGAGCCCCATGTTAGGCAAAAAGATTTCTGCATTCATTGCAGCGGGTTGGGCTAGATGACCCCTGGGGTCCCTTCAGCTCCAGAATTCTATTTTTCTAAGGCAGTGGTTGCACCAGTGTCGGGATGTGTCTGCTGCACACAAACCACGTGGTGGCAAGCACCACGGCCCCAGAGTGCCACGTGGTGCCATGGGGAGTGCCGTGGGTGGGTGGGGAAGGGGAAAGGTGGCCCCCACATGTGGGCAGAGGGTGAACATCGCTTCTGAACCTGGGCCTCCACTGCCAAGTGGTAATGGTTCTTACGGTCAGGCAGATGTGCAGGATTTAGCCCCATGAGCAAGAGGACTCGCACTCAAGACCAGCAGAGGCAGCTGCCAGGAAGAGGGATGCTGAAGCCCCAGGCGCCCCCACTCCCCCCACCCGGCAGCCCAGATAGCAGACGGCAGCTCCCTCCTCGCACCGCCCCCCCTGGTTTGAGAGGAAAGAATCTTTGAAAACGTGACAGAAATGTCTTCTGTTGCTTGGAAACCAAACGGCAAAACCAAGCGAACCCCCTAAATTACTATTCTTAGGTTCTGGAGCGGGTGGTCGCAGACCAGATCCAGGCGCTCTGGGAGGAGGCAGGTTTTCTGGATCCGTTTCAATTGGCGTTTAGGCCTCGTTTGAGCACAGAAACTGCTTTGGTCTCCCTGCATGATGACCTTTGTTGGAAGAGAGAGGGGGGAAATTTGTCCCTGTTAATTCTCCTCGACCTCTCAGTGGCTTTCAGTTCCATCAGCCATGGGATTCTTTTGGACTAGGGGTGGGTGGAACCGCTTTGTGGTGGTTCCGGTCCTACTCAGATGGTTGGTCCCAGAGGGTTATGCTTGGGGGGGTTTTCTTCGTCCCCGTGGAGCCTTCAGTGTGGGGTTTTTGAGGACTCAATTCTATCCCCTCTATGCTGTTTAACATCTACATGAGACCACTGAGTTGTGTTACTCTGAGGTTTGGGGTACGTTGTCAGAAATATACTGATGACACACAACTCTACTTCTCCTTGACACCTGCCGGTGAGGCAGTGGAAGTGCTGGAAGTCTTGCCTCAGTAATGGACTGGATGAGAGCCAACAGACTGAAGCTCAATCCAGATACGACTGAGGCTGTGTTAGTGGGTGGTTCCTCAGACCAGATGGCTGGGAGGTCGCCTGCTCTTGATGGGGATACGTTTCCTCTGAAGGAGCAGGTTCGTAGCCTGGGGGTCCTCCTGGATCCTTTGCTGTTGCTCGAGGCTCAGGTGGCCTGTGGCCTGGTGTGCCTTCCATCATCTTCGGCTGGTGGCCCAGCTATGCCCCTATCTGGACAGGGAGAGCCTAACCACTGTTCTCTATGCTCTGGTATCCTCAAGGTTAGATTGCTGCAATGCATTCTACGTAGGGCTGCCTCTGAAGACGGTTCGGAAACTTCAGCTGGTGCAGAATTCAGCGGCCAGGTTGCTGACTGGAGCAAGATGGTTTGAGCATCTTACACCGATCCTGGTCCAACTGCACTGGCTACCGATTAGTTTTCGGGCCCAATTCAAAGTGCTGTTTTTGACCTATAAAGCCTTAAATGGCTCAGGACCGCAATGCCTCAATGCCTCTCCATCTGAACCTACCCGGACCCTGAGATCACCTTCCGAGGCCCTCCCTCGTGTGTCTCCTCCATGTCCGGAGGGTGGCAACACGAGAACGGGGCCTTCTCTGCAGTGGCTCCCCATCTGTGGGATGCTCTCCCCAGGGAGGCTCGCCTAGCACCATCATTACATATCTTTAGGCACCAGGTGAAAACATTTTTCTCTAACCAGGCCTTGGCTGATGAACGTTCTATGGCCTTTTAAATCTGTTTCTGGGAGGGGGGGCGAGGGGTTTGCTTTGGCTCTTGTTCTTATCATGCATTTTGGCTTCTCACTTTGCATTTCTATGTTGTGAATCGCCCTGTGGTCTTCAGATGCAGGGTGGTACACAGATTTAATAAAGAATAAAGAATAATAATACTATGGTGCTCGTTCCACAATAAATGGTGACCTATGAGATTAGGAAAAGAGATACGAGGGAGTTGCCAGTGCCCGCCCACCCGACAAAAAATGGGTAAGGCTGAGTGGCCAAGAAACATGTGGGAGGGTGGAAGGAAGGAAGGAAAGACTAGAAGCTTGTCTTTGACGGAGCCACAGAAGACGGGCGGGTGCCTGTCCCCACCCCCAGAACACTTGCCGCCTCCGGCACAAGACGAATTGCAAGAGACAGGCCAACGCCCAGGAATCTGCCACACTCCAGCCCCCCAGAGCTGCCTGTGGGTCAGTGGAGCTCTTGAGCCACAGACACAAGGCAGCTGCCGCAGGATCCAAGCACAGCAAAAGCCACAGAAAACCCAGAAGAAAAATGTGGGGCGTTTCGTACTCTAGCCGTAAGAGCCCCGAGGAGAGGGTGTGGCTGGGAGCGACCCACAGAATCGTAGAATTGTAGCAGTGGAAGGGAACTCCAAGAGACATCTAGTCCAACCTCTGCCATTGCAGGAATCAGAGCCGCCTCCCTGCCGGACCACCCCACACTACAGTTCTCTCTCCCCCCCCCCAGGACTCAAAGTCCAGGGTTCTTCAGAGACCCCCAAGCAGCCCAAACGAACCGTGCAGCCCAAGCAAAGGGGCACAACCCACAAATCTGGAATGGAATGGGGAGGCCATGGGGACTGTGCTATATATGTGTGTGTGTGTGTGTGTGTGTGTGTGTGTGTGTGTGTGTGTATCCAGCCCTCTGCCCACAATACACTTGGGGGGGGGCGCAGTGGAGAAGAGCAGAGTTGACCACTAAGCCAGTTGCCCACTGTCTGACACCAAGCAAAAGGCAATTTGTTCCAAGCCAAGCTTTCCTTTGCAAATCGAGACTTGAGTGTCCCTCCAGTGAAGGTGGAACAAGCTGGTTTTCTGCTGCCTGGATTCAAAGTACAAGAAAGGAGATTCGGACTAAACACCTGGAGGGACTTTCTGGCGGAAAGAGCCATTCAGCAGCAGAATGGACTCTCCTTCCTGGGAGGTTTTTAAGCAGAGATCGGACAGCCATCCGTCAGGGATGCTTGAGCTGAGATTCCTGCATTGCAGGGGGTGGACCAGAGGACCCCTGGGGTCCCTTCCAACTCCACAGTTCTACAGTTATATGATTCCCTTTCCCATGGTTAGCTCACAGTTAAGAGTCCCTTAAATGGGAAAGGGCACAGGAGCAGAACCTGTTTCTGGGCCCCAGGACGGCTGGATGTCCCAGAGGCAGAGAGCAAGAACCCCTTGCAAGCCTTGCTCTCCTCCCCAGCCCAAATTGCAGAAGGGATTGAAGCAACATCTTCTAGAACTTAACTGTGATACAAAATTGCCTATCACACACACAGGAATATATCGAATACAGTCATACCTCTGGTTACAGACGCTTCAGGTTGCGTGTTTTCAGGTTGTGAGCCGTGCCGAACCCGGAAGTACCAGAATGGGTTACTTCCGGGTTTCAGCGGTCTCACATGCACAGAAGCACCGAATCACAACCTATGCATGCGCAGACGCGGTGCTGCGGATCGCGAACGTGCCTCCCACATGGATCACGCTCGCAACCCAAGCGTCCACTGTATATTTAATTCAACTGAGATCTTAGGAAGATTAAACTACAAAGCCAAAAGTTTCAGCCGTGTGAATTTGCCTTTCGCTAGCAGGAACAAAACAGAGAAGCAAACAAAACACTGGCCATCTGTAGAGTTTTGCCAAATTATACACTGTATTTGAAAGAGCGGCTTAAAAGTTCTGTAAGAGCCCCTTTCCTTGATCCATAGGAACACAGGTGGACTAAAAGCAAGAAGGTCTCATTTTGTATCAACTGAAGGGGAAACTGTATCCAGTTAATGACTAAGCAAAATATGACTCCTAAGAGGCGCCACAAGAAGACCAGAAAGTATCATCCTTTATGTTGGAAACATCAGGCGAAGAAACTCACTTTCCATTATGGTGTCTCTTTCCCAGAGAAGAAGCTCTTAGGGGAAATGTGAGACCACAACTACACTGAGACCTTCTTCCCCTGATGCTGACAGGGCCTGAAAGCAACACAGTCACCTCAACAAGTCCTAACAAGAATCAGAGAATCGCAGAATCGGAAAGGACCCCGAGGGCATCTAGTCCAGCCCCTGCAATGCAGCAAGAACCCAGGATAAAACAAAGAAAGGCAAGCCTGTTATTGGGACGTTGATGCTGACCTATCGGAATGGCCCCTAGTTAATGGAGATCTTCGCTAAAGACTCCAGAGGAAGGTCGTGGGGCGAGAGGAGAGGTCCTCCTCTTTTTGAAGCAGAAGCTGGCTAGAGAACTGGAAGTGGGGAGCAGAGACAAATGGGGCTGCTCCCCACAGAGGGATGTGGAAAGCACCCTCAGAAAGAGCAGAATTGGGGCATGAGCTTTTTGACTAGTACATAAATTGTCTGGAGTCGGGTGAACAGTGAGGTGAAACTGGAAGCACCAAATCTCCCATGCTAGAGATCATTAGGAAAGGAACCGGAAATAAAACTGCCATCATGCCATCTATAATGTGATTTGGGAGGCCTGCGCCCCATTCTGTTTGCCTCTCCTCCAAGAGGATATCGCACAGCTGGAGAAGGTTCCGAAAATGATGGAGAAGGGGATGCAGAAACTCCCCTCTGGGGAAAAGTTGCAGCATTGGGGGATTTTCCGTTTGCAAAAAAAGGTGAACAAGAAGCGACAAGACGGATGTTTATAAAATTGGGCACAGTGCAAAGTTTTTCTTCCTGTCTCACAATGCAGCTTCGTGAGCCGCCAACGAAACGGAGATCCAGAACTGGCAAGAGAAAGTCTTCCTTCAAGCAACTTGTAGTCAACTTGAGGAATTTGATCCGGCCCACCTGCAGGGCTCCTCCGAGGTCCTCCTGGCCTGATCACCGCTGGCACACACCTGGTGAACAGGTATGGCACAGGTAGCAGTGCCAGGGCTTTTCAGGTACTGGGGGCACCCAGCTGGCGTCCAGCGAGTGGCAAGGCCAAAGGAAGGCAATTCCTAAAGGCTGAGGACCACGTGGGTCAGGCAAGTCACCGGCTTCAGCACCCAGCCTCCCCAACGGGGCCACCAGGGACTCGACCAGCCAGCTGCTGAGGTGCCCCCCCCAAATCTGGGCCACAGCAATCTAAACATGGCCGGACCAGTGTTAGAAACTCAAATATATCAGCTAGGCGCCCAATGGCACATGAGAACCAAGGTTACAGTCAGCAAAGTGGAATGTCTACTTGCCATTTTTGGGCAAGATGGCTCTCTAAAGTCATTTTCCAAATGATGGATTGAGTGTGATTGAACATCCAGCCAGTTCATATGACAAGGTTGAGTTGGGTGAAGAGCTTTGAGAACTTAAAGAAGGAAAGTCCCTTGATCCAGGGACAATCCACATATATATTGGCCTATACTGACCTCTTTTTCTTAAGGGTGACACAGATCATGCATAACATAGGGATATTCTTCGCAAGTGTGAGCTAGGCTGGGTAGGGATGGGGGAAGCAAAGACAAGCCACAACAATTCACTATAACATTGGTCTCTTCTCCTGCTCAGGCTGCACGGATAAAGCATTTTGGTTCCTGAAATTCATTCTGATTGTGCAGATAAAATAGAACGGATAGAATTCTGCAGGATGTGTTGCTAGTGTGTGAAAAGAGTCACGATCCAAGGTGCAGGCACGCACCTCCAGGCGGTGGAGACATCAGGCACCCTCCTGGAACTCAGGCATCTTCACTTGGTTGCAAGTGGCCAGTAGCCAGGTGCAAAATGTGCCTGGCGGATTTTAACACACACCCAGGACACCCAAGGAGGCTGCCTTTGAGGAGTGCCCTTGGCTGCCCCTGGATGCCACGTAGAGAGTCTGGAAGGGAAAAGGACACCCACAGAAGGATACAGGATGGGTGTGGGGTTCAACACCACCCTCACCCCTGGACTTCCAGCATCGAAGGCCAGAGCTGGACGAGTCCTTGGCATAAGGCTGGCACCTGTGGGTTGACCTGGCATTTCCAGCTCTTGACAAGATCCCTGCCTCCGAAACCAGTGATGCTCCCTCAGTCCCAGATGTCTCCTTTCGGGGGCGGGGGGCTCTTGCAAAGCTTCTCCCTTCCTACCAAGCAATGAATGCCAGGCCACAGACAGACAGCTGGTTTCTCCTGCTGCCGCCAAGGCCCCATCCTGCCCCTGGCAGCAGAGTGGACATACTTTTGAGGCTCCTACCAGCTCCCAGTGCTGCTCTGGTTCGCCAGAAGCGGCTCAGTCCTGCTGGTCACATGACCCAGAAAAACTGTCTGCGGACAAACGCCGGCTCCCTCGGCCAGTAAAGCGAGATGAGCGCCACAACCCCAGAGTCCTCCGTGAGTGGACCTAACGGTCAGGGGCACCTTTACCTTTTTACCAGCTCCCAAATAGTAGCGGGAGGCAGAAATCCCCCTGCCCTGACGGATCATCAGCGGAAGCTCCCTGTGTGGCTTCCATTCCCTGCAGCAGCAGCCTCCCTCCCTCTCATCCTGCCAGCTTCTGCATGTCTCTTTCCTTCTTCTTCCACCCAGGGATGCTCAGGAACAGTCCGGACTCTGCCCTTCTCTTCACAGGGGTCCCCCCAAGTACACCCCTAACTCCCCGGATGCAGGTGACCCTTCCCAGAAACCATGCTCTCTCTCACCCCACCCCCCGCCCTTTGTCCCACGCCAATCTCTCACCCAGAATCGTTTCCTTCCTTTGAGGCTCCCCGAGAGCTCCTGCCAAGCAGCACAGGTGGGGAGGTGGCGCTACAGGTTTGCCAACCTGCCAGCGGAGCGCAGGTGCTGCGCTGCCTCAGGGCAAGGCTTTCGGAGCAGTTCCACACCCAGGTCGGGCGCAGAAAGTGCCACCCGCCTTCCCTGCCTGACAGCTTCCACTCCCCCAGGCTGCCCTTCTTAGCAAAGGAGAGAGAAATAGGGTGCGGGCAGAACAGCTGGCATGGCTCCCCCCAGAGCTCTGCCCCTAGAGCTCCCTGGCCACACAGAGCAACAGCAATGGGCACAGGCAGTGCCACACAGAGGGGCCTCCTGCGCAGAGAGACAGAGCCGCCAGCAAAAACCAAGGGAAATGGAGGGTGCTGCCATCGCCACCACCGTCTCCATGGCACTGAGCCCCCACCCCCAGGGTCCGCCCCAGAGGGAGGCTTTCACAACCTGGCCCCAGCCAAAGGCAGAAGCGTTCTCTGGCTGGGCACTCCAGGCCAGGACCCTTCCAGAAAGCACCCGCTGGACCTCAGAGCACTGGCATGAAAACAGTGCCTCTGCGCTCGTGCAGAGGGCGTCTCTATAACAGAAGCCAGGTTCACTGCAGACTTTATCAGGCAGGAGAAGCGGGGGGTGGGCAGCCTTTGGTTCCTTGGGGGTGTTTGGGGCCTTCCCCTCTGCCCTCCTCACAAGCTGCCCCCCAGTCCTTGCCTGTAACAACCATGCCCAGTCAACCTCCCAAGCCCAGGACCCCCTTGCTGGAAGGTGGATGATTTGGGGGCTGCCCACCTGTTTTTGGGGGGTCTTCCTGGGGTTCAGAACGAGCTACTTGGCACACCAGGCTCCACCGGCCAACCCTGGAGGTTCTCCAGACCCACCACTGGCCAACAACCCTCCATCCCTTTTGGGTGCATCTGGCAGCATCAACATTTGCCAGTGCGGGGGGGGGGGTCCCCTCTCTGGCCAGGAAGGGCACAGCCAAGGGCAGCCACAGGCATGGGGTGTGGAGGGGGGGCACGGTGCCACCCAGGGAACCTGGCGCAAGAGAGGCTGGCTTTGTGGGAGGAAGCCAAGGAGGGTCTCCTTTCTCCCCCTTCCCGCACCCAAAACCAGGGTCCCTTGCAAAGTGCCAGCAAACTCTGCCAAGTGCCAAAGCACGTGGTGAGGTGGTGGGGGATGCAAGAAGAGAGAACGGAAGGAAGGAAGGAAGGAAGGAAGGAAAGGAGGAAGGAAAGGAGGAAAGAAAGGAGTGACATTTGGCAAGGGATTAATCACAGCCTCTCTGCGGAGCCAATAAAACCTCCCCCCCCCATCGGGAGCTCCATTTTCTGCTGCAGGAGAGAGAGATGCACACATAACAGCCCCCCCCCCCCCCCAGGCGGAGGAGGCGGAGGCGGCTCCCCTGGCAAGGCAGGCGCCGCACAGCCCCTTCGGCCGCATCCTTCCCAGAGCATCCCCGAGCCCCCGCCCCACCCCTCGACCTCCCTCCCCCGCCGAGGCCGCCGCCCCTCCTCCGCCGCCGCAGGAGCCCCGGCGCCCCCGGCCCGCCCCCTGCCCTGCCCCCCCCGACGGGGGTCTCACCCTCGATGGAGATGACGTGCTCGCGGATCTGGCTCTGCAGCGCCAGGTCGTCGACGCGCTCGACCAGGTCGTAGATGGCGTAGATGTTGGGGTGCACCGACTCGAAGCGCCCGATCTCGGCGCGGATGGCCGCCGAGTTGGACAGGCCGAACTGCGGCGAGGGCGCGCCGCCCGCGCCCGACGGGCCCGACGGACCCCCGGCGCCGCCAGGCTCTGCTGCGAGCCCGGCCCGCCGCCCTGCCCGCCCGGCCCGCCCTGGAAGTTCATGGCCGGCGCGGGAGCAGCAGGAGGACGAAGACGGGGAGGAGCAGCAGGAGCAGGAGCAGGACAAGGGCGAGGGGGCGGACGGGGCTCGACGGGGCGGCGGGCGAGGCGCGGCTGCGGGGCGGCTCAGCGGCGCGGGGCGGCGGCGGCGGCGGCGTCCGGGGCTGCGGGCTCCCGGCGCTGCATGGCGGCTCCCGGCGCTGCTCGGCGGCGGCTGGTCCTCCTCCTCCTCCTCCTCCTCCTCCTCTCCGGCCGGCGGCCCCGCCAGCAGCACAAGCAGCGGCGGCCCCGCGTCACGCAGCCGCCCCCGCTCCTCCTCCCGCGTCAGCGCCGGGCTGGCACCGCCCCCGGACGGAGGGAAGGAAGGAAGGAAGGAGGGAAGGAGGAAGGCAGGAAGGAGGAGGGCGGCCGAGGGGAGGAGGGATGCAGGGATGCGGGGCCGGCGGCGGCGGCGGCGAGGGAAGGAGCCGCCTGCGCAAGCCCGGCCAGCGCTTATGTAAGGCGCGCGGCCGCGCCGTCGGGGGGAGCCGCGCGTGGCCCTCGCCCGCCTTGCGGGGACCCTCGGAGGGGGCCGGGCGGGGGTCCCGGGGCAGGAGGAGCCTAGCAGCAGCCGGAGCGCGGCTGGTAACGGGCAGGCCGTCGGGGCGAGGAGCGCCGGGGGCATCCTCGGATGGATCAGCCCCAGTCCAGCAGCCTTTTCCCACGGGGGCCTCTCGGGAACCAGCTCTCCCCTCGCGGCGGGGCTTCCGAAGGGGGAGCCGAGACAACGTGGCTCCTAGCCTTCGCCGGCCCCCTCCCCCTGGCAGGGGCGCCAACCTGAATAAAATAGGGTGGGGGCACGCTCCATAACCAATCACAAGATGTGGCACGTGCACACCATTTTAATGGCAACCCCCATCAACTTTGGGGGGCTCTGGCCCCTCAGATATTTTACTGGGGGGGGTGAAGGGATCTCGCCCCCTAGGAGATGGCTCCTGTGCCTCCAAGATGGCCTTCTCCACCCCCACAGCTTGGCCAAAGCATCCTTTGGAAGCCCATCACTTGAACTCTGTGCTGAGAAGCCCTCCCTTCCTTCCGCCTGCCCAGTTTGATGCCTCCAACAGGGGAGGTGGCAGCGGCCGCAGTTGGGGGGTGACCCACACCTCCTCCAAGGCCAGGGGCGTACCCAGGGGCTGGCTCCCACTGAGGGTGCAGGTCCAGGGGGAAGGATGCTTCCCAAAACTCTCAGAGTAAGATGGAGAGAGCCAGAGCCTGAGAGAGCTCCTTGCCAAAGAAGGGAGCCTAGAATGGATCAGTTTCTGCCCTCAGCCCAACCCAGAGAGCGTGGAGTCCATTTCATTTATTTCAGAGACTTCTGCCTTTCTAAACACAGTTTTCTCAAGGCTTCTCACAACAAGTGTAAAGCATTTTTTGAATAGGAAACATCAATATCTAAAATACCAACAACAAATATAAAACAAATTTTAAGTAGCAAACACCAGTATCTAAAATATTAAAAACTGACAGAACAGCATAAACCAGGCCAGCACAGCAAGACAGGAATGGCAGATTGATAGGTTTCTTTTAAAAAAAAAAACCAACAAAACACAATTTAAAACAAAGAGGATCATTAATTGAAAATCCAGTCCATCTTCTCTCTTAACTCTCTAAATATGTTTTTTTTATCACTCATTGCTTCCTTATCTTTAGTTACATCCAGGGCTTTTTTTCCAGCTGGAACTCACCAGAACTCAGTTCTGACCCCTCAGGTGGGCGCCATTGCCATTATCAGAGAACAAGGGAGGCCTTCCTGGTGAGTTCCGGCACCTCTTTCCCCAGAAAAATAGCCCTGGTGACATCGCAGAACTGCAACACTGGAAGGGACCCCCCAGGGTCTTCTAGTCCCACCTCCCGCAACGCAGGAATCACAGCTAAAGAATCATTGGCAGATGACCATTCAACCTCTGTTTAAAAAAACCCAGAGAAGGAGGGTCCAAAATCTTCCCAGATAGTACATTGCACCATCAAACAGCTTCAGGAAGTTCTTCCTGATGTTTAGTCAGAATCTCCTCCCTTGTAACTTCAATCCGTGGGTTCACCTCCTACCCTCCAGAACAAGAGAAAACAAGCACGCTCCCTGCTCCATATTGTGAGATGGCTCTCATGTCTCCTCTCAGTCTCCTCTTTTCCAGGCTAAATACCCTCAGCTCCTTCAACCGCTCCTCATCAGGCTTGGTTTCCAGACGCTTGATCATCTTGCTTGCCCTCCTCTGCACACCTTCCAGCTTGTCAACATCTCCTTCAATTGTGGTGCCCAGAACTGAACACAGTATTCCAGGTGTGGTCTGACCAAGGCAGAAGAGAGATGGACCATGGCCTCCCTTGATCTGGACACTAGACTTCTGTCGATGCAGCTAGAATAGTATCAGCTTTTTTTTGCTGCTGCATCACATGGTTGTCTCCTGTTCAGCTTGTGGTCTATACTAAGATCCCTGATCCTTTTCCCCATGTCCTGCTGTCAAGCCAGGTGTCCCCCATCCGATATTTCTGCAGCTGGCTCTTCCTATCCAAGTGTAGAACTTCAGGTCCCTTCCAACTCTATGATTCCATGTCCTGAATCAGGGATCAGCAAACTTTTTCAGCAGGGGGGCGGTCCACTGTCCCTCAGAACTTAGGGGGGGGCGGACTATATTTTGGGGGGAAATGAGAGAATTCCTATGCCCCACAAATAACCCAGAGATGCATTTTAAATAAAAGGGCACATTCTACTCATGTAAAAACACGACGGTCTGGATTTAGAAGGCGATTGGGCCGGATCTGGCCCGCGGACCTTAGTTTGCCCACCCCTGTCCTGAATCTTCCAACCTTGAGAGTGCACATTGCAGGATACAGCCCCTTGTCTGTATGGGTCCAGAGTTCCCTGCTCCCTTCGGCTGGGGGTGTTGCCCCCAGCCCGATCCCAGATGGGCTGTCCAGAGATGCTCAGGCCATAGTTCTCCTTTTCACACCATTCTGGGCATCTGCGTGTGCTTCCTCCCCCCCCCCCCACACACCTGGACCCACGCAGAGCCTGCTCTGCAGGAGGAGTCTTGGCATTTATCCCCCCCCCCCGCCTAATTGCTGCATGGGATTACTCTGCCCAGGAAGGAGATGCGCTCACTCGACATGCCTCCCCAGAGAAGCCCAGTTTTGACCAGCAGCCCTGTGCCTTCCGGGAGATCAGCTACCTGGGGGTCAGCCGAGGGCTGCCGACCCAGCCCCCACCCCATCGCTGGCATCTTCTTCAGGCCCAGAGCAGCACCCCCTCCAAGTGCCTGCACACACATCCTGCAGTTAATTGGCACCAGCTGCCAGATCAGCTGGGTGCTAATTACCCCCAGGCCCTAATAGGAGGTTTGGGTAGCAGAGCCCGAGTGACTCATCCAGAGGGGAGCAGGAGACAGGCAGGGAAACCTCCCACAGCTGGCGACAGACGGACGGACGGACGGACGCACACAGCCCTCACACCAAGGCTGGACTGCAGCTTCTTTGCATTCTTCGGGGCTGCCCAGGAGGAAAGAGCTCCCTTTGCTGGGTCAGGCCAAAGGGTGCCTGCCCAACCCAGGATCCTGTCCTCATAGTGGCTGAACAGATGCCCTCATTGGGAAACCAGCAAGCGGGATCTGAGCACAAGAGCAACTCTCCCCTCCTGCCGTTTCCAGCAAATGCAGACCCTCCAAGTGCCCCCATATTCCAGGGACAGTCCCAGATCTACAGAAGCCATCACAGCTTCCCTTTTAATCCTGGAATGTCCTGCTTTTCCTTAGGACCTCCCTATTTTCATTGGAGAAATGTTGGAGGGGATGGTGGTCTTCAGAAGCATCGCTGCCTCTGACTGTGGACGCAGAGCACAGCACCCTGGCCAGGAGCCATCGACTGCCTCTCTTCCTCCTCCATGAATTTCTCCAATCCTCTTTTAATCCCTTTGCCATGGGAGCACATTCACCCAGTGCTTTTCCAGCTGCACTGGCTCCCGGTGGAGTACAGGGTCTGATTTAAGGTGCTAGTTTTGACCTTTAATGCCCTTCACGGCCTAGGACCCTCGTACCAGTGCAGCTAAGTATAGCACTGGGTGAATGTGATCCCGCAGTGAGGACCCCGTAAGGAGTCTCGCCGCGGCATTCTGCACCCGCTGGAGTTTCTGGGCCAGTCTCAAGGGCAGCCCCACGTAGAGTGAGTTACAATAATCCAGTCTGGAGGTGACCGTCGCTGTGGATCACACTGTGGATCACAGTGGCAATCTGCGCCTCCATGGAAAGCCTTTTTCGGGCGGGAACGCCAATCCCCCCCCCCCCCCGGTAATTCGAAAAATGTGAGGAAGACTCATATGTGGGGGAAATGTGGGGAAGGCTCCAGGTCCATATCCTCTCCCCCGGAAGGTACTGTTTGCTTATTTCAAATGCATGGAGGAAAGGGCTGTTGTTGGCTCCTAGCCAAGGGAGTTCTGCTTTGCCTCCATGAATCCCAGTTTCTGGAATCCGCACTCGGGTCTTGCTTGCAGGTTTCCCATTGGGGGCAACTGGTTGTGAGAAGAGGCTGCTGGATTAGATGAGCCAGCAGGGTCTCCTTATGTTTTTATCTATTAAACCTATTAGTTTCTTGTCACCTAAAACCGTCTCCAAGCAACATACACAGAAGAACACTATAAAAGAGAATTATTATTATCACCATTATTATGTATAGCACCCTTCCTCCAAAGATCACAGGGTAGTTCACAACATAGACCATTCTTCCCGCATTGCACGGGACTCAACTAGATGATCCTTGGGCGTCCCTTCCATGATTCTATAAGATAATAAAATTCCATGCAGCATATAAAAAAACAAAAACAGAGAAACCCCAAACAGTGATCACAATGGCAGCCCAGGAAGGAAAAACAACATGACGTGTCCCGCCTCCTCATGAACCAGCAAATGAAAATAAGGACTTGCACGATGACACGCACTCTGCCCCAGCCCAGCAGTCCTAGAAGCATGGCATTGTAGTGGGACCCCCAGGGGCACGTAGTCCAACTCCCGGCAATTCAGAAATCACAGCTAACCCATAGTGGGTCCAACAGTCAAGAAGGCATTTTCTGCCCATGCCATGGAGAGAAACGAGGGGCTCGTCAACCTGGGAAAGTAGCCCATCCAGGAAAAGAAAAACTCTAATCGTAAACCTCCATTTGTGAGAAAGTCTTCAGGCGTGAACCCCGAGGTGCAATTTGTAGAGAGAGAAGACAAGGGAAGGAGTGATGTCCAGCTGATTGCCAAACAATGTGCCTGTGATGGCCTGGGACTCGGACTCGGACTCAGAACCAGAGAAGTCTCAGTCTGCACCGGATCCTTTGCCTCAGGCATCATCTGAACCAAGTCTGGGGCCTGATCCTGAAGAGTCCCAGTCTGCACAGGTTCCCCCGCAACAAACACCAGCTGGGCCGAGTCAGGGGCCTGAGCCTGCCCTGGCTCCAGATGCGGGGATGACCTTGTTACCTCCAGCTGGGCCATCACTTACAGCTGCTCCACTACCGGTTGGGTCAGGGGAGGCTGAGGCGGCCCCTGGGTCTAGTAACCCACCGACGTCTCCCGAGCTGCAGAGACTGAGGTCTGAGAGCAGGAGAGACCTGAGTACTCGCAGGAGGAGTGCTCGCCTTTGGGCGAAACAGGGAGGTGAGTCACCGGGGGATCAGGACCGGCCGCTACCCTGACAAAGATAAAAGGCCGTCAGACCCCGTCCCAGGTTGCGGGAGCAACATTGCTGTATGTCAGATCCTGCCCCTGTCCTTGCCTGGTTTCCTGCCTTGGCCCTGTTGGACTTACTCCCAGCGGAACCTTCGGATTCTGGACTGGTCCTGGACCACGTTTCACGGGTTACCCCTGGGCCCAGCACAGTGCCAATGGCTACTGGCTAAAGCTGTGTCAGAACATCCAGCTCACTGCTGACAGCAGCAACACTTGCAAAATGTACGAAGGCATGAAGAAAGCCTTTGGGCAACAGTCAGGAAAAATGCACTACGGAAAACTTTGTCTGGAGAGGTGGTCGCAGACTGCACCAAGCCAATGAAGTGATGGGCAGAGCACTCTCAAGAAGTGTACCCACAGGGAATTGACAGAATCCAGACTCTGCCTGTCTTGGAATTCTAACAGGCCCTCCCTCCCTTGACCAACTAAAGAATGCCCTCAACTCTCAGGCATGTGGAAAAGGCCCAGGGCAGGATGGAATCCCCCAGAAGTGCTGAGAGCCAGATTCTGTTCCTCCCTCCTGACTCTTCCACAGCCTCTTCTCGCAGTGTTGGGAACAAGGATCCGTGCCACAAGACATGCGCGACTCCAGCATTGTGACAAAGGTGACCACCATGACAGCAAGAGCTACCATGGGATCCCTCTGCTACTGGGGGGAAAGCCTTGGTCCGTGTAGCGCTCAGTGGATTGTGGTCACTCACCCACAGGGTTTATCCCGAGTCACAATGTTGTGAGCACAACATTGAGCCATGGTTGACATGATGTTCTCAGTGCGCCAGCTGCTGGAGGAATGCTGAGAGCAGAGACACCCCTTGCACATCGAGGCCTTTGACCTCCTCAGCCAAAAAGGTCTCTTCACGTGGCTCCACCAGATAAGATGTCCACCTCAGCTTCACGAAATGGTGTCCTTCTACAAGAATATGCGTGGCACAGTCTCATGTGATGGCTCATCCTCAGACGCCTTCCCCACAAAGAGTGGTATGAAGCGGTTGGAGGATGGGTGGCGGCTAACAGACTGAGGTTGAATCCTGACAAGACAGAAGTCCTGTTTTTGGGGGACAGGGGATGGGCGGGTGTGGGGGACTCCCTGGTCCTGAATGGGGTAACTGTGCCCCTGAAGGACCAGGTGCGCAGCCGGGGAGTCATTTTGGACTCACAGCTGTCCATGGAGGCACAGGTCAATTCTGGGTCCAGGGCAACTGTTTACCAGCTCCATCAGGTATGCAGGATGAGACCCTCCCTGCCTGTGGACTGTCTCACCAGAGTGGTGCATGCTCTGTTTATCTTTTTTTTTTTTAATGATATTTATTAAAAGTTTAAAGATTACAGAAAAAATAAAAAAAGACAACAATAAAAAAGAAAAAGAAAACATAGAAAAGCAATTCAACAATATAACAAAAAGAAACAACAAAAAAGAAAAAAAACCACACACATCCAATATTCCATATCTTTACCTTTCCTTTACTTGTTTCATCGACCTCCTCACACCTCCCTTTTTTTGTATTCTAGTTCAATTCACTATTTCAGCAAATTCTTTCCATCTTTCTCAATTTTTGTTCTATAATTTATCTTAATGGTCTAACCTTAAATTTTTTCATTTTGGCCCGTTATCAATCAGCTTTTACTTAATTCTTTGTTACATTTCTACTAAAACCATATAGCTTCATTCCAGCATCCTTCTAACACTCATTGATTTTACAATGTTTCTGTAAATATACATTAAATTTTTTCCAATCTTCTTCCACCGACTCTTCTCCCTGATCTCGAATTCTGCCAGTCATTTCCGCCAGTTCCATGTAGTCCATCAACTTCATCTGCCATTCTTCCCTGGTGGGTAGATCTTGTGTCTTCCAGTGCTTTGCGATAAGTATTCTTGCTGCTGTTGTAGCATACATAAAGAAAGTTCTATCCTTCTTTGGCACCAATTGGCCGACCATGCCCAGGAGAAAGGCCTCTGGTTTCTTCAGGAAGGTATATTTAAATACCTTTTTCATTTCATTATAGATCATCTCCCAGAAAGCCTTAATCTTTGGGCATGTCCACCAAAGGTGAAAGAATGTACCTTCAGTTTCATTACATTTCCAACATTTATTATCGGGCAAATGGTAGATTTTTGCAAGCTTGACTGGTGTTATGTACCACCTATAAATCATTTTCATAATATTCTCTCTTAAGGCATTGCATGCCGTAAACTTCATACCTGTGGTCCATAACTGTTCCCAGTCAGCCATCATTATATTATGTCCAACATCTTGTGCCCATTTAATCATAACAGATTTCACCATTTCATCTTGAGTATTCCATTTCAACAGCAAGTTATACATTCTTGACAAATTCTTAACTTTATATGCTCTGTTTATCTCCTGGACTACTGCAATGCGCTCTCTGTGGGGCTCCCTTTGAAGGTGACCCAGAAACTACAACTAATGCAGAATGTGGCAGCTAGATACCTTGGTACTGGTTTGAATTAACTAAATTATGTTTTTTCTTTGATAGGTTTTTTTAGTCTTGTAAATTTTTTGGTTTTATTGTTGTGTATTTTTTGTTTTCTTTTTTCTCTTTATTTCTTTTATATAATACACATTTATTCTAGATGTTTGATAATTTGATTATGTATACTGTAAAAACTATCTTAAGTCTAGAAATATCCAATGTAAGATTAGGGTTTTTTTTTCTTCTTTCTTTGTTTTATGTTTTGCATGTAATGTATGTTTAATAAAAGTAAAAACAACAACAACACAGAATGCTGCAGCCAGACTGGGGACTGGGAGCGGCCGCCGAAACCATATAACACTGGTCCTGAAAGACCTACATTGGCTCCCAGTACATTTCTGGGCACAATTCAAAGTGTTGCTGCTGACCTTGAAAGCCCCAAACGGCCTCAAAGGCCCAGTAGACCTGAAGGAGCGTCTCCACCCCCCATCGTTCTGCCTGGACACTGAGGTCCAGCTCCAAGGGCCTTCTGGCGGTTCCCTCCCTGCAAGAAGCCAAGTTACAGGGAACCAGGCAGAGGGCCTTCTCGGTAGTGGCACCCGCCCTGTGGAACGCCCTCCCGTCAGATGTCAAAGAAACAAACAACTATCTGACTTTCAGAAGACATCTGAAGACAGCCCTGTATCAGGAGGTTTTTAATGTTTGATATTTTATTGTGCTTTTAATATTCTGTTGGAAACCCATCCAGATGGACAGGGTACATTTATTATTATTATTATTATTATTATTATTATTATTATTATTATTATTAAGCAGGGCTGTGGTCTTCTTGCCCCAACCCTCTTTGGCATATTCTTCTCCCTGCTGCTCTCCTCTGCCTTCCTGGGAGACCGAAGTCGATGTCTGGCGATGGGGGTCTGCGATGGGGGTCTGCTCAACCTGGCGCATTTCCACACCGAGACAAAAGTGGACCTGATCCTTAAGTGAGAGATGTTTGCAGATGACGTGGCTGTGACAGCGCACTCCGAGGAAGCTCTGCAGAGACCCGTCAACCGCTTTGCCCAAGACTGCGGGGAGTTCTGCCTAATCACCAGCCTGACAAGGACCAGCATCCTGGGCCAGACATCGCCAGCACTCCAGGCATCAGCACTGGGGACCACATGCTTGAGGTGGTGGAAGATTCTGTTAAACTGGGTATGCTGGACCCAGCAGTAACCCATGAAACACGGTCCAGGACCGGTCCAGAATCCGAAGGTTCTGCTAGGAGTCAGTCCAACAGGGCAAAGGCAGGAAACCAGACAAGGATAGGGGCAGGATCACAGGCAGGTTCTGGCAAACAGCAATGTTGTTCCCGCAACCTGGGACAGAGTCCAGCAGCCTTTTATCTCTGTCGGGGTAACGGCCGGTCCTGATCCCCCAGCGACTCACCTCCCTGTCTTGCCCGAAGGCGAGCACTCCTCCTGCGAGTACTCAGGTCTCTCATTCCCTCAGACCTCAGTCTCTGCAGCTCGGGAGACGTCGGTGGGTTCCTAGACCCAGGGGCCGCCTCAGCCTCCCCTGATCCAACTGGTAGTGGAGCAGCTGTAAGTGATGGCCCAGCTGGAGGCAACGAGGTCATCCCTGTAGCAGGAAACCCCCCCCCATCATTCAGTTTGTACAAACTTCACACACTACATACGCTACGCTTCTGCTATAAATTCATAGAAAATCAACCATACATCGGATTTGCACTGTTCCACTTTTATTTTACTCCATGAAGGAAGGACTACAAAATGGGGAAGGTTTGATACAGGGCAGCCATAATCCCTTCACCATCCCAGCACATACACAGGAGCCCTGCCCAGTTGCTATGCCAACCCTGATGGTTCTGGACAGAAGACCATCAAGATCACAAAGAACTTGCATATGGGAGTGGATTCAGCACGGACTGGAACAAAGGACAATAATCAGATCTTCCCTCTGGGGGCAGGAAACTGCAAACTCCCCTCTGTCACCTGGAAAGTATTTACGGGGAGGGGGAAAGGGGGAACCAGCCAGGTGACAGGACACTCAGGTTACCACCACAACTCCTCCCTCAACCCCTCCTTTCTGTGATGTATGCATGATGTTTCTGGGGGTGGGCTTGACCTACAGGATGGGAATTTCAAAAGTCTTTATAAGCCCTTGCACAGCATTTTTCTGGGACCTTCCTCTCTCCTGCAAGTGAGGGGAGCCCCCTGTTGCAAGAGTTCAATAAAGGCCAAGCCTACAGGCTGCTGTTTTGCTCCAAGTAATCCTGGTTGGTGTCTTTATTTTGTCCAAGGGAGCCCTCGGATTTTTCCGGTAACATCCCCGCATCTGGAGCCAGGGCAGGCTCAGGCCCCTGACTCGGCCCAGCTGGTGCTTGTTGCAGGGGAACCTGTGCAGACTGGGACTCTTCAGGATCAGGCCCCAGACGTGGTTCAGATGATGCCTGAGGCAAAGGATCCGGTGCAGACTGAGTCTCCTCTGGTTCCGAGTCCCAGGCCATCACACTGGGTTCTCCTATAACCAGAAAAGTCTCCATTGATGCTGAGCTGGAAAAGCATGTTGGCAAGGCAGCTATGGGAATGGCTGGCTTCTCCAAAGGGGTCTGGGAGAATGGGGTGTCCAGTATCAAGACGCACGCATGCTGAGCATGCTGCTTTGTGGCACTGAGTCGTGGGCGCAACTTGCAACTGGCAGGAGCGATGCCTCAGTGACTTCCGGATGCACTGATGAGGGGAGAGACTCCACCAGGCAAGGCCTCCTCCCACCTGCCTTGCCCCACTCTCTGCTTCTCAATGTGTATTGTATTGTTTTACGCACTGTGGCTTGCCGTTGTCTTATTGATTATAGTTTAGATATTATTGTAACTATTGAGTGGATTTCTGTTTACCTTTTATATGTTGATATTATTATTTTATACTATTCTAATGATTGTTGAATGTTACTTTTTTGATGGAGGCTGCCTATTTTAAAGTTATGTTTTATGATCACATTTTTGTATTGCTAGATTGTCATAAGATGTACATTTTTTGTTTCTTCAGCTTGTAAACCGCCTTGAGTATTGTAAGATAGAACTGTGGTATACAAATTAAAAATGAGGATGCAACCTGCAACCGAAGGATTGGGGGCGTCACACGACAGGACAGAATTCCAAACGAAAAAGTGCTCTCCCAAGTCAACACTCCCAGCATGTTCACACTCCTGTCTCAGCGACGTCCGGCTTGGTTGTGTCCGCAGAATGCAAGATGGCAGGATCCCCGATGGGGTGCTGGCTTCGGGCACCAGGTCAACTGGCAGAGCAGCTCTGCCTTACTAAGATGTCTGCCAGTGTGACATAAAGGCTGGCAACATCAGTCCTGCCGTGTGGGAATCCCATGCAGACGACCCCAGTGCCCGGAGACAGACAGGCAGGCAGGCAGGCCCTGCATCCAGAACAGGGACCAGAGAAGGAATGACGGCTGGGAGGAGAAAGGCCCTGGTGCATCTGCAGCAGCACAACGGGACACCTTCGTCTGCCCCGGCTGCAACAAAACATGTCTCTCCTGTATCAGTCTCTGCAGCCATAGCAGGTGCTGCTGTAATAATAATAATTATTATTATAAATTTTATTTATACCCCGCCCTCCCCGGCCATAGCCGGGCTCAGGGCGGCTAACACCAATAAAATCACAGTAAAAACATAATAGGGGAAAAAAGAGGGGGGGGGGGGAGAAACCAACTTAAAATACAGGCTAATATGCAATTTAAAAAGCAGTCTCATTTTAAAATAGCCGATAAATCAAGACCATAAGGGGAGGGAAACATAAGGGTCAGACCGAGTCCAAGCCAAAGGCCAGGCGGAACAGCTCCGTCTTGCAGGCCCGGCGGAAAGATGTCAAGTCCCGCAGGGCCCTAGTCTCTTGGGACAGAGCGTTCCACCAGATCGGGGCCACAGCCGAAAAAGCCCTGGCTCTGGTTGAGACCAATCTAACCACCTTGCGACCTGGGACCGCCAAAGTGTTGCTATTTGTGGACCTTAAGGTCCTCTGTGGGCCATACCGGGAGAGGCGGTCCCGTAGGTACGAGGGTCCTAGGCCATATAGGGCTTTAAAGGTCAAAACCAGCACCTTAAACCTGATCCTGTACTCCACCAGGAGCCAGTGCAGCTGGTATAGCACTGGATGAATGTGATCTCGCAGCGAAGACCCCGTAAGGAGTCTCATCACGGCATTCTGCACCCGCTGGAGTTTCTGGGTCAGTCTCAAGGGCAGCCCCACGTAGAGCGAATTACAATAATCCAGTCTGGAGGTGACCGTCACGTGGATCACAGTGGCAAGATCAGGGCGAGAGAGGTAAGGAGCCAACTGCTTAATACGGCGGAGATGGAAAAATGCCGCCTTTGCTGTGGCTGCAACCTGCACCTCCATGGAAAGGGAGGCGTTGAAGGTTACACCCAAACTCTTGACAGCAGGCACTGGCACTATTTGCGCCCCCGCAAGAGATGGGAGTTGGCCCCCCAACCCCATGTCGTCCCGTCCCAGCCAGAGGACCTCTGTCTTCGAAGGATTTAGCTTCAACCGGCTCCCACGTAACCATCCAGCCACAGCTTCCAAGCATCTGGTCAGTGTGTCCGTGGTCAAGTTAGGGCGGCCGTCCACCAACAGATAAAGCTGGGTGTCATCAGCATACTGATGCCAACCCAGCCCAAAGCTCCGGACAAGCTGGGCGAGGGGGCACTTAAGATATTAAAAAGCATTGGGGAAAGGATTGCGCCCTGTGGGCCTCCACATACCAAGGTGTGGCGCGGCGACAACTCCCTCCCTTCCAACAGCTTGACTTTGCCCTCAAAGGTGCATTTTCCCAATGTCTCCCTAGCCAGACGGATGCCATTCAAGCAGACCATGCTGCTTGAGACCATCCAGCTGTATATTGTCTACACTGACTGGCAGCTGCGGCTCTCCAGGGTTTCAAGGAGGAGTCTCTGCCAGCCCTACCTGGAGGTGCTGCTGGGAACTGAACCCGGGACCTTCTGCCTGTCGCTGAGCTACAACCCTAATAATGCACAGAATCACAGAGGGACCATGAGGGTCACCTGGCAGAGGATGTAGGCTCCAGCGCTGCCCTGCCTGGTCCTGCCGTTGGCGCCATTTGGCTGGCTCTTGGGGTTGGGGGGCAGACGGGGAGGCATTTTACTCCTGCGCGATGCCATCCCTCGAGGCATTAAATTCATCCTCTGATGGGGGGCACACATTGAAGCCGAATGTTGGAAGATTCGGGGCAGATCAAAGAAGGTCCTTCACACAGCACAGAGTTAACCTGTGGAACTCTCTGCCTCAGGACTGCTAGATGGCTTTAAAAGAGGAGGAGAGGGCTTTGGAAGGCCAGTGGCCTGATCCTTCTCTTCTTGTGGATCTGTGGACATCAGGGCCGAGAGGAGAAGATCTGAGGGTCGCTTCCCCCCAGTTCCTCTCGCAGCTGCCTGTGGACTGAAGTGACATTGGCTACTGCCCCCTTCTGGCTGTCCCTGGCCTTGCACGTGGCTATCAGGGAGAGTTGGCGTCACCCTCGGGATTCGGAGGGCCTTTCTGCCCGGGAGTCTCCTTTCCCTCTTTAATCCTCGCAACAAGCCTGTGCGGTAGTCAGGCTGAGAAGCACGGCCTCTTGTGGCAGTGAGTTCCACTGTTGAACTCTGTGCTTCAGAGGAGGACTTCCTTCTGCCTCAGCCTTCCGGCTTCCACTTCGTTGGATGCTGCCCGTGAAGGAGGAAGGATTCAGCGCAGAAGCCATTTGAGAGCCTGCTGAATCAGGCCAATGCGCCTCTAGTCCAGCATCTTGTTCTCGCAGAGGCCAGCCAGAGGCCCCAATGGGAAAACCTCACGCAGGACTCGAACACAGAGCCGCTCTCCCCTCCTGCGATTTCCAGCAACTGGTCTTGGGAAACATTTCTGCCTCCGATTGCGGAGCCAGAGGACAGCCTTTCCTGTCCTCTTCCTCCTCCCTCAATTTGCTGGAGCCTCTTTTGAAGACATCCAGTTGGCGGCCTCCTGTGGCAGGCAGTTCCGCAGTCCAACCCTGCGCCGCAGGAAGCAGCCTTCCCTTTCTTCCTCCCGACTTCCGCTTCCTCCCCATCCCCGCCCGGGAAGGGAAAACTACAGCGCCCACAATCCCCTGCGGCGAAGAAGACCCACAAGGCACCGCGAGCCCCAGCTACGGCCCCCGGCGTGCCTTGCGCGACTCTCTGCGCCGGCGCGGTCGCTCCCGCCCCGGAAGTGGGGCAGGCGGGGACTACGAGGCCCACAATGCCGCGCGCGGGCGGCCGGAAGGGAGGGCGGGAGCGCCTGAGTGGCAGCCGGAGGAGGATGGAGGAGGAAGCGGCGGCGGCTGGCGGGGTCGCGGGTGAGTCGGGGTCGCGGGGGGGGCGGTTGCTAGGAGACGCCTCCGCCAGGGGGGCGGGGGCCGAGTCCGGGGGGGGCGCCCCTCCCTCCCTCCTCCCTCCCTCCCTCCCTCCCTCCCCGGCGCCCACCTGGCAGGGCTGTTGTGAAGGCGGCGCCTGCGCGGGAAGGGGCGCCCCGAGCGGAGCCCCCGGAGAGCAGCTGGATGGGGGCCTCTCAGCCTGGAGCCCCGAAGGGGGGGGGAGGGGCTCCCAGGCACCTTGATTCTTCTTCTTCTTCTTATTCTTGCTATTGCTTTATTTGCACCCCGCCACCCTGTATATAAAAACATAATAGACCATGAACCCCTGAGCAGACTTCCCTCTCCTGGGCCGCCTTCCCATGTCTCCGAAAGGCGACCCTGTTCCTTCTTTCCCTGCTCGGTCCTGCACACAGAAACTCAGCTATACAATCTCATTGCCAAATGGCACGTCAGACCTGGGGAACGTAGGTATCGGTTTTGAGGTTTTGTTGTTGTTACTGGTTCTACAGTGGTACCTCAAGTTACAGACACTTCAGGTTACAGACTCCGCTAACCCAGAAATAGTACCTCAGGTTAAGAACTTTGCTTCAGGATGAGAACAGAAATCGTGCTCCGGCGGCGCGGCAGCAGCAGGAGGCCCCATTAGCTAAAGTGGTGCTTCAGGTTAAGAACACTTTCAGGTTAAGAACGGACCTCCGGAATGAATTAAGTACCGTATTTTTCGCCCCATAGGGCGCACCTCAGTGCCCCCCCCGGCTTCTGGGTGCAGGCAGCTCTCCCACGGCTTGCGGAGAGCTTCCTGAAGCCTGGAGAGCAAGAGGGGTCGGTGCGCACCGACCCCCCTCGCTCTCCAGGCTTCAGCGAAAGCCTGTAATCGCCGCACACACATTTCCCCTTCATTTTTGGAGGGGGAAAGTGCGTCCTATAGGGCAAAAAATACGGTACTTAACCCGAGGTACCACTGTATACAGCTTTATCTTTTAAAGAAGAAATCTCAAAAGCGGCACATTGAAATACCAACTCAAAACAACCCAGAGCAAAACAAAGTCAAGCTTCCAGGAGAATATTTCAGCTCCTTCTTGAAGGGGCCTTTGGCTTCCCCCAGTCGCCAGCCTGGCACCCAGAAATCTCCACTTGGACATGCGCCAGTCGCAAAACACACCTGGCTAATTTCTAATGCTGCCTGCTCAGCAAATGCCCTCCAGAACCAGATGCTGAAAACTGCAGGAGGAGACATTATGGCCAGATCCGGCTTGTGGGCATCTGGTTGGCTCCTGGGGGTGTTGGTGGGGGTGGCAAGGACACTTAGCTTCCCATGAGCTGCCAGGCTGATTCATGGTGAGACACCCCCACCCTCCCAACACCCTTGGAAGCAGCAGCAACCATGTCGTCTGCTTCCTCTGCTGGAGGTTTCCAGCAGCCCCATAGAGTTGGGGGCTGGGGGTTGGCTCCAGATCTGCGACGTCATTGTTTTAATTTTATCCATTTCCTAAAACCTAACCAGACTGTAAAACAAACCCCAATTGCCTCCAAGCTTTCTACAAAAAGAGAGAAACCAAGGAAAAATTGCAACAGCAGTTTAAAACACAAAAGGTTTAAAGAGCAGAACGGGTTGAGAATCTGCTTTCTAAGCCTTGTGATTCTGGGGGGTGGGGAGTGTCCCTGCTGCTTCTCTTGTTCTCACTGCCCTCCTCTTTCCCTTCCGCCCCCCAGGTGTGTGAGGTGTGCCTCCCCTCTGTCGCCGTCGGCCATGGCTCTGATTGAGGGCGTGGGGGACGAAGTGACGGTCCTTTTTGGGGTGCTGCTGGTGCTGCTGGTGCTGGCCCTCGCCTGGTTCTCCACGCGCACGGTGGAGCGAGGGGACCCCCTCTTTGCCACCTCCCCCCCTCTGGCCGCAGGGGGGCAGCCGCGGGAAGGAGGCCTCCTGGTGGAAGACAGGCCTGGGGCGCAGGTCTCGGGGGTCCGGCAGGTCAAGGACGAAGGGGCGTCATCTTCAGCTGCTGCCTCGGACGCCGGGGGGCTCAGGCATCGGACGGCCCCCAGCCCTGCCCAGGGACCCCGGCTGGCCCCTGGCGCAGAAGCCCCCCCAGCAGACAACACCATCGTCCTGCGGCTGAAGTTCCTGAATGACACAGAGCGCCTGGCTCGGGTCCACCCTGACGACACTGTCGGCACCTTGAAGAGGTGAGGGGCTTCCTGTGGGGTTTTGGGGGGCTGCCCCAGCACTGCCGATAGCTCCCTGTTCAGTGAGTTCCCAGCCCCACTGAAAGGAGCTTCACCACCCACCCTTTGGGGGGCTGCAATGGCGTCAGAATGCAAATACGCAGCCAGCCCCCCTTCTCTGTTAACCAGGGATGGATTTGAGCGATGGGATGCGTATCTGTGTCACTTTCCATTCAGACAAATCCCAAAGCGGCTCAGAAACATTAATAGGACATCACAAGTACGGCATAAAACACTGTTATTATTATTATTATTTATTTAATTCTTGTTTAGCCCTTCGTCTGCAGATCTCAGACAGTTCACCACATCAAGTGTATAATTTTAAAAAATCAACAATTATGGTCTAGAAAACACAATTAGCAACCCAGCAACTGAGAAATAAGCTCAATATCACCGTTGTAGTGTAAGTCGTATGATAGGCTTAACAAACCAATAGGGCATTTGTAATCTGTGAAACAATATTGACAAAATAGCAACTGAAAAATGAGCTGAACGCTTCTGAGTTCACACACACACACACTCCCAACCACAACTATTCAGTTCATTTAAATGCAGTGCATTAAAAGGACCCTGAATTAGCAGAAATGCCTACAGCAGATCCAGAGTTCCACTTATCAGGGGACCATCTCCCTTTGGAGTCAGCCAAAAACTTCAAACCCAGGGCAGGGGTTAAGCCGCTGTCACTTATTAGTGGTGTTTGTAGACGGCCCTCCAGATGTATCACAAACTGAGCAGTGTTGGCAGCTTCCTTGTACTGAGCTTGACCCGTTACTTCCACTCACTTAGTTGCCTACACTGGCTGGCAGCAGTGGCCCTCTGGGATTTCCGGGAAGGTTTCCTCCAGCCCTGCCTGGAGATGCTGTCGGTGGGGAGGGAAGCCGGGACCTTCTGCTTGCGAGGCAGACGCTCTGCTGGTTGAGCTGTGCCCTTTGGCATTGCTGGGGGTGTGTGTGTCAAGGGCATTTGGGGCTCCCTTCCAGCCCTCCCATGCTAGGATCCCCTTGTTCACCCGGGCCAAGGGACATGAGCCTCTCTCCTTCTCTTTCCGCCCCGCCAGGACCCACTTCCCGGGCCAGGAGCAACTGGTGCGCCTCATCTACCAGGGCCAGCTCCTCCGGGACGACTCTCAGACGCTCTCTGCCCTGCACCTCGCCCACAACAGCGTGGTGCACTGCCACATCTCGCAGAACCGGCCGTCGCCTGCGCCCGCCCACGGCAACGGTGCCCAGGCGGACGCCGCCCAGGCGGCCCTCAACGTGGGCAGCCTGATGGTGCCTCTCTTTGTGCTGATGCTGGGCGCCCTCTGGTACTTCCAGCTCCAGTACCGCCACGTCTTCACGGCCACGGCCACCACCTGCCTGGCGGGCCTCACCCTCGTCTTCAGCTTCGTGGCCTTTGCCGTCTACCGCAGATAGCGCCCGGACGAGGCCTGGACTCTGTGCGCCAGCCTGCCGGACAGAGACCTCGCAGGCTCCCCGACTGCCTCCTTGGAGCTGCCTGGATGTGTCTTCCTTGCCTTTCGTCTTTGCGCCTCCCCCCAGGGGGAGGCACCCTCCCAGGATGCCACACGCAGCAGCGGGTGCCTTGCATGTACCTCCAAGCGGGACTGGACTGGAGGGGGCTGGGGAGGGGGGCAGGAGCCGCCTGTGGTGCCTAAGTGGGGCAGGGGCCCTGGGGGAGGGGCTGGTGGGGGTGGGGCCTTGTGTGCCTGGGCCGAGAGCAGTGGGCGGGTAGGGGCGTGTTTTAAAATTAAAACTGTGAAGGATGGGAAGTGGTCTCCCTCGTGGTGTGTGGCTGCGGGGGGGGGGGGGCTAGAAACTCCGATGCAGAAGCTCATCACCAAAGGCCACCTGAGAACTAGGTCATGGTTGCCACAACAGACTATCTAGGCACCAATCCCCCCCCCCCCGATGAAAATCAATTATAATTATATAATATATAATTATATTTTAAAGAGAAAATCTCCAAGCTGTTTACAACACATTGGAACATCAAATAAAGCAATCCGGAATGAAACGAATGCACGCTTCAAGGAGAATATTTCAGTGACATTTTGCTTTTCCCATATTTATTTAGCAACTTCATTTATAGAGCTGCCCCACAGCAGGAGGACTCCAGGAAGGCAGTGTGGGGCGGTGGTGAGTGTCGGACGAGGACCTGGGAGATCAGGGTTCGAATCCCCACTCCGTCCCAAGTCTAGCCAGGTGACCTTGGAGTCAGTTGCAGCCCCTTGGCCTACCTCACAGGGTCATTGTAGGGATTAGCTGAGGAGGGTGAACCGTGGACTCCTTGGGGAAAATGGTGGGGCACAAGCGCAGTGAAGAAGCTCTTCTGCTGACCTGCTTCAGGAAGCTGGAGGGAGCAGCCAGGTGGAGATGCCTGGTGCCCAGAGGTCTCCATGTGGTCGCAACTGGACCCGCGCCAGTAGCCAAATGCATCTGGTGCCAGTCGCATCTCTCACTGCGGGTCCTGGCCCAGCAGCTACGGCCGTGGGGGTCCTGTCAGAGGCAGGACACAGAAGGGCTCTGAGGGTGGGGGGCAGGCAGCCTGGAGAAGAAGAGTTTGGATTTGATATCCCGCTTTATCGCTACCCCAAGGAGTCTCAAAGCGGCTAACAGTCTCCTTTCCCTTCCTCCCCCACAACAAACACTCTGTGAGGTGAGTGGGGCTGGGAGACTTCAGAGAAGCGTGACTGGCCCAAGGTCACCCAGCAGCTGCAGGTGGAGGAGCGGGGAAGCGAATCCGGTTCACCAGATTACCAGTCTACCACTCTCAACCACTAGACCACACTGGCTCTCAGGAGACCTTGTTCCAAGCTTTGTTCGCTGTGGGTGGAAATGCTTGTCCCTTGGGGAAGAGAGCTGAGCGGCGCCTCCCTGGCCAGGGGCAGACCCTGACTCCTTCCCGCCCCGTCTGCCTGTTGTCTTCCCTGACAGCCACCTCCTGGCTGCTGCTGCCACTGCGGAGAGCGTCCGAGGCGGCCTGAGGTTCCTCCCTAGAGCCAGCTGCCTCCTCAGCCCCAGAAATGCCCCTGGCCAGGCCGTCAGGGGATGTGGGCATTTCCCCCTCCCCACCCTGGTCCTGAGAGAGCCAGCCTGGTGGGGGGCAGATGCAATGATGATAACGGGAAACATAATGGACCCTCAGTTCGTAGCTGGAAGGTTTCTCAGCAGAGGCTGTGAGAGCTGCAACTCTTGCATTGCAGGGGGCTGGACTAGATGACCCCTGGGGGACCCTTCCGACTCCGATTCTCTGCTTCTCTGTGGTGGAGTTGGAAGGGACCCCAGGGGTCATCTAGTCCAGCCCCCTGCAGTGCAGACATCTTTTGCCCCACGTGGCGCTTGATCCCACGGCCCCGAGGTCAGGCGTCTCTTGCGGGACCGACGGCGCTCCTCTTCCCCCGCCTGGCGCCCGGGGGCGCCTGCCTCTCTCTCTCTCTCTGCGCTTCCCGCTTGTCGGGGGTTGAGCTGGATGGCCTCTGGGTGCCCCTTCGCCCTCGGATGCCGCCCGGCGCGAAGGCGGAGCAGCGCTCTCCCAGGCCACGCCCCCTCTCTCCGCCCAATCGCAGCCCGGCGAATACCCGGAAGCTCCCCAGCGGAAGCCGGAAGAGGCGGCGCGGCGTCGGGCGCATGCAAATGAGGGGGCGTGGCCTGGCGGCGAGGGCGCCCGGAGGTCGCGGGGGGGCGCAGGCCGGCATCGCACCGGGGCAGCTCCGGGGCCGGGAAGCCAGGTGAGGAAGGGGAGGGAGGAGGAGACGGAGGGCCCCGGGACCCCCTCCAGCCCAGCCTCCTCCCCGCGAGAGAGAGAAGGGGTCCGGGGTCATCTAGCCCAACCCCGGCCCGGAAGGCGGCCTGGCCCCCGCAAAAGTGAAGGGGAAAAAACCCAGATGTGCATTTCCAAAATATAAGATAAAAAACCACATCAAATAAACCCTACAGACAACAAGAGTGCATGGTGTTGTGTCTGGACCTATGAGGTCAGGGGTCAGCAAACTTTCTCAGCCGGGGGCCGGTCCACTGTCCCTCAGACCTTGTGGGGGGCCGGACTATATTTTGGGGGAAAAAATAACTGAATTCCTTTGCCCCACAAATCACCCAGAGATGCATTTTCAATAAGAGGCCACATTCTACTCATGTAAAAACACGCTGATGCCTGGACTGTCCGTGGGCCGGATTGAGAAGGCGATTGGACCAGATCCAGCCCCCATGTTTTAGGTCCATAAATTACCACACAGTCATTCCTCGGGTTACAGATGCTTCAGGTTGCGTTTCTTTCGGGTTGCGGACCACTGAAATCCGGACGTTCCGGAACAGGTTACTTCCAGGTTTTGGCGGTCGTGCATGCACAGAAGATGCTAAATTGCGCTTTGCATGTGCAGAAACGGTGAATCGCAACCTGCACATGCGCAGACGCACCACTGCAGGTTGCGGCCGCTGCGGGTTGCAAACGTGCATCCCGCACGGATCACGTTCGCAACCCAAGTGTCCACTGTATAGCATATATATTCAACACAAAAAAACAGTGACCATTTGTTGTGGGCAAAGGACAGGTGGACATAGAAAGGGCCCCATTCCCTTCCGGAGCTGAGGGCCACATCAGACCTCCATCTGGCCCTGGCTGGAGGGATCTTGGCCTGGAGAAAGGCAGACACTCTCACCCCAAGGGGCGGATGAAGATTGCTTTGGGTTCTGGGAATGGACTCAGGGTGGGGGTTCCAACAGAAGCTGGGGGGGGGCCTTCTCTGCCACCATCTGGGTCAGTTGCCCCCATCGCTCTGGACCCAACTGGACACCTTCCTGACCCAGGCCAAAAGTCTCAAACGTCAAGGCAAAGTCCGACCATAATTTGCTTCCTGGACATGTGACAGGCGGCTGTTCCACAGGGTGGGTGCCCCCACCCAGAAGGCCCTCTCCTCTTTTAACGCCTCCCAGGTGGGTGGCCCCCCTGCCTCCTGTGGCAGGGAGTTCCACAGGTTAACAACAACCCCCATGCCTACAGGCACAGTGCTGCAACGTGGCTCCTCCCTGGGTTGTCTGGGCTGGGGGTGCTGGATCCTGACCTAACCGCCTCCCTTCTCTCCCGCAGGTCTAGGGCTGCTGCTGCCCCCCACTTTGCCCCCTGCCATGCTGCCGCTCCTCCGGGCCCTGAGCAGGGGGGGCACCGGCCCCTCGGCCCCCTGGGCTGATCCCGGCGGGGCTGGCCTGCTCCCGACCTGCAGCTTCTGCCTGGGGAGGGCCAAGCCCCCTGCCTCGCCACCAAAACCCGGCCCCCCGCATCCCGCTGCGGCCCCCGAGGAGTCGCCGGAGAGGCGGAGCAGCTTTGTGGCCCTGAAGCGTCTGCTGGAGCGATCGCGCAGCATCCCCGAGCTCCTGCGCTGGCTGTGGCAGAACCCGGGCCGGGTGTCGGGTGCGCATTATGCCCTGGCCCTCGGCCACCTGGGCCGCCTGCTCCCCCCGGGCAAGGGGGGTCCCCGCCTGGAGCCTCTCCTGCTCCAGCCCGACTTCCAGCACCTCAGCCGGGCCGTCGCCAGGCGCTGCGCCCACTTTGACGACGCCACCCTCGTCCGCTGCCTCCAGGCCTCGGCTGCGCTGGGTGAGACCCGGGAATAGGGGGGGGGGCGGACCTGGGAATGGTCGAGCGGGAAGGGAACCCCAAAGGTCCTCTAGTCCAACCCCTGGGTTCTCAATGCTCGCCCGGGTCCCCATGCCAGGGCCAGCCGAGCAGCTCAGAGCCTCTCTGCTGAGGCTGATTTATTTATCCCACAAACTTACTTATCCCACAGCTTGATTGGGAAAAGACCTCAAGGCGGTTTAGGAGGAAGGACAAAGCAGTGAAATTGCCGCCGGGAAGAAGGGGAAATAATTTGAAAAGTTAAAATAACAGCTTAGCCCTCAGCAAAGTGAAGCTCCATTGGTAGAGCCAGAGACTCTGAATCTCAGGGCTGTGGGTTTGAGCTCCACACTGGGCAAAAGATTCCTGCAGGGTGGGGTTGGACTAGATGACCATGGGGTCCCTTCCATGATTGAAAACAGATTAAGACTTGCACCGGGGCAGGATCTGTCTGATTATGTTTTTAGCAGGTACCCAAAAAAAGAGCACAGTGAAGGCTCCTGCCTATCAGTAGTTCCAAACTGTATTGTTATTATTACTATTGATTAACTTTATGTATCGCCTTTAATCCAAAGCTTACATGGCGGTTTATAATACAAAAACAGAAAAATACAGATCACAGTAACAAACAAAAACAACACACTCCCATTTTGAAAGACCGTAGATAGTTTAAACAGCTTTAGTCCTGGTTCCTAAAGACACGTAATGAGGGCACCAGCTGAGCCTCTTGTTGGGGGGGATTGCACAAACGGGGAGCCACTGCAGATAAGGCCCTGTTCTCATGCTGCCACCATGTGGGGCACTGCTGGGTCCTTGGGGGCCGGGGGGGTGTGGGCAGGAGGGGCCGAAGGCAGTCCTTGGCGTTGACCAGGCCTTTCTCTTCTGGCTTCCCAAGGGCCGCCCCGCAGGGTTGGGCAGCGGTGGGACGGCCTCCCCCTAACCCCTGCTCTGCCCCAGGCCTGCCAGGAGACAGCCGCCTGGTCCTGGCGCTGCAGGATGAGGCCCAGAGGCGGCTGGAGCGCCTTCGCCAGAGGAACGTCTCGACGGTCAGCGGCAAGAACGTTCGCCTCCGCCCACTGAGCCATGCTGCCGCTACCACCACCCCTCCGGCGGAGTCCTGCCAGGGCAGCCCAGAGGAACAGCGCTGCCTGCAGACCCTCTTCTTGCTCCTCTCCTACTACTGCCTGCGGGCCCAGAAGCAGCAGGAAGAAGCCCCACCGGTGCAGCGCGAGTTCCTGTGCCTGGTGCGTCTCTCGCTGCGCCAGCTGCAGGTTGCGCAGGAACAGGAGCTGGCGCTGCTGGAGGAGATGCTCTGTCTCTGCGCCCGCGAGGCCACTGGCAGCGACACCCTGGGCGCCATCTTCGGATCCCGGCGCTTCTACCAGAATCGCCGGGAGAACTTCGTCCGCAGCATGGCAGGTGGGTGCCGGGGGGGGGGCGTGCGGGGAAGCGGGAGGCGGTGTCCCAGGGGGGTCAGCTGTGGGTGCAAACATTTATTTATTTCCCCTTTCTAAACCCATGTAGAAAAACCCCAAAGTGGATATTTTACAAGGTTGTTCTTGTACTTCACCAGATCCTAACCTATTACAGTACAGTATTTGTAATAATAGGTTCCAAAGATCACTGAATTTGTCCATGGCAAGTCTGCAATTAATATGCAAGTTGTTCATATGTTGTGAGTTTGTACAAGTCTTCGATCCAATCATAGAAGGGAGCTGCATTTTTATTTTTCCAATTCATCAATATCAGTCATTTTGCCACGGTCAGGGCACGGAGAGTCCACTCGCATTGTCCTTTTGCAAGCTTCCATGTGCTGGGTATATAATTCAAGAGGATATTTTGCTCTGTACAGTGGTACCTCGGGTTAAGTATTTAATTCGCTCTGGAGGTCCGTTCTTAACCTGAAATTGTTCTTAATCTGAAGCACCACTTTAGCTAATGGGGTCTCTCACTGTCGCCGCCGCGCAATTTCTGTTCTCATCCTGAAGCAAAGTTCTTAACCCGAGGTAATATTTCTGGGTTAGCGGAGTCTGTAATCTGAAGCATCTGTAACCCGAGGTGCCACTGTAAAAGTAAAGTTGCTCCGTACAGTTCTGTTGATGGTTTCGGTTACCTTCTGCCAAAAATATTTCAATACAAGACAATGAAGAAACTTATGTTTTAAAGAAGCATTGTCCCTGTTGCATCTCCAACAGTTAAATACCTTAGATAGCCTTTTTTAAAACAAATGCAATGGGGTCCAATATATTGTAAATATTATTTTTTGTTGTACGAGCCTCAATTTAAGATCCAGAGACGCCTTCGTTATAGCAGTTAAAACAATTTCCCACCGTGTGGTTGAAACTGAGATCTGTAGCTGTGGGTGCAAACATGTGGGCGTGTTTGGGGTGGCTCTTGGGCACAGAGGGGGCTGCGAGCATCTCGGTGCCCCCCCATGGACTGCTGCTGCGCAAAGTGCTGCCCCTGCACCCTTCATCCCAGGATTTGCAGTTACGATACGATATGATAGGATATCTTTATTGTCATTGTCCCATACAGAACAATGAAATTGAAATGTCTACATAAGACATTCAAAAACCCCTAAAGACTCTGAAACCCCATTTTAAAATACAATATACTCCTATAGGGACTCTTTATACTGCGTTTGAAACCAGAATTGCATTTGGGTAGAAGCTGTTTCTCAGGCGGCTAGTCCTGGTCTTTATAACCCTGGGCCTTCTTCCAGAAGGCAGCAGAGGGCGCACCAGAGCCTTTTATTGAACCACTTCATATAATCCCATAATGGTACAGCTGGGAGGGACCCCAAGGGTCATCCAGTCCAACCCCCTGCAATGCAGGAATCTTTTGTCCAACGTGGGGCTTGAACCCACAACCCTGAGATCAAACGTCTTATGCTGCACCAACTGAAGTATCCCTGTGGGCGGCAGAAGGGGTTTTTCCTATGGGGCTGGTGGGGCAGAGCCCCAGTGCCCCCCAGGGGAGTAGAAGCACATCGGTTGGAGTGAGGGAACAGAGGGTAGGCCAAGGGCAGAGAAGGGCTCTGAGGAAACCAGCGGGAGAGACAGTATCGCATAGGGGTTAGAGTCATGGGATACCAGGGTTCGAATCCTGCCTCTCAGTCATGAAGCTCATGGGGTGTGATCAGTCAGCAGAGCCTGAGACTCTTAATCTCAGGGTCGTGGGTTCGAACCCCACTCCAGGCAACCGATTCCTGCATGTCTGGGGGTTGGACTAGATGACCCTGTGGTCCCTTCCAGCTCTACATTTTCATGATTTCCCCAGCCTCACCTCCCTCACAGGGCTGTTGTGGGGGTTGACTGAGGGTGGGGAGAGCCTGTTGGGATACTGCCAGGGAGACGGGGGCATCAGGCAGGCCCCCAGCTGGCTCCAGCCACCGGCCAGCAGCCGGTGATCACCGGTCTCCCTTGGAACAGCATCAAACAGCGACACGAGCCTCAGATACGTTGAGAGACCCGTGCATAAATCTTCACACAGCAGAAGTGGCAGACAGAGAAATGTGTAAGCATATTTACAGCATTTATTCAGCATAGTTCAGGTACGAAGGAAAAAACATGTCTGCTTCCCTTCGTCTCCAGCAAAACAGCTAAAAGCAAAAGCAATATACAAAAGGAAGTTCCCAGCAAGTGCTGGAAGTAAACAGGCATGTGACACACAACAGTCGTGCCTGTTCCTTTTAAGGTGGAACGGAACTATATCCTAACAGAGCCCCGTACGCCTCCTTGAGCTCCTTGTAGGAGCTTGTAGGTGGGCTTCTCAATGCCAGCAAGCGAGGGGGGGGGGCTTCTGGGGTCTCCTTGCGGCTCAGCCCCATGGAAGATGGACACCCACCCTCTGCTTACCCCCCTCCTGCCACGGAGAGCCCACTGCCTTCCGAGGAAGCCTGTCCCACCGCCTTCAGGGGGCACGCTGTTTATTTGGGGGGCCTGCTGAGCTGCTCTTTCCCTCCGCAGACTGGTTCCCTGCCAAGGTGGGGGGCTTGACCCCTCCCACCATGGCCCTGGTTGCCAAATACTTGGCCCGCCACCGCCTGAGAGAGCCTCGCCTGCTGGATGCCATCGCCACCTTCCTGCTGGAGACGGCACAGCAGCTGGACAGCAAGGTGAGCTTGGGGGGGAGCCTTCCTATTTGGGGTGCCCCTACCCAGAGGTCAAGGAGGACGGACAGACCCCCGGGCGCCCCCTGCCCCGTTTCTTCCAGGGAGGGCACCAAGAGAGAGGGAGCAGCCTGGCACCCCTACTCGCCCAGCCTACCAGCTTAGCTTGCTTGCTGCTGTGGGATTTTTTTGGGGGGGGGGGCTAAGGACCTGGGAATCACCATAGTACAGGATGAGGCCCATGGCCCACTCAGTATCCTCTTTGCTCAGTGGCCACCCAGGGGCCCAAAGGGAAACCCCTGAGCAGGATTCGAACGCAGGAGCCGCTCTGGGGTTTGCAGCAGCTGGGATTCAGAAGCATCCCAACAGAGGCGAGAGAGAGCTCTGCAAGTATAGGGCGGTATACAAATTAAGTTAATAATAATAACCATAATAAGTCATTGCTCGCCGTCTCCTCCTCCTCCACAAATCTGCCCGTTTCTCTTCTGAAGCTGCTCAAGATGCTTCCCATCCCTGCCTTCTGTGCGTCGATTGGATTTAGATACGGAGGAGAGGATGTTAAGTGATTATCCTTCCTCTTTTCCGGTGTGTCAGAGTGCAGATACCTGCTTCACTGGAGAAAAACCTTCTGTGCGCAGCTCATCTCTGGAAGCTTTTAGGACCAGGTTGCATAAATTTTAGAACCATTAGGATGCTGTAGGCAGACTTGGATTATCTTCTCACTTTCTATCTTAACAAAAAAATCACTCTCTGGCTCTTGGGTAAGCAAGGAAAACATAAGTTTTACTCACATCAAAAGTCCTGCCAGGGTTCAGTAGATACAGGGATGAAAATTTTGCAGGCAGTAAACCCTAACCGTTATGAAAGTCCATGGCCCAGTTCAATTTTTGTGTTCCCTGGAGGAGAGCAAAGAAATCCCCCCCCCCATTGCAGGCTGAAAGAAGTGGAGATTAAGTTTTTCTTATTCCCTTTCCCTCCACACAGGATTAGAGGATATTATTATTATTATTATTATTATTATTATTATTAATATGCTGCTCTTCATCCAAAGATCTCAGGGTGGCTCGTTTGTGATCTCGGCTGCTCATCCTGTGGCAGGGAGTTCCACAGTTTAGCTGCTGGGTTTTCCCTGATCCCTGGAGCAGCCCACCTCTCTGAGGCTGCCCTGGTCTGAGGCTCTTGGGGGTCTGGAAGCCCCACCAGCGCAGGTCCCCTCCCAGCGTGATCTGCTGAACACATCGGGACCCGCTCCCTGGCAAGGGCCCCGTGCGGGGTTGGCCTAGATGACCCTCGGGTCCCTTCCAAGCGGATGGTTCTGCAAAGCGTGCTTCGGAGTCCAGCCTCCCTGGGGCTTTGGGGAGGGGCAGGACGCGATGTTGGGGGGGGGGCAGAGAGGCTGACCCCCCAGGCCTCTCCTCCTGCAGATGATCCAGAAGCTGGTCTTCCCCTTCAGCCGGTTGAACTTCCGCCCGTCCAACCACGCCGCCCTCTTCCCCCGCCTGGAGGCGGCTCTGCAGAAGCCGGGCGTCTCCCCGCTGGCCGCCCTCAACGTCCTCATGTCCTTGGTGCAACTTGGCCACTGCCCTCCTGGCCTCCTGCGCCAAGTCTTCTCTCCCGCCTTCCTGGCCAACGTCACCAGTAGGTTCCCGCCTGGCGGGGGGTTGGGATGGATGACCCCGGGGTCCCTCCGCTCCCATGCTGCCGTTCTGCCATTCCGTGGGCCTCGGGAGGCCGGGAGGTCCGGCGTTTTTTTTTTTTTGGGGGGGGGTGCTGTTCTTCGGGGCCCCCCGCCTTGAGCAGCAGATGAGGGGCAGCTCCCCTTCTCCCCCCAGGCAGCCCCTGCGGGCAGATTGTGCTGCGCTACCTCTCCCTCTTGGACGCGGCTGTGGCGCTAGAGGTCCCCGAGTACCGCGGCCCCCGCCTGCCCCCCAAGTACCACGTGCGCATGTTCGAAAGGGCGCTCACCGCAGACAAGGCCAACCGCAAGTACAGGTCAGAGCCTGGGGGGGCGCCTGGGAGGGGGTTGCGCTTTAGGGCTGGGTTTGCCAGGGGTTGGGATGGATGACCCTCTGGGGTCCCACTCATCTCTCCTAGGAAACGCCCATGGACTTGGTGTGAATGACTCAATCCTTTTTTGGAGAGGGGAATATTTAACTTCGGGGTGGGTGCAATAATTGGGGGAGAAAGACCCCCCCAGGCTAGGAGGGGAAGAGGCGCTGGGCTGCCATGTGTCTTTTGGGGGACGCCTTTTACCGCACTGACCCCCCTCTTTGCTCCTCAGCTACAAAGGCCTGGTGGGAGAGGCTCTCTGCCAGCTGGTGGGCAGGGGGTGCTTCCGGCAGGACGAGGTGGTGCCCCCGGGATATTGCCTAGGTGAGTGGGGGGGCCGTCCTTTGGGGCCTGTGGGGTGGGGTAGGGCCCCCCAGGCGAAGAAGGGGGCTCGGCTTTGGCCCCCAGGTCCCTGGCTTCCTTTGCTGTATCAGAGCTGAGGTTCACCTTCCGCCAGGGATGCTCTTTTGGTCGATTCCTGCCTGGCCGGGGGTTGGACTAGATGACTCAGGGGGTCCCTTCCAAGGCTCTGATCCTTCGATTCTCGGAAAGGTGCCCTGTGTGTGTGTTGGGCAGGGGAGCTGGAAGCTCTCGGATGAGGCGTGCAAATGTCTCCCTCCAACTCTCCTGGCATTTAAGGGGCAGAGGCGGGTGAACAATTTTCCACTTTAAAAACCGGTCGTAAAAGATCACCAACGGATCCGGTCTCAGTTCTGGGGTCATATTGAATTTTCCAGGCCGAAGTCTGTCTGTTTGACAGCCTCTTTGCTTCTTCCCACTTTAGGTATAAATTGATGGATCCCATTAGGTTGCCTCATCTTTTAAATATTTGCAAATATTTCAACAGAAACTAATTGCTGCTCTAAACGCTTGGAGTGTCTTTAAGGGACGTTTTATAGCATCCTTGGACTCGGGGGCTGGATTGGATGACCCCCGGGGTCCCTTCCAACTCTGCAATCCTGAGATTCTATGAATCTTTCCTCCCACCCCAATGAAACGCTCCAGTTCAGCTGCTTTGGGCTGTTGGGGATAAAAGCAGCTTTGGGGATTTTTCCTTTCTTAATAATTTGGGGAAAATTGCTTTCATCTCCCGCTCACCTCCAAGACTTTCCAAACTCCGATCAGTTGGACCTTCTTGGTCCTTTGACATGTCACATGAAGTGGATCATGCCCTCCATCCCCCCCACCCCCGCCTGTAACTGCAGGCTCCCTGGGGGAAAGAGCGCTCCTGAGCCTGTGCAAAGTGTTTTTAGCCACCAAGCAACCTCACTTCTCCCTTTGTCTTGAACCCCCAGCCGATCCCCCTTTCTCTCTTTCTCCACAGACTTCCTGCTCTGGGTCACCCCTTCCGGCACCGTCCTTCCCCTGGGGGCCCCCCACAGCTCTCCCAAGGGTGCTGCCCCCACCCTTGCCTCTGGAATCCAGAACGCGGCATCTTTGGAGTCGACGGCAGGGTCTCTGCTGCCCCCGGACAGCTTCTGTGGCCCCAGCTGGGAGCCCTCGCCAGGGACCCCCTCCCTGAGCAGCCCCACGCGGACGGACCCCTCCCTGGCGGGCCCCCCCTGCAGCAGCAACGGGACCCACTTCTTCTTCCCCGCCTGGGGGGGGCCAGAGTCTGGGCAGGGGCTCCGCCTCCCCCCAACGGACGAAGGGGGGCCCTTCTCCCCCCAGGGGCCCAGCACCAAAGGCGCAGCGCAGGGTTGTCCACAGGAGACGGTCCACAGGTACCTGCAGCACGAATGGAGGGGAGGCACCTCTGACCTGGGGTCACAGTCTTAAGTGGGGGGTGGGGGTGGGTGGTGCTTTTTCCATCGCTTGGCCACTGAAAGGAGCCAAGTGCTTTCCTCTCTCAGCTCAGCCCATCCTGCTGCGGTTCCGGCATGGCAGCGGGTTGGACTAGATGACCGCTGGGGGTCCCTCTTCAGCTCTGTGCTTCTTTCCTTCCTGGCCCAGCGAGGGCCCAGAGCCGGCTCAGTTTGCAGGCTGCCTGCCCTTGCCTCGCCTCTTCTGCCGGCAGCAGCCTGCCTCTTCTGTCGGTGGCTCACAGCCTGTGCTCAGAACATGTCTGGGCTCGGCTGTGCCAGGGATGCCAAGCCTGGGGGGGCTGAGTTATGGGGAGGGAGGGGGTTGGAGCCTGTTTGCGGAAGGGGCAGCTGTTTTGGGGGCGCAGAGGAGCCAAGCCCGACCCCCCTGAACCCCTGGCTGCCTCTGGAGCTGGCTATGCCAGGGCGCCCTCTAGTGCCAAGGGGGGGCTCTCCCCCATCTTCTTGCGTCTGGGGAGGGGGCCTGGCCCCCGTTTCTGACCAGGGGAGGCAGCCACATCCTCCAGAACTTGCAGAGTGTTTTTTTCTGGGGCTCTAACTGGGGGGACCTTGAGTGACGGGGGGCACATACTCCCTTTGATGCCAGCCCCCCATTTCCTCCCTCCCCCACCAGGGTGGTGCTGTCTGTCAACGACCAATGGCACTACTGCCACGGCTCCTCGGTCCTGGTGGGCTCTCGGGCCATGCGCAGCCGCCATCTCCGCCTGTTGGGCTACCGCCTGGTGCAGGTAAGCAGGACTCTCCCTCCCCACACTTCCGGGTGGGCTGGGCCGCTCCCTGGCAGCGTTTCCCGGCTGGGCTGCCCGGAGGGGTCCCCTTGGGCCGGATCCGGCAGCCAGGCTCTTCGGACGCCTGCACGGAGCCTCCGGGAGCAGGAGCAGTCTACCTGGACGCCCAGGGTCCCGGGGTCTTTTGGCCGGCAGGCTCTTCCTGTGCTCTTCCGCTCTGCAGCTGCCCTACCAGGAGCTGGAGAAAATGAGGGGCGTCGAGGAGACCAAGCTCTACCTGAGACGGAAGCTGGAGGAGCTGCAGTTCTGAAGCAGACACCTAGGTGTGGGTCTGTGTGGGTCACCAGACAGCAGGCACGTTTGGGGATGGTGTGGGTCTTTTCTTGCAGAGCACACATTCCCCCAGTGCACCCCCGAGAGGGATTTGTTCGAGGTACAAGAGAGGGTTTTTCTTTGCAATAATAAATTAAAATAAATTAAAAGAATAATAATAATAAAGAGGCGAAAAGTCCAGACCAGCTTCCTTCTCTTGCTTTATTTGCCTCCGTCATTCAGCAAGGAATGGGGCAGAGGGCTCCCTTCCGCCGCCCCCCAGCCTCCCCACAACGCATCGTCCTGCCTCCAGCGCGGCCCTATGGACCTGCCCCACTCACTTCCTCCCGGGGGGGGGGGGGCGATGCCCAGCCCCACTTTCCTGGGGGCACCTCTTCCTTGGCCTTCGGCTGGGCATGGTTGGGGAGGCAGTGCCCCCCAGCTGAGGGCAGAGCCCCTGCCCCACTGCCCTTGCCGGACGCCCCGCCCTAAGAAAGCTGCGTTGAGATTGGATGGGGCTGGAGGGTGATTGTCTTTGGGGGCGAGGGTGGGGCACGCCCCCCCGCCCCCTCTAAGGCTGGCGCAAGGAAGCAAAGGGGTGGGGGGTGTCTCGGGGGTGTGAGTGTGCTGAGCGCCCCCAGAGGCGGCTGGGGGATGTGGGGCGACCCCTCTGCTCCGGGGCAAGAAGGCACTGGGGTTGGGGGTGGCTGGTCAAGGCACTGGGGTGCCATCTCCAGGGCCCTTTCCGGCCGTTGCCCTGCGGGTCTCCGTCCATGCTGCCCGCCTCACACGGGCATGGGCATCTCGTTGTACTCGTCCACCCCTTCCCTCTCGTCCAGGATGGGCTCGGCCTCGGCTGCGTCCAGCTGTGGGGCAAAAGAGAGGGGGGCTCAGGGGCAGCGGGAGGAGGAGGAAGGGGCGGCCTCTGCTCCCCCGCCACCCCCATCCCCGGGAGTGGAGGCGCCAGCGCAGCCCGCTTCCCCCCTGCCTTGTGAGGGCTCTGCGCGCGGCGGGGACTCCTCTGCGTTGGCCACTTACACACTTCATCTCCCTCTCGGTGAAGATGCGGCTGAGCAGGCACATGCGCAGGGGGACCGTCAGGATGAGGATGAAGGGGAAGGCCAGCGAGGCCACCGTGGACATGACGGCCCACAGCACCGCCAGGCAGGCCAGCTGCAGCAGCGTGAAGAGGTGCATCCGCAGCGTCCGCACCTGCAGGGCCACAAGCGCAGCGTCGGAAAGGGGACCCTGGGAGGTCATCCAGCCCAACCCCTGGTTCCAGCTCCAGGATCCCTGGCAGGCGGCCGTCTAAGGAAGACCCACAATCGAGGGCAGAATCCCCCTCCGCCTTCCCATCCAACTGGTCCCAGGAGAAGGGGGGCCAGACCTACGCCTTTTGAGGCTCAGACTGTGATGGGGGTCCCATCGCAACCAGCAACGAGGTCCGGATCACCCCATTCCCTATCCAATGGGGTTTTTCCATGACAGAGCCGGACGTTAAAAAATTAAAAATTAACTGCTACATCAGATTTTGATGAAAATGGCTGTCCTGCAGTAGCTCACCTGTCAAAGTCACTGGGCTGAATAAAAATGCCCCGTGCCATACAGTTTTCCGGGCCCCACCTTGGGCAAAAGATCCCTGCCTTGCAAGGGGTTGGACTGGATGACCCTTGGGGTTCCCTTCCTACAATCCTGTGATTCTTTTCTGAGCCACACATTCGCTTCCCGAGAGCTTCCTGGCTGTCACACTTCCTGGAGACAATGCTGGGAGAATCTGAGCGCTCTTCAGCAGAACGGCCAACTTACCGCCTTTACATCTGTGCCGCTGAGTCTCAAACTTTGGGATTGTTGAAATAGATGCCGCCAGAAATTAATCCGTTTCAGTCATTCCGCTCAAACTGGGTCTACTGGACCCATTTTTTTTTTAGAAAAAGCAATGTGGACTGAAGTTGCTTCTGGGCCCCTCCTGTGGAGCCAGGGGCAGAAAGACCCTCTGGACCCTGGGGAAATGGGGCTCCATGGGGTGCAAAGAGCCTCTCCTGGGCCTCTCCCCTCACCCCCCATGGGAGACCCACCTGCCCCCACCCCAAATCCCAGGCCAGGGCCCTCCCCTCTGACCTTCTTGACGTAGGTGACGTCCGGGTGGTGCTTGGGAGGCATAAGCAGCAGGTGTAGTCGCTCGTAGAACTGGATCCCGTTCAGAGAGGTGACGCCCATGTAGAGGAAGATCCCAAAGAGGACGGCCAGGGGGATCTTGCGCAGAAGGTCGCCAATCACGATGGACAGGCCTGGAGAGGGAGGGGGGAACAGGGCGGTTCAGCAGGAGTCCTGCCAGACCCCAACATCCCCCCCCCAGGAGTGGGTCTGCCTCCCCCAATGCCCCCACTTTGGGGCATCTCCATCAAGTAAAGTGCCAAGATGGAGAATGCATGGAGAAGTACGATGACGCGTTTATACAAAATATAGTCATTTAAAAATAAACACGGACGTATTTGGATAATGAAACCAATACCTAGACAGGTACTGGTATATGGAATTGTAAGGGTTAACTCTTAGGACTCAGCGAACTGGCCATTTGATTACACTATAAAAATGAGTCACCAGATGGCCCAAGACAGCAGGACATTTTAAGACTTTTCCATGGAGATTTTCCCCTTTCATTATTCTGACTTATTTATTGCGTTTTTCCCCCTGTGTCTAGATCAGTGGTTCCCAATTAGCTCATTACTGAGGACTCCCTATTTTTCAAAAGCCAAGCCACGGAACCCCTACTTTTGAAAATTTAGATAACTCTACGGGAGTTACCTCCACAAAGCAATTTTCGGAACAAAATGTGGGGTAGCCCCTAATATGCAAAGGATTTTAGGTATACTAAGAAACAGACTCAGACTGAGCGATATCTGGTTTTCAGCATAGTGACGTATCAGCAGCTAAACATTGTGATATTCCAATATATGTCTGAAATTGGAGATCAGGCGTGGGGCTGAGGGAGGGAGCAATCCTAGAGATTAGGCGGGTGGAGGGCACACAGATCTGGCATGGGGCTGGGGGCTGGGCGATGTCAGGTTTCCAACATGGTGGTCTATCACCAGCTGAACATCGCCGTTTGGTGAGATGCAGCAATGTTGAAATGAGCTGCATTGGCTGCAGTCAGGGGCCAATGCAGCTGCCTAATTCTGCCCCCCTGCTCAGCTGCAATGCAGGAGTTTATTATTATTATTATTATTATTATTATTATTATTATTATTATTAATGCCCCGTCCATCTAGCTGGGTTTCCCCAGCCACTCTGGGCGGCTCCCAACCGAATATTAAAAACACAATACAGCATCAAACATTAAAAACTTCCCTAAACAGGGCTGCCTTCAAATGTCTTCTAAAAGTCAGATAGTTGTTTATTTCTTTGACATCTGACGGGAGGGAGCCACCACCTAGAAGGCCCTCTGCCTGGCTCCCTGTAACCTCACAGGGAGGGAACCGCCAGAAAGCCCTCAGAGCTGGACCTCAGGGTCAGGGCTGAATGATGGGGGTGGAGACGCTCCTTCAGGGTCCCCCTCAGGGTCCTCCATGCCACTTTGAGGAGGGGGGCACTCCTGGTCCCCCCCAAAAGCAAGGAAGTCTTCCTTATTATTGCATTTGCCTTTCTCTCCTGGTTCTCCTCTTGCTCATCCGCAACCACCCTGCCAGGCGGGCTCCCCTGAGCGGCCCCTGGTGTGCTTGTGGGGGGTGGGCCCCCTTCCCCGGCCGGCGACTCACCCACAAGCAGTGCCACCACCAGCCCGGTGACGCGCTGCTCCTTGACCTCCTGGATCTTGGGCTTGTCCCCGGGCGCCACGGCCTTGCTCATGACGGTGAGGGCGTTGGCGTGGGTGACGGAGCGCACGGTGGCGGCCGCCAGCCAGGGCAGCCCAAAGAGGGCGCAGAAGCCCCCCATGGCCACAATCAGAAGCAGGTCCAGGTGGAACCCGGAGCCCTTCTGCAGCTTCCGCTCCTTCTTGCTGATGATCAGCCTGGGGGGCGAGGAGGAAGTGGGCAAGACGGTTAGGAGATGATATATAATGAATTGGAAAAACAGAAGTTTAGAATAACCCAAGGCCTTCCTTTGAGGAATTCTAGGAGCCAAAATCCCAAGGGAGCAGAAAATACTATTTATGTACGCAACCGCGGCTACGTGGATGTTACTGGCCCAGAGATGGAAAGAAGATAAAACAGAGAAGAATGGCAGATCAAGTGGATGGATCATGCCGAAATGAGGAAGATCAAAATTTTAATAACCTGATGAAGAGAGCACAGCAAAGGTTATATTTTCTGAGAATCCTCCGTAAAAACAATCTCTCAAAGGACCTGTTGATGGCATTTTACCATTGTACTGTTGAGAGTGTATTAACATGGTCTGTGCGTGTGGTTTGGGAGCTGAACGGCCAGGGAAAAAACAGTGCTGTCCAGGGTTGTAAAGACTGCGGAGAGAATAATTGGGTGCACTCTTCCCACCTTGGATCAATTCTACGCTTCCAGGTGCCATAAGAAAGCTGCAGAGATAGCGCAGGATAGTGCGCACCCCGGAAATGATCTCTTTCAGCTTCTGGAAGAAGGTCCAGGGTTATAAAGACTAGGACTAGCTGCCTGAGAAACAGTTTCTATCCAAATGCGATTTTGGTTTTAAATGCAGTGTAAGGTAGTCTCTGTGGGAGTATACTGTATTTAATTATGGGGTATCAGAGTTTTTAGGGGCTGACCAGGCTGGGATAACTGGAATAGCAGGCTTGTTGGGTTTTGAATGTCTGATGTAGATTTTTTCAATTTCGTTGTTCTCTATGGAACAATGACAATAAAGATTATCATGTCGTAAAAATAAGGAATGGGGAAAATTTATATTTTACCTTAAAAAGTATTGTAAACAGTTGAAATCGTTAGTAGGGTTGGGAGAACACTTGTAGTTTAATGATGAACTTTGGACATAATGGAGATGTGAAATATTTGGACTGTTATAAAAGATGCAGGAGGACGTGATTAATAATAGGACCCGCAAAGGGGAGAAGTCCAGGAGATTCCTGGGAATATTGCTTTTATGTTGTATGTTGGTGTTTGTAAAATTTACAAGTGAAAACCAAATAAATAAGTTTATTAAATGAAATAAAAATAATATTAAGAAAGGAACCGGTGCCCCCTGAAGCCCCTTGGCCTGCCCTCCCCCCCCGGCTCCCAGAGAGGACCCCCCCCCGGCCAAAGGGTCCCCCTTGGGACACTCCTGGGCGTGACTCACGTGGTGATTTGCGTCTCCATGAAGATGAGGATGAAGACCAGGACGGCCGGCAGGGCACTGGCCACCATCATCCAGACGGGGAAGGCCTGGCTCTCGCCCAGGGGGTTGATCACCCAGCCCCGCTTCTGGGGGTCCGTGACCGAGAAGCCGTGGGGCACTGAGAGTTTCTGCGGGGGGGGGAGGGGAGAAAGGAGGCGGGCAGCGGGTGAGCGAGAGGGAGAGGAGAACCGTGGAAGGGGTTCCGGGGAGGGAAATGGCAGAGGGATCCCCAAAGGTCATCTAGTCCAACCCCCTGCGATGCAGGAATGTCCACTAAAGGAGATAGCCAGGCACCCTCTCCTTGAAAACCTCCAAGGAAGGAGGTTGCTAAGATCCAGCAATCTAGGCTTCCATATGCCAACCCTACAATAATCCACTAGGATGTAATAATGCACAACAAAAGGAACTCTCAAGATACCGGCAAATAATTAAATTGTTGTTGTTGGTATCATTCTTATTATTGGTATTGTTAACTGTTTCTGCCCAGTTCCAGTCCAGCACTGTAACCACTGCACAGCGCTGCCTGCCTCCTCCATTCCAGGATTCTTGGGGGCGCTGGGCCCACCTGCCGGCTCACCTGTGTGTAGGTGTCCCGGATGCTGTAGTCCACCAGCACCATGATGAGGATAGCGATCGGCACCCCGAAATCCCCAATCACACGCCGGACCTGCCCAGAGAGAAAGAGTTGCTCAGCCCTGGCCTTCAAGAGCCGTTCCTGGTGACCATGTGGCTCTAAGGCAAGGGGCCTCTGAGGGTGCACAGAGTGCCCCCGAGACCCTCCTGCCATCTGCCCAGGAGGCCTCTGCCCCCTCTCGCCACCCCTCCATCTCATTTTTAATTTGAACCCCATCTTTCCCTATTGCTGCACGCAAAGCAGTTGACAAGCTGAAGAAACCCCAAAACGTGCAGCGTAATAATACGATCCAACGCAAAAATATATAATCACAATTTTAAAAGGTTTTAATATAAACATATCATAGAATGGCAGAGTTGGGAGAGACCCCTGAGGGTCGTCCATCTCACCCCCCTGCAATGCAAGAATCGGTGACGGGGGGCCATCCAATCTCTGCTTAAAAACCTCCGAGGAAGGAACTTTATAAAATAAAGCAACATTCGACAATCTACTGGGTGCATATTCCTGCAAATAAGGGAATCCTCTCTCTGGGCAATTGCGGCCGTTCTCTTGCTCCGGCCGCCCAATTCTTCCCTGACCCTCCCCCCCCCAGGCCACGCACCCGTCCCGGGAAGAAGCGGCTGTTCTTGAACTTGCGCAGGAAGAAGGCGATGAAGAAGGTGCCGGCCATGAGGACCAGCGAGAGGAGGGCCGTGTTGGGCTGGCCGGTCACTTTGGCCGCGGAGCGGACGGACGTCCCGTTGCCCAAGACCAGGGTGGTGTTGCCGTCCAGGCTGATGTCGCCGGTGCCGTTGGCCTTGGTGCAGCTGTTGAGCGGGTGCTCCTGGAAGATCTGCCCAGAGACAAAACCTTTCCCGTTTGTTTCTTGCAAGGAATCATTATCCTTCCTTGGTTGGTTTTTATATTGTTTCACAGAATGCTTTTAAACTGGTTTTCCACTGAGAATGTATTTTGGCAGTGGCGGCATCTGTCTATCTCGAGAGACAATGGAGTGTGCCCTCTGGGGATGAATTCAAACTGCTGCCAAAATGAACTCTCCGGGGCACAAGATACAGGAGATAATATACAAATGGAAGACTGGGAAAAATTATGGAAAGTGAATTCGCTGATTGCATACTGTTAAAAGAGAAGTATATGAAAAGTATATGAAAATGATGTATAGATTACATTATTACATTACAGCTGTAAAAATGGCACAAATGTATAGAACAGGCTCCAACAAGTGTTGGAAATGTAAAGAAAAAGAAGGCACATTTTTTCATATGTGGTGGGATTGTAAAATAATCAAAATCTATTGGGAAATTATTTATAATGAAATAAAAAAAAATGTTTAAGATAGCTTTTTCATAAAAAGACCAGAAGCGTTTTTAGTAGGCATTTCAGGTCAAGAGTTGCCAAAAGAGAAGAAAAAACTAGGATTCTGTTAGCCCAAAGATGGAAAAATGAAGAAATACCAACAAAAGAATGGCAAGAAAAATTGATGGAATACACTGAAATGGCTAAATTAACTGGAAGACTATGAGATAAGGAGAACAGAGACTTTAAGAAAGACTGGGAACCATTTATGTTATCCCTACAGAAACAATGTAGAGAGATGGACTCATTAGCAGGTTTTGATTCAACATTTACAATTACCAAAAGAAACGCAGAAAATGCAACAGTGAACTCGAAAAAACAAGAAGAAAACAACAATAAATATATTAGACTCCAAATGAAGAAGAACAAAATATGCTGCAGAAATCTGTGGAAGAAGCTTGCAGGGGCTGCCCAGGCCTTGGGGTCCCCCTCATACGCTCCGAGCTTCAGGGCCCCCCAAATGTGGGTCCGCCACTGACCTTGATAAGCTTGAAGAAGGTCTCGTAGATGAAGATGAGGGAGATGAGGAAGGCAAAGATTTCCTGGGTGAAGCGAGAGACATAGCGCACCAGGAAGCTGCCCTCAAACGCCACCATGACCAGCACAATCAGGATGAGCCAGAATCCGATCCAGACGCGACCCACCAGGTAGTCCAGACCCTGCGAGGTGCAGAACTGGGGTGGGGGGAAGGACAGGCAGTGAGGGGTGTCCTCCAGGGCTCCCCTCCCCACAGTCCTGGGTGGGGGCACCCGTCCACCTCTCTCTCTCTCTCTCTCTCTCTCTCTCTCTCTCTCCTCCTCTAGGGAGAACCAGCCATCAGGCTGCAAGGGCCCAGCCCCCCTTCTAGTGGGAGACTGATTCGGTGGGCAAAGAGGTTGGGAGGCCACCAGCCATGGATCCTGGAGCTGTGACCCCTTCATTGCAGGGGTGGGTTGGACTACAGGACCTCTAGGGGTCCCTCTTGCTAAGGAAATACCAAAACCCTACTTGAAGGGTTTTCTCTAACCTGGTTGCGCTTTCTTGCTCAAACCAGACCGACGCTGAGCCTGCAGGACCAGATCGGGACAAAGTCGGGAAACCTTTGCAGTAGGGAATCCAGAGTTTGGAGATTTCCAACCTGGTGGTTTTAGGATCCCGCCCCCCCCGCCCTGGGCCTTCGGAGGGGAGAGGAGGTCCTGCAGGATCGCAGCTCCGACGGGGAGTTTCCAGGGGGAGACGGGATGCTAGGGAATCGGGGGAGACCCCAACCCCCTGGGAAAACTCACCATGAAAAAGGCTTCCTCGAAAACGAGGAGGGGTCCTGAGAAGCCGATGACCAGGAGGGGCTGGGCGCCCAGCAGGCAGAAGAAGATGCCCTGGACCGAGGTGGAGATGATCAGCTCCGAGACCCCAATCAGCCCCTGCGTCTTCTCACCTGGGTTTTTTTGGGGGGAGAGCAAGGCTCAGAGGGGGCTGGCCTACCTCGCGGGGCTGGCGTCCCAGAGCACCCCAAACCCAGCCTCAGCCCTGCAATTCCTGGGAAGGGCAGCTCCCCAAAGGCCCAGGCAGTGCGGGGTCCGGCCAGGCCAGGCCGGGCGGCCTCTGCGCCTCAGTGTGGGGCGCTGGACCCCCACTCACCCAGCAGCCCCCCGAAGGTGATGGCCGGCGACAGGGCAGCAAAGTAGATGAAGATGATGGCAGCCACGCACTGGGCGTCCAGGGCGTCCCGGAAGTCGCTCAGGTATTTGGGGTAACGGCGGCAGACGTCCTGGACCAGACCCCCGAAAGGGCGCCCCGTTCGCCGGAGGGGGTCCGGCTCCTCCTCCTCCTCCACCTTCAGCAGCGCTGTGGGGCAGACAGGGGGCGGCAGTGAGGGCGTGTTTGAGACCGCCCAACACTGCAACGTATTTCCACAACTGTGTTGAACGAGTGGGTGTTCATGGCAGGGGGTTGGACTGGATGGCCTCTGGGGGCCCCTCCAACTCTGCGATGCTACAATTCTCTCATTCCCGTATATATCCCCGGGACATAAATATTTTAGATAATAATGGTAACATTATGGCAGATCAACTGGTTGCATTTTGGCTCACAGGGAAGCAAGAGCTTTCCAGGCTACTGTGGCTTTGAGGCTGGTTTTGAACATGTTGCAATATATTTTGATTATCGTTTTTATCTATTTTTGTATATTTATTTATTTGGGTTTTTCAAATTTTAAATTTAAAATTATAAATCAACATACAATATAGAAACAAGATTCCACAGAATCTCCTGGACTTCCCTCCTCTTTCTGGCTCCTATTATTAATCATTTCCTCCTGCATCTTTTATAATAACCCAAATCTTTAACATCTCCATTATGTCCAAAGTTCATCATTAAACTACAAGTGTTATTTCAATCCCATTAACAGGTTTTTTTATCTTATCTATCTCAACCTAACTTACCGTTTTTAACTATTTTGTTATTATTACTCCAAATTTTATCCTTTAAATGTTGCCAGCATCTTAGAAGCCCCGCTTGGGCAGGATATAAATATATTCAGTTCTAACAGTAACTAGATTCTAATAATCACTAGATAATAATCACTCTTCTACGCTGCTGGGGTAGCTCAGTCGGTACAGCGTGAGACTCTGAATTTTTGGGCAGTGGGTTCGAGTCCCGCTTTGGCTGCAAGATTCTTGCATCGCCGGGGGTTGGACGGGGTGACCCTCGGGGGTCCCTTTGCCCGAGAGCCAGCGCCTACCTTTCTCCTCGGGGGACTTGGGCTCCATGGCGGCCCCCAGGAGGAGGCGCCGCTCCTGCTCCTCCCTCCGCCGCAGCATCTCTCGCTGGAAGTGGGCCACGCTCCGAAGCAGCTCCTCGCCCTGCACCTCCGAGGGAGGAAGCACCACGCTGCAGTCCAGGAACTCGTTGATGGCGTGGAGCAGGTCCTGGCGGTCGTCGGCCAGGTAGGCGGCTTCGTGGAATTGCTGGGGGGAGACGGGCGGGTGAGGCCGGGGAGGGGGGTGCCCGCCGCGCGGGAGAGGAGGAGGAAAGGGTGGCGAGGGTGGGGGCCTACCTTGTCGGACATGAGGGTGGAGATGGAGCGCCCGATCTCGTGGTAGTCCATGTTGGCGCTGCTGGGCCCCAGCAGGACAAAGAGGAAGCGCACCGGGACGGGCACCTCCAGGACCGAGTCCATCAGCGCCGCCTCCTGCAGCCGCACAAAGGCCATGGTGGGCTGGTCCAGGAACTCCACGCTGCCTGCGGGGGAAGAGGGGGCAGCGGATGGGGGCCAAGGACCAGGAGCCTTGCCACAAGAAAGGAGGGCTTCCTGACAGTCAGCGCTCTGGGACAGTGGCAGCCCTGGCACCGTCTCCCTCGAGATGCTCTCCTGCCTGGCAGGTTTGGGAGCAGAGGTTGGACGGCCTCCTGCCAGGGGCGCTTGAGCCGAGATGCCCCCTTGCATGGGCAGGAACGGGCACTTCAACTCAGCGCTGCAGAAGGTCTTGTACCTGTCCTGAATCTTCCGTCCTTCCACCTCATGCAGAGATGTAGCCAGGAGCCAAATGGTTTCATAAACCAGGCTGACAGGCGCCAAAACGGAATGCCTAGTTGCCATTTGGGGGCCCAAATAGAGCTCCAAAGTCGTATTTTCCAATCTGACTTGTTGGTTCTGATTGTGCAGATAAAAGAGAATGGACAGGATTCTGCATCTCCAGATGGTGGAAACGTCAGGCACTATCCTGGCAACCGGGCATCTTCACTTGGCCACAAGCAGCAAATAGCCAGGCGCAAAGCGCCGTATTTTTCGCTCTATAAGACGCACCAGACCATAAGACGCTAGTTGGCTGTCCTGGCTTATTGTTTAGCCGCGCGCAGCCTCTCCTGGGCAAGGGGAGCCTCCATCCCCTGCCCGGGAGAGGCTGTGCATGGCTAAGGCTCCCCCAAGAGCCGCGCTCCCTTTAAAGAACGCACGGAGCGTGGGTGCGGCTCTTGGGGGCTTTTCCCCGGGGAGGGAGAAGAGCCGCACACATGCTCCACGCAGCTCTTTAAAGGGAGCGCTGAGCAGAGCCTCCCGCCTGCCTTCGCTCCATAAGATGCACACACATTTCCCCTCACTTTTTAGGAGGGGAAAAGTGCGTCTTATAGAACGAAAAATACGGTATGCCTGGTGAATTTTGGACGCCGCCCTCGGGGTCCTTTCTGTGATTCCTAGTTCTCCTGTGCTCTGAGGGGATCCCTTCCAACAATTCTGTGATATTCCCTATCCCTGATTAAGTTTGGCGCTTTTGTTTTTGCTATTTATTTTGCCTTTTTGTTTTTGAGGCTTTTTCAATTAATTTGTTTTTGTGACTGTGTGGAACCCAGTTCAGCTACTGATTGATTATGTGACTTCGGAAATGGATAAAAGCCTCCCCCATCCAAACAATGACTATCATCAGTGCAGGTAAGAATTTTTTTGGGGGTATTTTTCTATGTATAAGATGCCCCCTATTTTTGGGGATTCAAACTTAAGAAAATGCACTATGCACTATCTGTGTATAAGACGACCCCTTACTTTAAACTTCAAAAATTTAGGGAAAAATATAGTCTTATACACAGAAAAATGCGGTAATTTTAATTTTTATCATCTACAATGCAGTGGTACCTCTGGTTGTGAACGGGATCCATTCCGGAGCCCCTTCGCAACTTGAGCAGAACGCAACCTGTGTTTGCACAGGTCGCGATTCACAGCTTCTGCGCATGCGCGTGATGTCATTTTGAGCACATGCACGAGCGGCAAAACCCAGAAGTAACCCGTTCCGTTACTTCTGGGTCGCCACGGGACGCAACCTGAAAACGCTCAGCCTGAAGCAAACGCAACACGAGGTATGACTGTACTGTCTTATTTATTCTATAGCACAGTACATAGATTATTGCTTTCATTTTATGGACTAGTGGTCTCGTTGGATAGTAAAATTCATGTTAAATTGCTGTTTCCAGGGTTTGTTTTTAAAAGTCTGGAAAGGATTAATTCGTTTGGCATTACTTTCTATGGGAAAGTGTGCCTTGGTTTTGGAACGCCTTGGTTTTGGAACGGACTTCTGGAACGGATTAAGTTTGAGAACCAAGGTACCACTGTAAATAAATACTGGGGGGTCCCTTCCAGGCTACGATTCCATGATTCTCTGCCCCCCCGAGACTCTCCCCCTCTGCCCCTCCCTTACCCACAAGAACCACGGTGGCCTCTGCGTTGTCGGGGATCTTCTCCAGCAGCTTCAGCTCGTGCTTCGACTTGGACCTGGTGATGGGACCGGGGAGCGTGGGGGACGCCACTTCGCGCTGCAGAGACCCCCGGGTGGGGGGCGGGGAGAGAGAGAAGCAAGGTGGGGAGACTTAGCTGGCTGCTGCACATCCTTGGTGCCCAGCCCCCCCCGCCACCCCCCCCAGCAGGGATTCCTGCATTGCATTGCGGGGGGTCAGGCCGGATGGCCTTTGGGGGTCCCTTCCCCACTTCCTCTCACCTCCTTCTCGATGTCCACCCGGGTCTCGTGCTCCCCGGCATGGCCCCCGATGAGGGGGTCGGTCACGGTGGGCTCGGCCCCCTCGCCGACGTGGTTGGCGCTGTGGTGGTGGCCCAGCAGGGAGCCCAGGGAGCCGGCCGAGATGTTGCGCGGGAAGGAGAACTCCTTCTCATCCGAGGGGTGGCTGCGAGGAAGACCAGCGCGTCAGGGAAGGGGGCTCCATCTGGGGGGCGCTGGGGGGGCTTGCAAGGATGCCCCCCCTTGCTGCAGACACCCACCAAGCCAAGGGAATCCTCCCTGGGATTATAGTATGAACCTTATCTGCTACCCTTATTTCCTCCATTGCCCCCCCCCCCGTCTTTATCTTTGCAACAACAACATCGGAAGGCAGCCCTGTTTAGGGAAGCTTTTAATGTTTAATAGGTTATTGTATTTTAATATTCTGTTGGAAGCCGCCCAGAGTGGCTGGGGAAACCCAGCCAGATGGGCCAGGTATAAATAATAAATTATTATTATTATATAAAATTCATTTATATCCCACCCATCTGGCTCGGTTGCCCAAGTCACTTGGGGGGGCTTCCAAGACATAAAAACATAATAAAACTTCAAACATTAATAGTACCCATATGATCCAATATAAAAGCCACAATATAAGCAACTTCTATCAAACAAAGCAATATTCCAGAATCCATTAGAATAGTAAACAGTAAAATTAAACTTCAGCAAATAAATAATAATAATAATAATAATAATAATAATAATAATTAAACAACAACCCTGTGAGGTGGGTCAGGCTGAGGGAGACTGGCTTCCAGGGTCACCCACTGAGTTTCATGGCCGTGTGTCAGGATTTGAACCCAGGTCCCTGCCAGATCCTGGCCTGACACTCAAACCTTTGGTCCCTGGGTGCTGTTGGAGTACAACTCCCATCATTCCCAACCGACGGTTCTGCTAGAGAGGGACGATGGGAGTGCCACACCCAGGGACCCAAGGCAGAGAGAGAGGCTGCTCTACCCACTCTGCCATGCTGTCTATATGATGCAAGAGCTGGCAGGAGGAGGAGCCAGAAACTGCCCCCCACCCCCCGCTTGCCTCACCTGTGCTTGAGGAGCAGCGCCCGCAGCACGTTGGCGCGGTCCTCCGCTCGGATCTGGTCCGAAATGATCATCTGCTCCACGACTTGGTGTGCCACCCCTGGCAGGGTCTTCTGGTCCAGGTCGAGGAGGACGGCCCCTGGGGAGAGAGAGCGAGGGGGCACTAGCCGGGGGACAAGGGTCTGTCCCATAGACCCCCCCCCGAAAAGTTCTTCACTGAGCCCCATTTCCACCCAGCCCCTCCTGCTGCAGTGAGTTCCACAGCTCCCCAGGGGGCCTGGGGGATTCCGCATTGGACTTGCTGCCCCCACCCCAAAAGAACCAGACCTGGCATCCCCCGCTAGCTTAGCTAGTTGAAGGGGGGGCAGAAAATGCCAGGGTCGCAGGTTCGATGCCCATATGGGCCACCTGCATAGTCCCCCTGCCCTCTCATCGGAGGGCACTGGATTCTGGAGCTGCGATTCCGGCTAGATGGCCCTCGGGGTACCCTTCCAACTTGACGTTTCTACAAGTTACAAGGAAGGAGATTCTGGCTCAGCTCTGATGCCAGTGGAGGCCCTCTGCCATGGAGGCTTCAGCTGAGATTCCTGCATTGCTGGGGGTTGGTCTGGATGACCTTTGGGGTTCCCTCCCAACTCTAGAATTCTTTGATGGCTTGATTTGGAAGCCGTATTTTTGGCATTGAATCAAATTGTTGCACAGTATATTTTGGGTTTGCGTGTAACAATCCGGAAAGACAGGCTCCAAATTAAAAGTTGGAACAGGGGAATGGGAAGAGGAGCTGGAGGCAAAAGATTCCTGCCTTGCAGGGGTTGGGCTGGATGACCCTCAGGGGTCCCTTCTGACTCTACGATTGGATGCCCACCGGTCAGGGATTCTGGAGCTGCGATTCTCACATTGCAGGGGTCAGACTAGATGGCCCTTGGGTACCCCTTCCAACTTGACATTTCTACAAGGAAGGAGATTCCGGCTCAACTCTGGTGACAGTGGAGCAGCCTCTCCTTCCTGGGAGGCCTTTAAGCAGTGCTGGGATGGTCTGGATGACCCTCAGGGGTCCCTTCTGACTCTACAATTGGATGCCCCCCGGTCAGGGATTCTGGAGCTGTGATTCCGGCATCGCAGGGGGACTAGATGGCCCTCTGCCATGGAGGCTTCAGCTGAGATTCCTGCCTTACAGGGGGTTGGTCTGGATGACCTTGGGGGGCCCCTTCTGACTCTATGAATGAGCCTGCCCTCTCCCGGTGCCCCTCTGCCCTGCCCACCGTGAGCCAGGGTCCTGCGCAGCTCCAGGAGGCTCCGGAAGGAGAGCGAGGCCACGTGGGGCTTCCCCCAGCGATCCGTCTCCTCTTCCACATCCTCCTCAAACTTGATCCATCGCGCCGTCTCCTTCCACTGCATCTCCTGGTTCTTGTCGACAATCAGCTCGTTCAGCTCCACAAAGACCTGGGCCGGGCGGAGAGGGTCAGAGAGTGGGAAGAGTGGCTTGCCCAATTATTGGAGTATTACAATATGTCCCAAACATAGAGATCGGAAGGATCTCAAAAGAGAAGATAGACAAGGACTGGAAGGTGTTTAAAGGATATTTGCAAAATCACATTGAAAAACCAGAACTCCTATTGGAATAAACAAGTTCCGTTATAAATACCGAAACACCAAATAATATGGATAACAGAAAAAGAAGTAGAAAGTTGGTTTAATAGTGTGTGAAAGTAAGTAATAGAAATGGAAAGAAATTGCAATTGAGTAGAAGTCTAGCACAGGGATGGTGGTGGGAAAAGGAATTATGTGCGGGATTGAGTGTGGGTTTGTAAGAATATTTTTAAGGATTGTATGAAATGTATGTTTGTTTGTATTTCTGTAATATGTATGTATAAATGTATTAATGTTGAATTCTCTCAATAATCTATCTATCATCTATCTATCTATCTATCATCTATCTATCTATCTATCATCTATCTATCATCTATGTATTTCATAGAATAGAATCCTAGAATCCTAGAGTTGGAAGAGACCACCAGGGCCATCGAGTCCAACCCCCTGCCAAGCAGGAAACACCATCAGAGCACTCCTGACATATGGTTGTCAAGCCTCTGCTTAAAGACCTCCAAAGAAGGAGACTCCACCACACTCCTTGGCAGCAAATTCCACTGTCGAACAGCTCTTACTGTCAGGAAGTTCTTCCTAATGTTTAGGTGGAATCTTCTTTCTTGTAGTTTGGATCCATTGCTCCGTGTCCGCTTCTCTGGAGCAGCAGAAAACAACCTTTCTCCCTCCTCTATGTGACATCCTTTTATAAGGAAGAGCGCTGGTTGGATCAGGGCCAAGGAGACCCACAGAATCCAGGCTCCTGTCCTCGCAAGGGCTGATCGGACGCAGGATTCAAACACGAGAGCAGCCCTCTCCCCCGCCTGTGCTTTCCAGAAATGGGGTTCAGAAATACTTGCGGCCTCTGATTCTGACTAACAGCCCAGATCAGAACTTGGGGGGGGGGCAGGAGAATTTGGGGTGATGGCCAAGGAACTTCCTCTTTCTGCAAGGGGGTGTCGCTGAGCCCCCCAGGCTCAGAAACACCACAGGTCCCCCGCACCCCAAGGCCTGGATTTGTGGGGAGCAAGTGGCAGGTGGAGGAAGAAGACCCCCCAACCTAGGGGTCTCTGATAGCCCTACAACATCGGGGGCCAGCGTCCAGTTTGCCCCAGTGGTCCCTCAGCCCGCCGGCTGCACCCCCTCCTTCCCACAGCTTCTTGCCAGGGGGTGGCAAGGAAGGCCCCCACCAGCGGGTACAAAATCTGCTAAAAATATTTCCATAAATATTTTTGATGGAAGTCAAAAAAATTAAGATGTAAAAATATGTTTAATTACTGTTGAAAATGGTATGTTAAAAAACGAATAAAAAATTATATATATAAAAAATATTTCCACAAATATGTCTATAAAAATATCAATTATTGCCTCATAAGAAAAAGTCTTAAATAGAGGGTTTTTACATGATATGTGGGTTTTCCCTGTGCCACATTCCCTAGGGGGCGCAATCTGGACGGTCCTGCCAGGGGCGCGAGATCACCCAGCTACGGCTCTGCCTCTTGCCCCCCCGCAGGCCACAAATCGCCCCCCCCTTGCTCACCTCGTGGGGCTGCCGGTCCTGCTTCCTCTGCCGGGCGCTGGGCTCCTTGCGGTCCTTGCCAATGTGGACCACCTGGCCTTTGGCGCTCTTCCGAACCAGGTGTCGCCGCACCCCAGGAACGTCCTCGAACCTGTGGCCTGCGGGGTGGAAGGACAGAAGGCCCTGAGTGGGGGGTGCAGAGAAAGGCCCTGATCCGTCCTCCTCACGGCTCCCCTACATCCATTCCAGCCTCTTCAGGTGCCACCTGAGACAGGTGAAGCACCTCAGCCCCAGGCGCTGGCACGCCATTGGTCAGAAAGAGCCTGGGGTCCCTCCCTCCAAAGATAGGGGAGGAAGACCCCCAGGGATCCAGGCCAGGCTTGCGAGTAAACCAGAATGATGACAGCCACTAGGAGGAGCCCAGTTTTGGGGCTCAGAATATTCTGTGTTCTGCTTGGACCTCCTGCCCACTTTCCCTCTTCTGTGCAAAAAAGTTTCCCGATTTGACTGCCAGAGACCCCCTGGCAACACCGCAGGGCTGTTGTGTTGCAGCTGGGTCATTTGTCAGTTTGAAAAAATCCACTCCTGCCTTTCGGGGGGTTGGACTAGATGCCCCTTGGGGGTCCCTTCCCTTCTAGGATTCGAAGGGGCAGAATTAAAGGAAGGAACATCCAGCCAGCGGAAAAGCCCCCCTCCATGCCACGGATGGTGAAAGGTTAGCCCAAGCTTCCTCAACCTCAGCCCCCCAGATGTTTTTGGCCTACAATTCCCATGATCCCTAGCGAACAGGACCAGCGGTCAGGGATGATGGGAATTGTAGTACCAAAACATCTGGAGGGCTGAAGGTTGAGGGAGCCTGGGATATACTATATAGTTTTGTAGCCGTAATTCTGTTTAATGGTTACTTTGTTAGTGCTGTTACCCTCTGTTTTTAAAAATGTTTCTTAATGTACCAGTATTCTCTACCTCTCTTTCTGTTTTCTATTCTTTCCTTTTTCTTCTCCCTGGTTTACTTTTATTTACTATAATCACAAGGAGCTTTTTGCCTTTGGAGAGAGAGATATTCCCAGCAAAGGCAAGCCGCCCAGAATAAAAATTATTATTATTTTTATTATTATTATTATTATTATTATTATTATTAGTGCTTCCTGCGTCCCAGGAAGGCCACTCTCTGCAGCCCACAAAAGACTGGGATGCAACAAACGTGTCTGGCTCAGAAGTGCCTCTGACAGACTACGGTATTTCTCTCCCTAAGACGCACCTGACCATAAGATGCACCTAGTTTTTAGAGGAGGAAAACAAGAAAAAATATTCTGAACCAAACAGTGGGTGTATGATTTTTGTGGTTCATGCTGTGGCCACAAACATGTGTTCTGATGGTGAATTTGGGGTGACCCAATGCAAAAATCCTGAGGATCCATGGGCTTTTACCTCCCCTCTCCCAGGCAGCCTCCTTTATCTCTAGAGTCCCTTATCTCCCTCCCGATCGCTTGCTGACCAGCTGCTCAGCTGCTTCCTTTCAACACTCCCTTCCCTCTTGTTTGCCTTACTGTCTTTTCCTTAGCAGGTTTTTGCTCCTCCTTTTCTTCTAATTTCTCTCCTAATTGATTTAGTCTTCCTGTTTCCAATCAGTGGCTTTGTTTCAACACCCCCTTCCCTCTTTCAAAAAAAAAAGAAAAAAAAGAGCATAATCTGCTTTTTGCCCCTGGCAATTCTGCTCCAGGGACCACACATTTGCTCCATAAGACATTTCCCCTTACTTTTAAGGAGGAAAAAAGTGTGTCTTATGGAGCGACAAATACGGCAACTCACAAAGCCCTTTATACTCTGCTGCACGACCCCCCCCCCGCCAGGTAGGCCACTGCCAGAATACTAATACTGTACATACTGCCCTTTATCAAAAGATCCCATTAAGAACACATTTGATGGAGCATCAATAATAAATAATAAGCATAAAAAATAATCCTAATAGCAGCTTTAACAGGCCAAAAATGGTTTCATGGCTTTGCCTGAGAAAGAGTCTGGTGCCAGGCAGCCAGAGGGCATCCCAGCTGGCGGATTCGCACCCAGGACTCCTCCTCCCCTGTGCTCCCCCCGCCCTGCCCCCCGCCACTCACTCTTCATGAAGTCCAGGTCGGCGGAGGCCAGGGTCTGGGCCTCGGACTCATCTGTGGGCACCTTGGGGTAGCGGGTCTGTTCGATGCCCGTCATGCTGCCGATGCGCCGGCGCTCGTTGAGGTTGTAGCTGCGGTGCCCGGGCTGGGACTTGGAGAGCGCCCTCCCAGGGGAGCCCGCCTCGGCCATGCTGGGCGCCTCCGTGCCCACGGGTTCCTCGGCATCTGAGCTGTGAGAGAGGCAGACTCACAGGCGGGCACCGCGCTGGCATAAAGTGAGGGGAACCTCCTTTTCCTCAACAACTGGGCACCGGTTTCCCCACGAAATCGCCTTGCCCCAGACCTGCCCGCTTGGCCGCTTCAATCGGCACAACTGGCACTCTTACGGGTGCCGCACAACTGCCAATCTTGCAGGGTGGCAGCACCTATAACCTTTGGAACTCCCTGCCTAGGGATCTCAAGGTGCCTTCCCTGCTCTCTTTTCAGCGCCCGCTAAGAACCTTCTTGCTCAGACAGGCCTGGCCAGACGCTCAAAAACCGGCAGCGAGTTTTAATTCTGTTTCTAGTCGGTTTCAACTTTTAGGAAGCCTCCCGGTTGGTCATTCTTGTCTTTGGGAAACGGCTCTGAGGGTTTCTTAACGTGTGACTCCAAAGACTGACCACACTTGCAACTGATGAACCGACTCCCTTGGTTTGGACATATATATTGATACCTGAAACGAGTTTATACGGAATCGAGGGGGTTATTAGTGACCATATATAGATTAGGATGATTATATCACTTCTCTATAGAATAATCTATAGAAAGGAAAGGGACTTAATTATTGCACTGTGCGTTCTGCATGTTTTCTGTCTTCTCCTCTGTCTTTCTTTTTCCACACTCTTTTCTTTTCTCTCTCTCTTGATTTTTCTTTTATACATGAAAACCTTTCAATAAAGTATCGATTAAACAAAAAAGACGTTCAAGCAGCACATGATTTCATGCAACAAATAGCCTGATTTCAGATGCTGTGGGGAGAGACCCCTCCCCACTTCACGCAGGGAGAATCAACCAGCCCCTGAGCCAGAGCTGACCTTCTTTCAGGGACCCCCCAGGAGGGAGGAGGTGCCCCAAACCCTCTCCCACCCCCTGCACTCCCCCCCCAGCTGAAATCTGCTGCTCAGGGCAGACCCCCTCCTTCCTCTGGACCCCCTCCCTTCAGGCCCCCACCAGCCCCCGGCCCTCACTCACCTGCCTGCTTTGGCCCCCTTGGGAGCTGGGGAGCCCCCAGAGTCCGTTGAGGAGCTATGGGGCATCGTGGGGCTGGCTGCCCCCTCCGCCGGCCGGTCTACTCCATCGTCCTCTTGCAAGAAGAACTGAGGGGAGAGAAGCGGGGGGTCAGGGGCTGGGGCTGGGGGGCTCCCCTCCCCTCCTCGGCCTTCCGCGGCCAGGAAGGAGCAAGAGATGCTGGTGGTGGGATGGTCTCCCTCGAGAAAAGGTGGGCTCTCCTTGGAGGCTTGGATGGGGTCCCGCAGGGGATGGTGTCTTTGTATTTCAATCAATTGTTTTATATTTGGTGTTAGCCGCCCTGAGCCCAGTCTTGGCTGGGGAAGAAGAAGAAGAAGAAGAAGAAGAAGAAGAAGAGGAGGAGTTTGGATTTGATATCCCGCTTTATCACTCCCTTTAAGGAGTCTCAAAGCGGCTGACATTCTCCTTTCCCTTCCTCCCCCACAACAAGCACTCTGTGAGGTGAGTGGGGCTGAGAGACTTCAGAGAAGTGTGACTAGCCCAAGGTCACCCAGCAGCTGCATGTGGAGGAGCGGAGACGCGAACCCGGTTCCCCAGATTACGAGTCCACCGCTCTTAACCACTACACCACATTGGCTCTGGAGGGCGGGGTGTATATAAAATTTATTATTATTATTATTATTATTATTACAGTATTATTATTGAAGGGGTTGGGCTAGATGACCCTTGGGTCCCTTCCAACACGACAGTTCTATGAACTTACAAACCCCTTTGCCACTTCCACCACCATCCTGAGCTCCGGGGGGGATGGGGGGGGATGGCCTTGGTCATAGCTCAGAGGATCAATCCCCAGCCTGTCCTGGGATTGTAGAATTGCTGAGTCGGGAGAGAACCCCAAAGGTCATCCAGACCAACCCCCGGCAATGCAGGAATCTCAGCTGAAGCCTCCCTGGCAAAGGGCCGTCCCAGCTCTCCCAGGAAGTCTCCCAGCAAGGAGAGATCCTCCACTGGCATCAGAGTTGAGCCAGAATCTCCTTCCTTGTAGAAATGTCGAGTTGGAAGGTGTACCTGAGGGCCATCTAGTCTGACCCCCTGCGATGCCGGAATCACAGCTCCAGAATCCCTGACTGGTGGGCATCCAATCGTAGAGTCAGAAGGGACCCGAGGGTCATCCAGCCCAACCCCTGCAATTCTGGGATCGCAGACTGGTGGAAACAGCCTCCCTGCCTGAACTGCTGCCGGTCCGTGCCGTCCTTCTGAGCACGTCCTCCTGCCCCCCCGACCTACCTGCACCCCCTCTGGAGAGCCGTGCAGGAGCATCAGGTCCTCAGGGGCCTGCTCCGTCTCGGTGTCGCAGGTGTCCTCGTCAGCCTCCTCCTCCCCCTCCTCGGCCTCCTCCTCCTCCTCCTCCTCGATGGTGGGGGTCTCCCCGGGGACGGAGGGGCGCTGCGGCTGCGGCTGCTTCTCCTTCTTCTTCTTCTTGGCCTTCCTGGAGACGCCCTTCTTCCTCCGGGGGTCCGAGGGAAGGTGGCTGGACAGCGGGTGGTGGATGTGGTGGGACGACTGGCGGTGGTCTGCGGGGAGAAGCGGCAAGCGGCGTTGGGGGGGCAATTCTGGGGAGGAGGGGGCCTCCAGGAAGCCGGCCCAGAATCACAAATGCTTCTTAACACCAGTGAAGTTAGCAAAAATTTATCACAAATGCTGGAAATGTCAGGAAAAAGAAGGAACCTTTCACCACATGTGGTGGACGTGCCCCAAAGTAAAGGACTTCTGGGGAAGGATTTATAATGAACTGGAAAAAGTGTTGAAAAACACATTTATTAAGAAACCAGAAGCCTTTTTACTTGGTATAGTGGGGGGTGAAATGCCCAAAAAGGATGTTACTTTTTTTCTGTATTCCACAACAGCTGCGAGAATATTGCTAGCGAAGAATTGGAAGAAACAAGATTTACCAACTATCGAAGAATGGCAGATGAAGATGATGGACTATATGGAACTTGCCGAACTGACCGGGAGACTCCAGGACCAGAGAGAAGAGACAGTGGAAGAAGACTGGAAGAAGTTTGGAGAATAGTTGAAAAAATATGTTAATATTTAAACCTTAGAATAGCTATGGAAGTGGATATAGGCTGTAGGGTTAGAAGTAGAAGATAGTGTATTTTAAAATAGTATTATTTGTAAGGGATAAAATGTGAAGATTTTTATGGTAAAAGTAAGTGTGATTAAAAAAAATGGTTAAAAATTATGATATATGTAAACTGCTAAAGATGAGGTAGAATGAAAATCAGATAGGGGGGACTTGGGGAAGCCCACCTAACAATGTTTAGGAAAAAATAAGGATAAGACAAGAATTTGTTTGTATTGTTTTTCTGTTTCTGTTGTTTAGTTATGTTATAAAATGAATAAAAAAATTGGGGGGGGGAACAGAAGGTGGAAGAAGCAAGAAGGGGGTTATCTGTCCTGGATGTGGTCCTCACCAACAGGAAAGAACCGATTGCCCAAGTAGAAGAACTGGGAAATTGGGTTTATCATATGTGGTGGTCTTGTAATAAGGTCAAAGCTTACGGGGAAATGATATATAATGAATTGAAAAGGATGTTCAAAATAACTTTTATATAAAGAAACAAACCAGAAGCTTTTCTTTAGGAATGATAGGGACAGAACTACCTAAATTGTATAGAAATTTATTTATGTATGCAACTAAAGCGGCAAGAACACTGCTTGCACCCAAAATGGAAAGAAGCAGAAGTCTCAGCAAAGGAAGAATGGATGCAAAAACTTAGGGAATATACCGAAATGGTGAAACTTACCGGAAGAATAAGAAATCAAGATAATTTTTTTAAATAAAAGAATGGAAATGGTTTATTGAATATTGACAGATAAATTGTAAACAGATAAAACATTAGCAGGATTAGTGTAATAACCTGCAGTTTTATAAGAGCATATATTTACAGCAGATAATTAAATGAGCATGTTAAATGAACTTGGATTTGCAGAAGATATTAAGAAATAAATTTAAGGAGCCGCAGCGAAAGAGGGAAGGAAGTCAAATTTTGGAACGTCAAATTGATTGTAAAACTAATGAAATGTATAAATTTTAAAAGTCTAAAGAAAAAACTAAAAAAGAAAGCGAGAAAGAAAGAAAGAAAGGAAGGAAAAGAAAGAAACCGAGGAAGAAGTACAAAGAGAAAGCTGCCAAGCCCCGTTGCCTGGTGCTGATAATGTGAAGGTTGCAGGTTTGACCCCCATGTGGGGCAGCTGCAGATTCCTGCCTTGCAAGGGGTCAGACTAGATGACCCATGAGGTCCCTGCCAACCCCACAATTCAAGGATTCTAATAAAAGGAAGCGAATCCAGGCACAGCCTTGGTCATGAGAGGGTCTTCAAGACCCCCCCCCCCAGCTGCCATCCTTGGACTAGATGGCCCCAGGAGGGCCCTTCTGAGACTAGGCGGTCTTCCCTTGGCCACCATGATTCCCGGGACAAGCAGGGCAGGCCTAGGAGGCCGGGCAAAGGGGACCCCCCCCCCCCCGGACCCAGAGATAGACTTCCTCAGGACACTGGTGCTCCACTCAGCCACCACTCACAGACCCACCTGAATGTGCCGGACACCTGCTTGGCATCTAGAAGGCGCCAGCCTCACTTTCCAGCCGGGGCTGGAGCCCTGGTGCCTTTATGGTCCGGTTTTTAAATGTACATAGTATAGCTTTAATTCTGTCAATCTGTTAATGATTGATTACCCCCCAGCAATGTTTTTAGCTGTCCTTATTTTTATTTTTAAGCTGCCTTGAATCCCTGCCAGGGGAAGAGGCAGGGTATAAGATTAATAATAATAATAATAATAATAATAATAATAATAATAATAAATAATAGATCTGCATTCTCCCCCCCACCCCATTTCCTCCCCCCCACCCACTCTGCCCATTCCTGCCTCTTCAGCCACATCTTCCAAGGGCAAGAGAAGCCCCCCCCAAGCTCTGGAGCCCCCCAGGAGACCCCGCCCGCCCCTTGGCCTTGGTCCCTCCTTGCTTCCCCCCCAAAACTCACACTCAAAGTCCTCCTCGCTGTAGCTCCGCCCAGCCTCCTCCACGTTGCGCGGGTGCGAATCCTGCAGGATCTCCTCAAAGCGCTCCACCCGTAGGGCTTTGCTCAGGTCCTTCTCTTCCTCCTCCTCGGCCGCCTTCTGCCCCCCAAAGGTGGGCGACGTGGGGCTGTGCCCATCCTGCTCCGGCTGCGGAAGAAGCCCAGAGGCTGAGAGGGGAAGGAGAGAGACCCCCCTGCGCCCTACGCCCCTCTCCCACCTGCAGAAGCTCCACCTGCTGAGCCCGACTGCTCTTCTCCAGGGTCAGCGGCTCTGCCTTGGGTGGGGTCAGACTAGATGACCATTGAGGTCCCTCTATGAGGCAGGAGAGGAGCTTTGCAGGAGAAACCTCTGGGACTCTGTGCTTCTCTCTCCTCCATTGCAGGTTTCTGGAAGTCGGCTAGCTGCCTGCCTGCCTGCCAGGGGCTCTTCAGTTGCCATTCCTCCCTGGCAGGGGGTGGTTTGGATGCCCACTGGGGGTCCCTCCCTTTTCTACAATGCCAGGAGCTTCCTCCTCCTCCCTTGCAGGCTCCCCAAACCCTGCAGGATTAACTGGAGGTGCGACTACTGCATGTGAAAACAGGAAGTTTAAAAGGGGGGGGCCCAACTCAGCAACTCCCCCCCCCCAAAAGAGACGCTCTGTTTGCCAGGATGGGACTCCAGAGCAGCGCCAGCCTGTGCCAGGGAAGAGGCTGCCGGAGGGAGGGACATGTGGCACGGAGGGAGGGGGGCAGGCAGGCAGGCGGAGAAGCCCCCCTCCCTCCCCCCAAGTTCCTGCCCATCCCGTGAGGGGCCCTGGAGGGGGGGTCCCCCTCTCCCTACCTGCGCCATGCCAAGCTGTGCCCCCCGCCCCCGCGGCTGCCCCTCCGCTCTCCCTCCTGCCCGTCTCTCTGCGCCTCCTTCTCCGCCGGCCTGGCGCTTTATGATGCTGAGCTCCTCCCGGGCCGGGAAGGTCACTTCGCCCGCAGAGTGGAGGCGGCAGGCGGATCCGTCCCCTCGTGCCACTCCAAATATTGACGGGGAGAGGCCCCCCCTTGCGCCGGCAGACACCCGAGCAGATTAGCCGGCAGGAGGGGGGGAGGAGGAGAAGGAGGAGGTCCCCCCCCCCCAGGACTCAAGGTGACAGCGGCAGGGAGGCTCCCGAGGAGAGGGGGGGCATTGCTTCCTGGCCCCCCAAAGTGCTGCACAGGGAGGGGCTGGCTGCCCCCCCCGGAGCCCCCGAGGCTGGGCGGGTAAGAGGATCTCCTCCGCGGGAGAGTTTTTGCATTTCTATCGGCCAGGGATGCTCCGGGTGCGAATCCTGCATTGCAGGGGTTGGACTGGATGACCCTCGGGGTCCCTCTAAGTCCCCATTTCTCAAGAGGGGGTGCACAGAAAGGCCCCTAACTTGCCCAAGGGGGAGGGCAGGAATATCCTGGGACAGGCCCCCCCAGCCCATCCCTGCCACTCATAGGGGCCCCTGGCAACCCCCCCAAGAAGCCCAGCAGGGCTTAGGGTCCCCCTCTGGAGGGCCCCAAAGAGGAGCAACCCCCCCCCCATGCCACCATGTAAGTCCTGGAACATGTGGCAATAATGGCGCGTGCCTCTGAGCATGTACAGAGTGCTTTCCGTCTCCACAGCACAGGCAAGAGCCCACGCCCCCATGGAGCCAAGGGCAAGAGGTACCCTGGGCTGGGTGGCCCTAGAGATTGGGCCATGACCCCCCGCTGACGCTCCCAGCGGCCTCCCTCGCAAGGGTGGCGCCAGGGGAGATTCCAGAGAGATTCACTTTGGGGTCCCATCTAAACCCGTTTTGTTTAATTTGCATCTGAAAAGCCATCTGGTCGTAAAACATCTCCGGGTGGTTTACGAGAAACGTTAAAGTTGTCCGTAAAGAGTTTAAAAGGGCTGTAAAGCACTAAAACTAACAGTGGAAACGAATGAAATGAACTCTGAGCGAAAGGGCTGCCAAGCGGGCACCAATCAGAGAAGGCACCTGGCTGGCGTCAAGTGGCAGGGAGTTCCACAGAGAACGTGCTGCTGAATTAGTCCTCCCAGCTTCTCCCTTTCCCCCCACCTCCCTCTCCAAGTCACCCAGGAGGGGGTCTCTCCTCTTCCTGCCCCCCACCCAGCAAGCAGTGCTTGGCCCCCAAGACAGGGGAACTCCCGGCCTCTGGTGAAAGTCTGCCCCCACCACACGCCCTCACTTGAGGGGGGGGGGAACCTCCCAGCCCCCTTCTCCTTTGCTGAAATGCCCCCCAGGCAGGAATTGCACCATGGGAGATGAGAGCTGGTGTTCCCACCCTGTGGGCGTCAGGAGACCCCCCTGCCGCCCCCTCCCCTCCATTCCCCCCCCCCGGCACCCAGGCCTCCCCAGGCGACCAGGTGGCATCCTTCAGCCTGGCAGCGACTGGGGGGTTGGCCTTACCTGTGGGCAGAGCAAGAAGTCCATGGCAGCCCAGGGTGTGTGTGTGTGTGTGTGTGTGTGTGTGTGTGTGTGTTTGGGGGGAGGAAGGGGGGGTCCCAGCAGCGCCCAGCCCTGCCGCCTCCTCCCAGACGCTCCTTCCTGGGTCACGGGACTCGCCCAGTTGGGGGGGGGGACCGGGGAGCAGGCAGCCATGCAAAGGGTTAATCATTAACCCCACAGGAGTTCAGAGCAGGCGGTTCCCAGTGGGGCAGGAGGTGGGCTGGCGGCTGGGTCCCCCCAGGGCCATAGGAGCCAGCTCCTGGGATCGCGGCCCCTTTGGCCCCCCCCATAAAATATTCGAGGGGACCGGGACCCCCAAAGTCGACAGGCATTGCCATTTCAAGGGGGTGTTGACGATGCCCCACCTGCTGCCCTCCATCCTGCCCCTGCCAGGAAGTGGGGCTGATGTGAGGGGAGGGGGCCAAACCAGGCAGGCAGCAGCGGGTGGGTGGGAGGGAGGGAGGAGAAAGCTCCCCCCCCCGCTGCAATCCCCCCACCCAATTAAAGGGCTGGAGCACTTTGCACATGCTCTGGAGCTACATCCTGGGAACTCAGTTCTGGGGGTGCTGCAAAAGGTCAGCCGCAGGAAGGGGGTCAGCAAGTTCTCCCCCCCCCCCAGCCTGCTCTGGACCTCTGCACCAGCCCCACCTTGACCAAGGGGGCGAGGACACATATCCCAGCATACACTGCTCTCCCCATCTCCCAGGAGGCCTGTGGGTCGGCCTGGGATTCCTGACCGTTCCTGCAAGGTCCCAGCAGGCAGCAGTTCCACAGGGCTTCCTGATAAGGCTTTTGGGGGCTTGAAGGGGGGGCAGGGGGCGGCTGGCGCACTGCAAAGCAGGGGCTGCCCCACGGCTCCTTCCCTTCCCTGGCAGGCCTCATCCTGCGCGTCTGAGGGTTACACGGCAGGCAGAAATTCAACTGGCAGAGCTCTTCCCGTGCCCTCCATGCTGCTGCGATTTTGCCCGTTAGAGCCCAGCTTCACCCCGGGCTCTGTTCTGAGCTCTGCCCCACACAGGACTGGAGGGGCTGAGCCAGGTGCCCCGTGGGCTGGGGAAAGAGGTGGGCAGCACATGGCGCAGTGCCCGCTTGCGCCCGCTCTCCTGGCACCGCTTCCCAATGGAGCAAACCGGGCTCACCTTTCCGGAGCATCTCAGGCGTCGGAAGCCCCCTGCCCGGCCCCTGTGAGGTCCAGAGAGGCTCACCTGAGGGCCGGCCTCTGCTACTCACCCCCTCAACGGCCCCGGAGACCATGCGGTGGAGGTCAGAGGAGACCTGCGGGCGACTCATGGCGGGCTGCGGGCAAAGGCCCCTCTAGCCTTTCTCTTTCTCCCTGGCACTCAGAGGGCAGAGTGAGGGCACCATAACCTGCAGAGAGAGAGAAAAGGCCAATTATCACGGAATCAGGGACCCCCCAAGGTCCTCTAGCCCAACCCCCGGCAAGGCGGGAATCTTTTGCCCAAGGTGGGGATGAATCCCCGACTCCGACCCAGATGAGGGGCCTTCTGCCCGCCTGGCTGCCCACAGGGCAAATGGCACCTCTGGGGGCTTGGAAGATGCCCCCCCGGCAAGAACCATCCACAGAATGGGGAGGGAGGGACTTTGGGCAAGGCAGATGCCCCCTTTCCCCTCCAGAGGGGGTCCCTGATCGGCGCCCCTGCCAGGCGGGCTCTGGCAGCGCCAGCGGGGCAGGAAAGAGCTCTTTCCGGTGCCCAGCGGGCAAAGTCGGGATCCCATGTCTCATGAAATAAAGAACGAGGAAATCGGAGGAGGAATTGGGCAGCGGGAGGGAGGGAGGTGGGGGGGGAGAGGATTGGAATCAGAGCTTGGCTGGCCCCCTGCCAGGGATGCTGCGGGTGCGATTCCTGCATTGCAGGGGAGGGGTGGGGCTGGATGACCCCCGGGGGTCCCTGCCGAGGAGGAGGCACCTGAGCAGGGAGGCCAGGGGGAGAGGCGGGGGCACCCCTGGAAGAGGACCAGGGAGGAGGCACTGGGGGCTTTGGGGGCGAGAGGAAAGTGTGGGGCCCCCCCTCGCTCTCAGCACTGGAATTCGTGGACAAAACTGAATGTCGGAAGATTCCCAAGGGATCAAAGGCAGGACTTATTCTTGTAGGGAGGCTGGATTTTCCGGGAAATGACCAGGGTTCGGGCAGCAGAATGGCGTCCGGGCAGTTTTTTTGCCAAATCAGTAAAATGTCCAGGAACACCCAGACATATGGCAAGGGTGGTAAATCTCAACAAAGCCCCCAACCTTAATATTTTTGGGGAGATGTTACTGGTGGGAAAAAACAGCTCTGGACAAGTTTGTCCAGATTTTCACTTTTGGGGATCTAGGAACCCTATTGCAGGGCAGAGCTAGACTGTGGAACTCCCTGCCACAAGAGGCAGGCCTGGACACCATGAACAGAGGACTGAGCAAATCCGTGGAGGAGGAGAGGGCGATGGCTGGGCTCCTCCCTCCCCAGCCAGAGGCAGCAAGGCTCTGCTGGAAACCAAGGGAGGAGTTCGAATCCTGCTTGTGGGTTTCCCCTGGGGGCACCTGCTTCCTCCCTTTGCCTTCCTCCAGCAGCCAGGCTCTGTGGACGTCCTTACAGAACCTTCAGGCCCAGAGGCAGTCTATCTGGACTCTGAGGTGCAATGGGGCATTCGGACGCTGCCCCCGATGGGCCACCTTTGGCCTGATCCTGCAGCTTTCTCCTTATGCTCTGCTTCCTGGGTTCAGCCAGGGAATCCCTGTTCGCCAAGGGCATGTTAGGAGCCCAGGTGGAAAGAGACCCCTGGGAATTTCCCGTCCCCCCACAAACACCCCCCCTCCTGCTCAGGACCCCCTCCTTCTGCAGCCCCCGTCTCAGGGTGGGGGTGTCTCCCACCATCGCTTCCCAAGCTGCACATCTACGAAGAGTTCCACCTTCAACCTCGCTGCCTGTTGGTCTGGATGACCCCTAGAGGCCCCTTCCTGCAAAGGCCGGCAGCCTCTTCCTCTGGGAAAGCCTTCTTCCTCCTCGCAGCTGCTGCAGTGTCCTGACCCCGGGAAGATTCCTGCATCCCAACGAGGAGGAGGAGGAGGAGGAGGAGTGCGGTCTTCCCGCTGGGCCGGGCGGGTGAGGCAGAGGCCACGCTTGTCTTGGCCTGGGACTCCCCCGCGGCAGCGGGTGCCAAGAGCAACGCCAGGCACAGAGGGGGAGGGGGTCCCCCCAGGCAGCCGGTGCGGCTGGTCTGATCCGGCCCAGGCTCAGCTCCCCCCGCCGCCTGCTTTCTTGACATGAATCGCACTCGTGACTCAAGAGAGCTCTGGGGTTGCCCAGCCTGAGTCCCTGTGCCCCAGAGCAGGGAGGGTGGCAGGGGGTCTCGGGGCATCTGGGGGGAGTGGGGGGAGGGCACTGGGAGCCTTCAAAGGGGAACGTGGCGTTGGGGGGACCCCAGGCGGTCATCTAGCCCAGCCCCCCACAATGCAGGAGTCGCCCCTGACGGAGGAGAGTCATCGCATGAAAGAATTGAAGGCTTGGGACCCCAAGAGGTCATCCAGACCAACCCCATCCCCTGAAATGCAGCAATCACAGCAAAAGTGTGACAAAAGTGTAACAGAGCGCCATCCCACCTCTGCTTCAAAACCTCCAGGAAAGGTGGGCAAAGCGGCCTCTGTGAACGTGCAGAGGGCCTTTCGCTCAGGCTGCTGGGTGCAGCGTCCTTTCTGGAAGCCAGAGAGTTTTTGCCTCCACCCCCGAGGGCCTGTCCAGACCCCCCACCTCTGACGATTGAGCCCCCCCTTTGCCCCCCACCATCGTGGGGCTGGGCTCCCCCCCTTTGCTCACCTCCGTCGCTCCCCCAGCGACCAGCTGCCCCTGCCTCCAGCTGCCCAGTGAGGGACAGCAGCTTCCGCCGCCTCTTATGGCTCCCCCTGCGCCTCGTGACGCCAGCTGAGCGGTGACTGTCCCTCACAAGGGACGCTCACTCAGCCTGCTGTCACCCACAGGGCCGAACTCTGGCTCGCCCTGCAGGGAGGGGGACACACACACATTCCAGGCAGGACCCACAGGGGCACCAGGTTCTCACAGCACCCCACAAACCATCCAGCCCCCCATGCCAGGTCTGGCAATTCCTGCCTCACTGGGGTTGGGCTGGATGACCCTCGGGGTCCCTTCCGAGTCTACAAGGCTATGCTCCTGGTTCCAGATCCCACCTCCCAGCTGGCAGGCCCCACGGCATTGTGGGCTTCTCTGCCTGCCTCCTTTGTGAGGCTCCCTGGCTGGTGGGGCAGGAATGGCACTCAAGGCCCAGGCAGCCCCCTCCCCAAATAAGGTAAAGGGACCCTGACCATTAGGTTCAGTCGTGGCCAACTCTGGGGTTGCGGCGCTCATCTCGCTTTATTGGCCGAGGGAGCCGGCGTACAGCCTCCGGGTCATGTGGCCAGCAGGACTAAGCCGCTCCTGGCGAACCACAGCAGCTCACGGAAACGCCATTTACCTTCCCGCCGGAGTGGTACCTATTTATCTACTTGCAGTTTTGACGTGCTTTCGAACTGCTAGGTTGGCAGGAGCAGGGACTGCACAACGGGAGCTCACCCCGTCGGGGGGATTTGAACCGCCGACCTTCTGATCCACAAGCCCTAGGCTCAGTGATTTAACCCACAGGCCTTAATCTCTGCTTCTCAGAGAACAGAGCAGAGCAAGCGGCGGCAGGCGACTCGAGCAAGCGAGCCCTTTCAGATTCCAAGGATGCCCAAGCAGCCCCCCAAGCCCCCTCCAATGCAGGGGTGCGAAAAAGAGCCCCCCTCCCCACTCTCTCAGCCACGACACCTTTTTGCTGAGACAGCATCCCTTGCTTGGCAGTGGGCTGGACTAGAGGGCCTTTGGGGGTCCCCTCCAACTCTCGGATGCTATGGCTCTGCCTGGATCCTGCCAGCCTGAGGGGCCCATGACTCCTGTCCCAAGGCTTTCACAGCCTGCCCCCAACCCCAGCCCCCCTTGCACAAGATAGGCAGGTTGGGGGGCAGAAGAGGAAGAGGGTTCCACAGCACCCTCTGCTGGAGGAGCGCAGGAATGCCGGCCCCAAACCAAGCACAGAGGAGCCCCTTTTTCTCTTGATGGGGGCAGGGGGGACCCTGCAACCGCCCCCCCCCAGAGTAGGGCTGGACTCCAACTCCCATCAGCCCCCAGGGCCAAAGGAAGAAGCCCCTCCAGACATGATGATTGGCAGCTGGAGGACCATGAGCAGAATCTAGATTTAATCTTTCCGGGCAGGGAACTGCATCCGTGTTCATTTGCTAGGGATGGAGAAGTGGGGCAGGCGTGGGGGGGGGAGAGGAAGCTCCCCCCAGGCCAGGCCAGAGGTCAGAGCCAGGACCCCTTGACCCCGGTTCAAGTGCAGAGGCCGAAAGCCCCACATGGAGACCCCAGGGATGGAGAGGGGGCTTTCTTTGGAAGAGGGTCAGCCTGCCCCATCTCTGGGGCAGGGGCTCAAAAGACTAGTGCTCCCCCCACAGAATAACCCCCCCCAGCACATGCACCCGCCCCTCCGAATAAGCAGATTCCTTTCCTTAATCCGGCCGCCCATGTGTGGAGCAGGAGGGGAGGATTAAGGGCTGGTAAACAAATTTCAGATTGTTCTGGGGAAAGCCGAGCTGAGAAGAGGGGGCCAGACTGGTTCTCACGGGTGGGAGAGTCCGGCGGCCGCACACTCCTTCCCCAGCCCAGCAGGAAGGATCGGAGTCACGGGATTGCAGAGTGGGACCCCTGAGGGTCATCCAGCCCACCCCCTGCAACGTAGGGATCTCGGCTCAAGCATCCGGGACAGAAGGCCAGCCAAGCTCTGCTGAAAAACCTCCACAGACTCCCAAGGAAATCGCTTCCCCTGCGGAACAGCTCTTCTTCCCGTCAGAAAGATCTCCCTGGCATCCGGCTGGAATTTCCTTTCCTGCAACTTGAATCCATCGCTTTGGAGTCCTGATGCAGAATGTGACCCTCCTTCCTTGCTCTCTGCCTGCATTCATCAGGGCTAAGCCTCTGGGACGTGCCCCTGAGGGCTGAGGTTGCCCCACAGCGGATAACACAGTCCCTCTGGGCACGTGCAAAGTCCCTTTCCCACACCCGTTGGGGGTGTTGGAAGAGGACCGACCTGCCTCCCCAAGAGGGAATGTTTACTCCAAGGGTGCTGCTTGCAGGAGGTGGGGAGGGGGACAGGGGAGGAACATTGCCACAAAGATGGCCGTCTGCCAGAGGGCTGGACTAGATGTCCTTCAGGGTCCCTTCCAACTCTACAGTTCTAGGTTTCTGCACCTGGGGAAAGCTCTGTCCTCAGACAGTCGATCTCCCAGCATGCAGGGGGGTGCAGCCGTTGCAGACCCCCCACTGCCTCCCTTTAATCTAAGCACTAATGCACACGGGGGGGGGGGGGGGGAGGAAGGGCACTCTGCACATGCTCCAAACCGCTCTGCCCCCATTGCAACCCAGTCCTGCTCCTGCAGCCCCCCCATTGGGCCTGGCACCTCTCTGGCCCCCTCCAGGACCCCCGCCCATGCCTACCCTCCCTGCCTACCTTGGGGTGCCAAGGTGGTGGAGGCCAGCAGCCTCTGAGCGGCACCTGCGAGGCTTCTCTCTCCCGGCTCCTCTCTGCCACGCTGCCAATCTCCTGCCTTGGCACCTAGGCGCTCGCCTCCTCCTGAGCCACTCCCCCCTGCGCCACCCAAATACTTCACGGGGCTTTAAGCGCCGGACAAAAGGCCCTTGTGGCAGAGGGAGACGCCGGGCAGATCAGATCCCGGCCAGGCTGGGCCAAAGACCCCACAGCGGCCGACACCCCCCCCCCGCACCGCTCAGCGTTTAATTACAGACTGGCGCACCTCCTGAAGTCACATTCCAGGGGCGAGCCCCAACTGGCCCGCCTGATCCCACTAAGGCGATTATGGGGGGGGCGGGGGGGCTGTCAAAGTCGCGGCAGAGAGGCAGCCTTTCGCCCTGGTTCTCCGGAGGACAGACTGTGCCCCAGTCTCCTGACCCCAAGAGAGGGGGCTGCAGCCAGCAGGCAGAATTACAGGACTGCAGCATTGAAAGGGACCCCAAAGGGTCATCCAGACCAACCCGCTGCAATGCAGGAACCGCAACTGGAGCATCCGCACAACCTCTGCTTGGAAACCTCCAGGGAAGGAAAGTCTCCCTGTCTTGAGAGATCTTCCTAAGGCTGAGCTGGCATCTCAAACTCTTGAACCTTTATTGGCATTTATGCCAGATTGCAGTAGGGTTTTCCACAATAAAAACCTAAATCTCATGCTTAAGTTAATGTATAACGTTATAGGATACACTTCGTTTCGTGTGGCAGAAACGTGGCCACTATCTGAATCTTATAGGTCAGGAAGGGGACCTTGTCTTTGTCCAGATGTCGCTCCCCACTAACAACCAACTGATGAACCAACTTCGATCGAATGGTCTCACACCAGGGACAGCGCAAAAGAACACGCATGACCCAGTCTAGCTGTGTCATAGAATCGCAGTCGGGTTGGAAGGGACCCCAGGGGTCATCCAGTCCAGCCCCCTCCAATGCAGGAATCTCAGCTCAAGCATCCCTGAGAGACGGTCATCCAGCCTCTGCTGAAAAGCCTCCAGGAAAGGCGAGTCCACTCTGTGAGTGGCGTTTTCTGGACTCTCCCCTGCAGGCCTGGCAAAGGGGTCCCACTCAGTCTTGCTAGCATGGACGCCCTGTGGTCATTCAGGGTGGTCCAAGGGGAGATTCCCCAAATTGGTTCCAAAGTTCTTGGAAATGGTCGTCTAGCCACCTGTGTCTAGTTCTCTCAAATGCAGGATTTCCCGATCAGTAGTGCAGTCAGGATCTCCTTTCTTGCCTTTTAATTTGTTATTATTGAATTTATATGATGCCTTCCAACACATCTCACAGATCTCAATCCGGCAGCTTGCGTCCTGCTTCCTAGAGCCGCAGAAAACCAGCTTGCTCCACCTTCCCTTGAGATATGGGAAGGTGGCTCTCCTGTCTCCCCTCAGTCTCCTCTTTTCCAAGCTAAACATGCCCAGCTCCTTCAACTGTTCCTCATCAGGCTTGGTTTCCAGACCCTTGGTCATCTTGGTCTCCCTCCTCTGCCCACCTTCCAGCTGGTCAGCATCCTTCTTATCATGTGGCTCCCAGAACTGGACCCAGGACTCCCAGGTCAGGTCTGCCCAAGGAAGAACCGAATGCTCTGGAGGGCAGGATCCGAACTCAGGGCTTCAAGTTGCAAGAAAGGAGATTCTGACTAAATTGTGGGAAGAACTTTCTGAGGGCAAGAGCCGTTTGGCAGTGGAGCTGCCTCCCTGGGAGGTGGAGGTTTCTAAGCAGAGGTTGGAGGGCCACCTGCAGGGGCCTAATCAGGGGGTTGGACTACAGGACCTTTGGGGACCCCTTCCCACTCTGCAATTCTAGCACTCCATGGCTTTTGCCGGGGAGCCTGCAGTCGGGAGGGAAAGAGGCACAGGCGCAAAGAGAAAGCGCAAAACCTTCCAAGGAGGACGAAGGTCACTCTGCAAAGGGATCACGTTCAGCCACATCCTTCCTGCTCCTTCTATTGGCACCTCCGCCCTGGGGGGGGGGGGCAGGGACTTCTTCTCAGACAGGATTGCCTCTCCCCTCCTGCAATTCCTTTCACATTTGCTCCCCAAATCGCTTCAGGCCCCCCCATGCACTGAAACGGGCTCAGCGGATCCCTGCTTGTTTGACCGTAAGGGGTCAAGTGGGGCTGCTCATTAAAGGGGGTTTAAAACTGGGGGGGGGGGGGGGATGAAGGAGGACAGTGAATCTTGGGGGCTTGGAAGGGGTCTGACCGCAGCAGAGAGAGATGGAGAAGGCTTTGGGTTTTGATGGAGTTGCCTGATTCACTCCTGGGCCACGAGAGCAAAGAATCCTACACTTTATAGGGACCCCAGAGGGTCATCCAGCCCAACCCCCTGCAATGCGGGACCCACAGCCAAGGCTTCCATGACAGGTGGCTTAAAACCCTCCTCCCCACACTGGCCTCTCTGCCTGGGCCCCAAGAGGAAAAGGGCTGGCCAGAGATACCCTCTCTCAACTGGGCGCCCTGAACCAAACAGGGCACCTCTACCCTCAGGGCGTGGTTGGCACAAGGCTGGGCCTGAAAGCTCCGCCCCTGAGGGGACGGGCCAAGGGCCGCAACCCCAATGAGGACTAGAAAGTTGCTTCTCGTGAGCAACGTGAAAGTCGGATTCCCAGACCCAGTTTTATACTATGCAGCCTAGGACCCACATACCTATGGGACCGCCTCTCCTGGTCTGCCCCACGGAGGACCTTAAGGTCCACAAATGACAACACTTTGGAGGTCCCAGGACGCAAGATGGTTAGATTGGTCTCAACTAGGGCCAGGGCCTTTTCAGCACTGGCCCCGACTTGGTGGAACGCTCTGTCACAAGAGACTAGGGCCCTGCGGGACTGGACATCTTTCCACAGGGCCTGCAAGACGGAGCTGTTCTGCCAGGCCTTTGGCTTGGACTCGGTCTGACCCTCATGTTTCCCTCCCCTTACGGTCCTGATTTATCAGCTATTTTAAAATGAGGCTGCATTTTAAATTGCATATTAACCTGTATTTTAAATTGCTTTGTTTTTTTTTTCCTATTATGTTTTCATTGTAATTTTATTGGTGCTAGCCGCCCTGAGCCGGGCTTTGGCCGGAGAGGGCGGGGTATAAATAAAAACATGGGAGAGACCTGGATTCGAATCCTCACTTGGCCATGAAGCTCAGTGGGTGGGACTGGGAGCAGTCCCTGCTCTTTCAGCCTAGCCTTCCTCACAGGGGTATTGGGAGGATAAAACAGTGGGGGGGGGAGGAGAAGACCCACGCATGCCCCCTTGAGCTCCTTGGAGAACAAAGATGGGCTTGGCAGCAGTGGCCTCAGTTCTCCAGCTGTGCAATGGGCAGAGCTGAGCTCACAAGGTGGCACAGTTGCCCGGCTCTGTCGCTCAGCCCACAAGGCCACCCCGAAAGTGACTGACTGCTGGGGGGAGCCTTCCAGAATCTGCCACTCCCCCCATCTGCCAGCCTGCCCCCCCCCCCGTTAAAAGAGCACCCGCTGGGCCCCTGCAAAGCCCCAGAGAGAGGCCTGGACGGGCAGAGCCAGCGCCAGGCGCCTGCCACCCGCCCAGACCCAGTTAAAAATAGCCGCCTGCCGCCTCCACAGAGCAAGTAAGACTATCCTGAGGATGAATCACGAGAGTGGCCCCCCCCCCGCCCTTCAGCACGTGCTCAGAGGCTCCTTGCGGACGCAGCAGGTTTCCTCTTCCAGCCTCGCACACAAACCTCTCCTCCTGCTGCTTCCCCTGCCCTGCACGGCCTCTGCAGATCCAAAGGGGGCAGAAGCCGGAAGGGGACTCTGCCTCTGCCCTGGAGAGCAAAAGGCACTCTGCGCGGGCTCAGAGGCTACCCAAACTAACAGCAGCATACATGAAGTGTCCAAAGAGATCAGGCCCCCCAGATCCAGCCCTGAAAGCTGAGGGATGTCATACCGTGAAGCAACCTTGCGCCTCGGGGCATGTGCAGAGTGCATTTGTATCAGCCCTGAATAAGCCCCAGAGGCCACAACATTGAGCTGAGCAGGTTGGAGGCTGTGGGAGCTGGAAAATATTCCCTCCACCTCAACCTTTATCCATCAGGAGAACAACCACAGTGTAATAATAATAATAACAATAATAGTGATAATAGTGATAATATTAATAGTAATAATAGTGATAATATTAATAATAACTGTGTTATTTTTACTGTTGTTAGCCACTCTGAGCTTGGCTTTGGCTGGGGAGCGTGGGATATAAATAATTTTTTAAAATTATTGTTATTGTTGTTATTGTTATTATTATACCTCTTCCACTTCTTTTGGCAAAAAGAGACTCAACTCCATGTCCCGCCTGGCAAGGTTCTTGTGGGAATCAGAGAACGGCAGAGTTGGAAGGGACCCCCCAGGGTCATCCAGTCCACCCCCCTGCAATGCAGGGATCTGAGCTCAAGCATCCATGACTGACGGCCACACAGTCTCTGCCGAAAAACCTCCAAGGAAGGAAGACCCGAAAGCCCTCTGCATGTGGGAAGCCAAACCACAACGAGGGGGTTGGACTAGATGACCCCTGGGACCCCTTCCAGCTGTGACTGGGGGGCCATTGCCACCCCCTGAAGGGCACCTCCACCACGGACGAATGAAAGCAGCGGCTTCTCTCTCCAGAAGCCAACGGCCAGGAATCTCCCCTCTGGGCACCCGGGAACCGGCCCCCTCCACTCACCCCATAGGTTCCTGCGGCTGCGGCTTCCTTCGTGGGGCGGGCAGAGGGGTCCGGCGGGTTTCCTGCCCGGGAGCTGCTCAGGAAGCAGGAAATCCTGCCAAAGGCCGCCTGTCGGCTGCCAGGGTGGCAGCCCCTGGGCAGGGAGGGCGGGCAGGCAGGCAGCTGCTGCAGGAGAAGGGGGCACCCTCTGCCCAAGCGGCTGCCCTGGCACTGCCCTTGGAGGAGGCTGCAGAGTTTTTTATACCTGCCTCTTGGCAGGGAGAGAGGGAGGGAGGGGGGAGGAGAAGTCCCCACAGCAGCAAGGAAGGGTGTGGGGAGGGACGCCGGTCCCCATAAGTGCCACTTCAGAGCTGGCCACTCCTCCAGCGGGCACCGCAAATACACACACACACACAGCGCAGGCCACAGCTGCTCCCCTGCCTGCCAGCTGCCCTGCCCTGCCTTCTCCCCTTCTCTGAGCACTCTCTGCATGCTCAGAGGCCCTCTCTCCCTACCCCTGCCCATCACCCCATGAAAAGCGGGTCCTGGGGCCAAAGGGGACCATCTAGAGCAAGATTCCCCAACCTCCAGATGTTTTTAGCCTACAACTCCCATGATCCCTAGCTAGCAGGACCAGCGGTCAGGGATGATGGGAATTGTAGTCTCAAAACATCTGGAGGGCCAAGGTGGAGGAAGCCTGATCTATAGGGCAGCCCAGATGCCCCTCTCGGGAAACGCAGGATCCGGCCATGACTCTCCCCTCCTGCAGCTTCCAGCCACTGGGATTCGGAAGCATTTAATAATAATAATAATAATAATAATAATAATAATAATAATAATAAAATAAATAAAAAAAGTTTATTTATATCCTGCCCTCCCCAGCCTAAGCCGGGCTCAGAGTGGCTGCCTCTGAAATGGAGGGCAGAGCAGAGCCTCTCTCCTCTCCAATCTACTCTGGATCCACATTGCGGTCGCCTGCCATCTCTTCCCCCTGTGGCAGGGAGTTCCACAGCTCCATGGTGCACTGTGGAGGAGCAGGAGAGAGCCCTGCTGGGGAGGAGGGAAAAGACCAGCCAACTGAGTTGTGGGGGGGACAAGGCTCCTCTGAAAGTGGGCCAATCTTGGGCAGGGGCTCCCTGGCCTGATGGCCGGCATGGGGTTGGACTAGATGACCCCTGGGTTCCCTTCTGGCTCTTTGCTTCTACGGCGGGAAGGGAGAGACACCCCTGGGATTGTGCAGCTGGAGCAGGGGGGCAGGGGAGGGCCCTGGGCGAGGCACCCACGGGGGGGCCATGGGGTGGGGGCCCTGCGAGGCTCCCACTACCTCCCCCCCCCAGCACCCAGCCAATTCCTGCCCCTGCGGGTGCTGCTGCGTCAGCAGGGCGGGCGGCCGGCCTGGGTGGTAAACCAACCCCTGCTGCTAATGCCAGGGTTGTGGCACGGTGCCCCCCGTCGCCCAGACAGCCTCTCCCTCTTCTGGCCCCACTGCCCTGATAGGGGGTCATTACCTGCCCCCCCAAGCAAGCTGGTTATTTCCTGCCCCCCTTCTGCCCTCAGGCAAGACAGCTCACCTGGCCTGGAGGAGCAGCAAACAGGTAAGACCTAGTTGCAGGGGGGGGGGGCATGCATGACACACTCCCCAGGCAACCTTCCCCACCTCAGCACCTTCTCTCAGAAACTCTTTTTGAGGGGGTCAGGCTGGATGACCTTTGGGGACCCCTTCCAATTCTAGGATTCAGTGGCCTTGGAAGGCAGGAGGGCTCTCCTTCATTGGAGGTTTCTCAGCAAAGCTCAGGTGGTCACCTGCCAGGGATTCTTGAACTGAGACGCCTGTCTGGCAAGGGGGTCAGGCTGGATGACCTTTGGGAGCCCCTTCCATCTCAACACTTCCAGGGGAGGGAGGAAGATTCTCCCTCTTCCTCTGCCATGCAGATGCCAATGGCTGCACTGGGGGGGGGGACATTGGCATTCTTGGCTGTGACACCCCCCAAGAGAAAGAAAGCCGCCCCAGGAAGTGGGCGCTGTCTTGCACCCACCTGCCCCAGTTCCCCCCTTCCGAGTTAGCTCAGGATGCGGCCAGGCCCAATGGCATTATGAGAAAACGAAGGCATGGCCTGAGCAGGCAGCTAACCTGGGAGAGACCAGGGTTCGAATCCCCACTCGGCCCGGAAGCTCCCTGGGTCTCTCTCAGCCTGACCTACCCGGCAGGGTTGTTGGGATAAGAGATGGGATATTGATCCATCCATCCATCCATCTTCAAACCAGAGCGCTGGAAGGGACCCGAGGGTCATCTAGTCCCACCCCCTGCCATGCAGGAAGTTTTTGGGGCTCGAACCCGTGACCCTGAGATGAAGAGTCTCCATCTCTGCCGACTGAGCTGGGGGGCAGGGGGCCCTGGGAAGGACCCCGCTGTGGGGAGGGCTGGTAAGGAAATTCAGCTGGCATAATGGGCTGGGATTTTCCATCTGTGACCCCAAAGTGACTCTTCCCCTGCAGCTCAGGGCCCCCCAAGTGACACAGGAGGGGAGGGGCGGAGAGAGAGAAGTCAAGAGTTGCTCAGAAAGGCAGTTTCCTTCCTCTGCCCTCCTCCCCGGATTCTCCAGAAGGCTCCAATCCTGGCTCATTTGACCCCCCAGGGGGAAGCCTCCCTGGCCAATGGGACACCCCAAAGGGGAGGGATCCATGAATCACAGAAGCGCAGAGTTGGAAGGGACCTCCAAGGCCCATCTAGTCTGACCCCCTGAACTGCAGGAATTGCAGCGCAAGAATCCTGGACTAAGAAAGGAGAGCAGAGTTGAGCTTCTCCTCTTCCTCCCTGTGTTAAAACGTCACAGAATAGACCCCAGGGGTCATCCAGTCCACCCCGCAATGCAAAGGGGGAACCAGAGAAGGCCTCTGCCCCACGGCGAGGCCAAATGGTGCAGTAAATTGGAAGCCTGAAAGTGCAAGCATCCCCTCTTTCAAGGCTCCCCCACAAGACACCCCTCCGTTTTCCTCGGTTTCCCCTCGCAAGCAACCACCCCCTGAACTGCTTGCGAGGAAACCAGCCTTGCCAAGAGGGGTGTGGGGCTCAGGGTGGGGGGTGTTGCTAGAGGGCATCGCTGGGGAGCAGAGGCGAGTCAAGTGGAAGGCCAGGCCCAGCGCCCAACCCCCCCAAATATGCCCCCCAAGAGAGAGGGGTCTAGCAGAGTGTCAGACTGGGACCCGGGAGGCCAGAGTTCGAATCCCCGCTCAGTCGTGACGCTCCCTGGGGGTGGCCTGGGGGGCCAGCCCTGCTTCTCAGCCTGGCCTCCTTTGCAAGGTTGTTCTGGGGATTCAATGAGGATATAAATTCAAAAGCAGTAAATAGGCAAGATTCCCTTCCTTGCAGGTGGGGGGCAGGTGTAAGGACTAAGAGTGTCTCCCTCCTTGCAGGGTATAAATAATAAAGTAATAATCCTATTAACGGCATGAATGGAGGACCCTGTCCAGCCACCTCTCAGGGATTCCTCAGCTGCAGCTGCTGCCTTGGAGGGGGCTGGGCTGGATGGCCTTTGGGGGTCCCTTCCAACTTGGCAACTGCATGGTTCTCTGACTCTGGTTGAGGCAGAAGGGGAGGGCTGAGCCTACGGCCGGAGGCTCTTGGGCCACCGGGAGCCCCCCGCTGGCGCCCGGAGCCCTCCAGTGACCCCAAAGAACTTGAAAGGACCTCCTGCCCCACGGCAGGCGCTGGGCTAATTGGCATGGGCCGCCAGAGGCCCCCCAAGCCGGCAGGAGGAGGAGGAGGAGGGCCGGGCGAGGAGAGGCAGCACTCTGCCCTTCCCTGCGTCTGGCCTGCCCTTCCTGGCCGCCACTCAGGCCCCCCACTGCCCCCTAAGCGGCCCTAATGAGGCATGGGGAGCTGCCTCTGGGCAGCGCCAGCCGGGGCAAGCACTGCGTCATCTTTGTCCTGGCCGGCCGTGGGGGTCCCATCCGGCCAAAGTCAAAGGCACACAGCACCCCCCAAGTCCCCACTGGGCATCGGGGGGGCAGCAGGTTGGGGGAAGGATGGCGGCCCCCGTCAGTCACAGGACAGTGGGTCACAGAGGCAGGCAGTCAGAGAATCGTGAAACTGGAAGGGAGTTGGAAGGGAGCCCTGGGGCTCATCTAGTCCACCCCCTTGGCAAGACAACGATCACAGCTCAGGCAATCTGCACCTAGGTTTTCATTAAGGTCGGGTTTTTGGAACCCGGGTTCTGCAACCCCTTTCCCCCTTCACTGTGTCCTTCACTGGGCCTGACCCCTTTTCCGCCTTGCCCACTTGCCCACCTTGCAGCTGGCAAACTCTCCTGGGCACCAGCAGGAAGAACCTCTTTCTGCAGCTGCAACCCCCCCAAAAAACCAACCCCCCTGCTCCCCACTTCTGGGCAAGGGTAGCAGGAGTGGGTCTTAGCTTAGTTTGGGGGTCACAGCTTGCAACGCAGCGGGTTGGACTAGATGACCGTGGGGTCCCTTCCGGAACTACGGTCCAATGTGCTCCTTGCAGGATTGAGCAGAAGGACTATCGATATACGAATGGCGGCTCTAGACAGACCCCCAGACCCCACTTGGCCCAGGACCCTCGTGCCACCCCCCATGCCCTGCCTCGAGGTGGGGTCCCCCTCCCCGCCCCCCCCAGTCGCAGAGGCGGCCGGCAGACCCCCACCGGGCTGTGCAAATCTACATTCTTCCCCTTGACAGGGTGGAATAATTGGGCTGGCGCAGAGCCCTGACCCGCGGCTCAACCTGGGGCCGCCATTGTGAAATCCGGCCCCACAAGCAGCCCCCCGCACTTCCTGCCCCCCCAGCCCAGCCCCCAAATCACCTTCCCTGCGGACGGCCAAGTCAGCACGCAGCCGGTTGCACAACCCGAGGCGCACACAGCGCAGCCAGGAAAGCGAGGAAGGAGCCACTTGTCAAAGCACAAAACTCAGCCTGAGGGTCGCAGGTTTGAGGCCCACGTTGGGGTTGGGATAGATGACCCTCAGGGTCCCTTCTAGCTCTGCAGTGCTATAATTCTATGACTCCTCGGCCAGAAGCCCTCCAGATCAGGCATGCCCAAACTCAGCCCTCCAGATGTTTTGGGACTACAACTCCCATCATCCCTAGCTAACAGGACTGGTGGTCAGGGATGATAGGAATGGTAGTCCCAAAACATCTGGAGGGCCGAGTTTGGAGATGTCCGCTCCAGATACTCAGCTGGACTGCAGCTGGAGGGTGCAGAGGCTCCTGGGAGTTGTAGTTCAGCCACATCTGGGCAAAGGCTGGAAACAAAGCCCCGCCCCACACTTTCAAGAGGGGGTTTCAGAAGAGGGGGGCTCATTCTGCCCCTCACACCCAGCGAGCCCCCTCCCCAGACTGTATCTACCCCCCAGCAAAGCTCCCCTCCTCATTAAGGAAGCTGCCTTAGCCAGCCCATCTATACCAGTCATACCTGCACTGGCTGGCAGCAGTCACTCTCTGGCGATATTCCTAGGACTACCAAGAGATGCCGTCAGGGTTCGAACTTGAGTCCTTCTGCATTCCAGGCAGGTGCCCCACAACTGAGATGTGTGGCATTCTCCATTTGCCTATTGCAAAGGCCCCACCAGCAGTGGAAGCCGGGCAAAGTACACTCAGAGAAGGACGCTCCCCCCCCCCCGTCCTCCGCCAGGAACACCCCTTCCCTCCCCAAAGCCCTGATTCATCCCTGATGGGAAACACAGAAGTGACTCAGCTCCTCCCGTGCCCTCGGAAACCTCCCTTTCTAAAGCCTATTTGGGGAGGAAGTCACTCTGTCTGGTGGCAGGAGGTTCCAAAGGCGGCGCAAGGAAGCAGCTTTCTCTCGAGCAGGGGGGAGAAAGGGGTGGCTGGACCGCACCCCAGTTCCTACTGCTCTGCTCAGCCCCAAAAGGTGGTATAAGGCTCAAACCCCAAACCCAACAGCCTACCAGTCACCCTCCCCACGTCCGAGGGCAGGGGGCGCACTCACCTCCTCGCCAAATTCCTACAGGGTCTCTAGTCCTCAGGAAAGGCAGTGAAGAGGAGGCCTTGCCATCCCAAACTCGGCCAGCGAACAGGATACTGGAAAAGAACACATCCAGGAAGGGGGTGAGCCCCCTCTTTGTGGGTGCTGCTGCCCCCCATCCCTCTCACCCCCAGGGACACCCCTCCTGGGGACGCGGGTTGCAAGAGGGGTTGGGAGCCGCCTCTGAACCTGTCCAAGCAAGGAGAGAGTCGGGCGGCCCCCAAGTGCCGTGGCTGGTTGCCCAAATGTCCAGGACGCCTGGCCCCACACTGAGCCCCCCAACCAGGCCCAGGCGGCTTCCAGAGGGGAATGCACGCAAACAGGCACTCAGAGCGCGCATGGCATCGCACAGAGTCACAACGCTGCCCGTGGCACAAAGGACAAGCGCGTCCTCTTCTCTGCTTCCCCTCAAGTAATGCATTGGTGCAGCAAATTGTGAAATATACAAGTGGACCTATGGAACTCACTGCCACAGGAGGCGGGGAGGGCCACCAACTTGGGCAGCTTCCAAAGAGGACAGGGCGACTTTGTGCAGGAGGAAAGGGCTATTGGAAACCAGGGTGGCTGGACTCTGCCCTCCCCAGACGTGCTTCTGAATCCCCGTTTCTGGAAGCCCCAGGAAGGCAGAGGGCTCTGGGGCTCCAGCCCCGCTTGCAGGTCCCCCCCCCCAGCATCTGGTCAACCGCTGTGAGAACAGGAGGCTGGGCTAGAGGGGCTCTGGCCTGATCCAGCACATACAACTCTTTTCCTGCTTGTAATTTGAACGCATGCAAAGCTATGCAAAGAAGGCAGAACAGCAAAACAAAGCCACACAGTCAGGAGGCCTGATCAGAAAACTCAAAGCTGCGTCTCAAAGACCAGTGGAACAAACTCTGTTGGGGCTGCATAGAATCATGGAAGGGTTCCCGAGGGCCATCTAATCCAACCCCCCCCCCCCCCCGCAATGCAGGAATCTCAGCTCCAGCATCCATGACCGATGGCCTCTGCTTAAAAACCTCTGCTGTCAAACAGCTCTTCTTGCCTTGGGCTCCCTCCCAACTCTGCAATTCTATGAATGGGAGGCAGATCTTAAACCTTGAGCAAGTCTGTAGGGCAGATCACAGAATCATGGGGCTGTAGAGCTGGAAGAGACCCCAAAGTCCAGCCGCCTGCAGTGCAGGAATCCCAGGCCATTGGGGGCCTCAAAGGTCAATAGAAGCCGTCCAGGCATTAGGTAAAGGTAAAGGGACCCCTGACCATTAGGTCCAGTCGTGGCCGACTCTGGGGTTGCGACGCTCATCTTGCTTTACTGGCCGAGGGAGCTGGCGTACAGCTTCTGGGTCATGTGGCCAGCATGACTAAGCCGCTTCTGGCGAGCCAGAGCAGCGCACGGAAACGCTGTTTACCTTCCCGCCGGAGCGGTACCTATTTATCTACTTGCACTTTGACATGCTTTTGAACTGCTAGGTGGGCAGGAGCAGGGACCGAGCAACGGGAGCTCACCCCGTCGCGGGGATTCGAACCGCCAACCTTCTGCTCGGCATGTCCTAGGCTCTGGGATTTAACCCACAGCGCCACCCACGTCCCACAGCGCCACCAGCGTCCCATCCAGGCATTAGGCAGTGTATAAATGAACAAGCAGGAAATGAGAATGCCAGCACCCAAAATGAGCTGGTAAACAAGCGAGGGACCACAAGGAGCCTCAGGTGAGATGGCCAGGCACCTCACCTGCCACAATCTGACCTGACAGGAGCTCCTGGACCGTCTCCAAGGGCAGCCCCACAGAGAGAGCACAGAGGTAGTCTAACCTTGGCGTGACAAAGGCAAGGGTGTCTGCGTCCAGGTCTGAGTTTAGGAAGGATTTTAAGTCCTCCCTGGCAGGGGAAATCAAGCAGGTATCGGACGGATGATCGCCAAAGAAGAAGTTCCGTGGGGTAGGAGAGCTGGAAGAAACTTCACAGCTGGCAACCAATTTGCCCCTTGGTTTTCAGAGAATAGATGGGGAGGCAAGTCTAAAAAGCCCAGGGCACAAGATTTCATGGCCCTCTAGCGGCTCTGGTGGCCGCTAACATACCGTATTTTTCACTCCGTAAGACACACTTTTTTCCTCCTAAAAAGTAAGGGGAAATGTCTGTGCGTCTTATGGAGCGAATGCGTGGTCCCTGGAGCCGAATTGCCCAGCGGCAAAAAGCAGATCGTGCTATTTTTTTTAGAAAGAGGGAAGGGGGTGTTGAAACAAAGCGGCTGAGCAGCTGGTTGGCAAGCGATTGGGAGGGAGATAAGGGACTCTAGAGATAAAGGAGGCTGCCTGGGAGGGGGGAGGGAAAGGCACATGGATCCTCAGGATTTTTGCATTGGGTCACCCCAAATTCACCATCAGATCACATAGCATGTCTGTGGCCACAGCATGAACCACAAAAATCATACATCCACCGTTTCATTCAGAATATTTTTTTTCTTGTTTTCCTCCTCTAAAAACTAGGTGCGTCTTATGGAGCGAAAAATACAGCATTTAGTGTTAACTCTGGAAGTGTGGACTCAATTCTGACCAAATTAAGCCCCCTAGAGCAAACTATACATCATTATGACTCCCTCCCCAAATGTCACAGAACCACAGAAATATAGAGCTGGAGGGGACCCCGAGGGTCATCTAGTGCAGCCCCCGCAAATCACTCATTGAGGGTTCAAGACCCCTTGGCTCCCCTCCCCGGGATTGTGGCCTCTGTCTCCTGCTGGCAGCTTCTAGGAGCCACAGGTAAGAACTGAGCACAGGGAAGCCAAGGTGGGCGAACAACCCCAAAGGAGCAGGACGTGCCCCCACCACATGTGCTTGTTGAATGGTCACTGTAAAATGTGAAGGTTCATTATTGTTTCACAAGTTGTGTATGTCTTTAAGGGCAAATAACGAGACCCAGTCTTGCAGCTGTGAAACATGGCAGGTGCTGCTGAATTGTGTTCATCAAGCTGTGTCAGCAATTGGGTCTAGTATATAAGGAGCAGCACCTAGCTCTCCCATTACCCTGGGGGGGGGGGGGGGTTGGTGGTTGGTTGGTTGGGTCTGGTTTGTTGTTATCTTTAGTGTAAAAGGAGTTTTTTTGTTTGTTATTAAAACCTTGTTAAAAAGTTATTTTGAGTTCCTGGTTATGCCTGGTCTCCCCAGCAAGCTCTCTGCAGCGCTACTATACTGCAAATAGCCAACAGTGCTGCCCCTCCCCTGACACCCCTAACATCTGGCCACACAGAAACGCAGCAAAGTGCTGCACCCCAAAAACGTCCCACCCTATGGAAAAAAGAAAGGGGGCACAGACCCACAAGTCCATTCCAGGAGGTGATGGCACCTGGTCCAGCCTGGCCCCAGAGAGCCCCATCTGCAGGAGCTGCCCCTTCCCCTGGCTAGGGGTCTCCAGGGCCCCCTTCAAGGAGCCAGGAGGTGCCTTTCTCCCCACTGTTCCACTTCTTATCTGGGCCGGATAAGGCCAATGTTGTCCTGGATCTCTGGAGTCAGTCAGCACTGGCTCCCTTAATCTCTCCTAATGTTTAACTGAATTCTGCCCTCTCCTAATCAGGACCCACAGCTCCCGTTTGTTTTTGCCTGGTCCTTGGAGGTCAGAAGATGAAAAGGTGTCTCCAAGGACATGTGGAAGGACCCCTCTGAATCAGACATTGCCAGAGCTCAGCCACGGAACCAGATTTCAAAACACCGGAGCAAACAAAGCCCGAGAAATAAATGGGCGAGGCTTCGGAGCATGCACAGAGTGCAGCTCTCACCCCACTCCTCCAGGCATTGGCTTGCAGAAGTCATTCTGTTTCTCCACAATCTCCTTGTCTTCCTTTAGCACATTTTTGACCCCCTGGTCACCCAAGGGTTAACCCCTTCCTAGCCTAGATGGTCTCCTGCAACAAATGTATTTAAACCACTTCTGGCCACTTCTGGCCGTTGATCTCAATGATTTTACCAATGTGCTCTTCAAAGCCTTTTTATTTTTTAGCATCCTTTACTATCTACTTTAACTTTCTTCTTTGGCCAAAGTTTGTGCTCCTTTTCGTTCTCTTCATTCAGACAGAACTTGCATTTTTCAAAAGAAGCCTTCGGGTCTCCAATGACTTCTCCAACTCCTGATCATTTTGGAGAGATTTAATCCTCCATTCTTTGCCTTTCTACTTCCTTGCCACATTATCAATGATGATGATGATAAAAGTTTGCATGCTGCCCTTCACCCTACGATCCCAGGGTTCACAACAGAAAAATGCAAAATGAGGACAAAATACATTATGCATGTCAAAGGATGCACTTTAGAACATTTCCACCTCCACACACCAGCAAATTCCCAGAAGGCCGCTCCTACAGACCTGCATTAGGGCTGGGCAATGTCTGGTGTTCCACATCGTGATACACCATGAGCCATACATCACGCTATACCAATATATGTATCGCAATGTCTGAAATAGGGGTGGAGTTAGGGAGAGGCAGTGGCAGGCGCCACGGTTTCCCTCCCATTGTAATTTTGGCATAGGGCGCACACACATCATGATTTGCAATATATTGCCAGGTCAAAAATTATGAAACCAAAATCACGATATGGACTTGAATGCGGTTTTCGATGATCTATTGAGATATTGCCCAGTCCTAACTTGCATAAAAGAAGCCAAAAGAGCTTCAACCATATCACTGCCTCACTACCAGGCCTTTACTAAGGTTGCCAACGTGATGCCCTCCGTAGGGGGTTGAACTAAAACTCCCATCGCTGACCAATAGCCTCATTGTGACGAAGTTTCCTCTTTGGAAGTCAAATGGAACTGTGTTGAATTTTCTGGGCAATTGGCCAGTTAAATGCATATTTAACTTAATAGCACGGTGGCTGCTGCTCCCAAGTGGTTGGGCAACTGTGCCATCTCGTGCCAGGTTTTGGGTGCCACTCAAGGTTCAGTCTAGGGGTGCCCTCCTGGTCAATTCCACCACCCACAACGAATCTGCCCCTTTGGGGAATTCTAGCTTGCTGGACTCAGTGCTGTGTCTGACGTCCAGAGCGACACCACCTCCGATATGCCGCTCTCTGTCCTTCCTAGAGTTCTCAGCCAGAGATAACCGCCAGGTTTCCGAGATATTCACTGCACCAAAGCCGTCCTCTAAGACTAAGTGCTCCACTTTGCCCCTCTTGAGTCAGAGGCTTCCAGCGGTGGCACAGAAACACTTGCAGCCAATCTCTCCCAAGCGCCTTTGGGGCAAGATGGAAGAACTGCTAAGCTGCGCACAGGTGGCTGGCGGCAAAATGTTTTGCACCTGGCAAGGGCAGTTTGCAGAACATTCAGCTCAGGATTCCGCAGAGAGGGAAGGAGGACTTTCCGTGGGGCGGAAGTGTACACGGGGAGTCTTTCCTTCCAGATTTCGGAGGGATATCTACCTCGACGGTCTTGCCAGACTTTCGATCCGAGGACAGGACGTCCTGCACCAGGCGAGGGGTTGGACCAGATAATTATTCGGCAAGATTAATTATATATTGTATTTTTAATTAACGCCGTTATGCTTGCAAACCGCTCCGGGAATATTTATTGATGGGTGGCTAGATAAATTTGATTAGCGGCAATAAATAACCCTGTTCCTGATCTGGAGGCTGGATCCGGCCCATTGAGCGCCGGCATTCCTCCCCTCCACCGGTGCCAGAATTAGACCTGAAAAAACCCTGGGAGCCACTAGGAGGTTTTCCAAGTGGGGGCCTGTTGTTTGGGGAGGGGGGTCGCAGCTGCGGAAGGAAAGGCTAAACCTCCCCAAGCGATGCGATACCCCCAGTGCCCAAAATGTCCCTGTGCCGCCATTAGGTTCATAGAATCACAGAACGGAAGAGTTGGAAGGGATCCAAGAGGTCACGTGGTCCAAGCCCAGGCAGAGCAGGTATGGCAGCTCAAAGGCACAGGGGTGGCAAGAATGAACGGGTGAGGCAGAGACACAAAATGTGTCTGAATGCCTGCTCTTTGCAACTATTTGTATGCCTGCCTGTGGATGCATGTGTTTTTTGGGGGGTCTCTGCCCACTAGTGGCTCCGGCCACACCCCTTACATTTGGCCCCATAACCTTGGCCAGGGGTCAGCAACCTTTTCCAGACCTTGTGGGGGGCTGGACTATATTTTGGGAGAAATATAGGGCCAGATTGAGAAGGCGATTGGGCCGGATCTGGCCCACGGACCTTAGTTTGCCTCCCCATATCTTTACCCATAGGAACTATTAAAAGAAAACCTTTACAGAAAATTAAAGCTTAGATCAGGGATCAGCAAACTTTTTCAGCAGGGGGCTGGTCCACTGTCCCTCAGACCTTGTGGAGGAGTGAACTATATTTTGAAAAATAACAATGAATGAATTCCTCAGCCCCACAAATAACCCAGAGATGGATTTTAAAGAAAAGGACACATTCTACTCATGTAAAAACACGCTGATTCCTGGACCATCCGCGGGCCAGATTGAGAAGGCGATTGGGCCGCATCCGGCCCCCGGGCCTTGGGTTGGCCATCAGGGAATGAGGCCTCAGGCTGACAAAAGGCCCCCCCCCCCTTTCAGCTCTGAATCAAGAAGAGGCGGAAACTCTGAACCCAACAAAGATGCGTCATGTCAGGAAATGAGTGATATGCAAAACTTGTGGGCTGGAAAGAGGATGGGACAAATTCATGGAGGAGGAGGGGGGCTCTCCATGCCGCTCCTGAACCCCCCTTTCTGGAGACCCCAGGAGGGGAGAGAGCTCTTGGGCTCAGATCCCACTTGCTGGTTCCCCACATGCATCTGGCTGGCGACCTGGAGAAAAGGGTGCTGGCCCAGCTGGGCCTCCTCTGGCCTCATCCAGCACCAGCCAAGCTCTTCTGGTGCGCTTGTTACTCACTGGGGAAACCCCACAACCCTCGGCCACGAGTGGGACGCCAGAGACAGGTCTTCAAACTTGCCTTCCAGCTCAAGTTGGAAGGGCCCACAGAAGTGATGGAAGCAGGCCTACCTCTGCCCATGTGCAGAGTGCCTTTTGCTTCACAAATGGGGATTTGCATCATCATTAGGGGAAGGATGTGCCAGACTTGGCCCAACTCTTTGCTCCAAGGACTGGCAATGGGCCCTCTGCCCCCCAATTTGCCTAACCCTCTTTGAAACCCAACCAGGTTGGTGGTCATGACTGCCTCCTGTGGCAGGGAGTTCCACAGTTCAACTCAGCACTGTACGAAGGTCTTTCTTGTACCTTTCCTGAATCTTCCAGCCTTCAACCTCATGCAGTGTTAGAAACTCCGATATACAAGCTCAGCGCCAAAGGGCACCTTGAACCTCGGTTGCAGTCGCCACAACGGGATGTCTATTCTCCAGGGGGCTGGACTGGATGATCCTTGGGGTCCCTTCTATCATCCCATTGTCCTATGCTCTCAGCTACGTTGCCTGACTGCCGCTTGCTCCTCCAACAGTCTCCTTGTCCCAGGAGGCAAGACGGAGAAAGACACCCAGTGGGAATGGAAATGGCATTAGCTATGGACTAAGGCAGAGGTTTTTAAACGGCGGTCACCAACCTGATGCCCAGAAATCTCCAGGAATTTGCACCTGGACCAGCGCCAGCAGCAAAACGCGCCAGGCAGATGTCTAACACTGCATGGGATGCCCATGAATTCTAGTGTTACAAGAGAGGAAGAAAAGCTTTATAAACGTCTATCCCATTGCCTCCTTTTCTCTCAACTAGAAAGTTTGTTGCAGGCCTTCCTCACAGGGGCGTCGCTCCATCCCCTGGACCATTTTGCTCTGAACCCTTCCCAGTTCTACGGATCAGGACCAGCACTTGACAGCGCCGTCCTCCATTCAGGACCAGCCACTGACTCTCCTCTTCTGCGGAAAACCAGCTGACCGGCACATCTTTGCAGGCCTGGGCTGGCTGGCTTCCCTCTCACAAAGGCCGCCGGCCCTTCCCCTCCCTCCCACAAACCGCCCCACCTCCGGCCCCACAAGCTGGACTTCAAAACCAGACCGGTGTGGCAGATGCAACCCAGCCAGCCGCACAACCCATCATTAGGGGCCGGCAAGAGACTCCAGCGGTCAGACCGGGAAGAACGCAGGACAGGCGAGGGAGAAGCGGAGACGGAGGACCAGGGCCCAGCTAGCTCAGAACTGTCAACACTGACGGGCAGCAGCAGCGCTTTGGGTTTGGTCTTTCTTAGCTCTCCCTGAAGATGCTGGCAGGGACGGAACAGGGGTCCTTCTCCACGCAGAGCTTTTTGATACAATTTATAGGCCGTTGTTTCTATGGAAAATGCTACCGTTTCTAAGCAAAGTTGCAAAAGAGTTATAATCCGTTTAAATGATCAAGGTGTCTCCCCTACCCTTCGATCCAAAGAGGAGAGAGATAAAATTTTGGGCTGGCACTTTCAGAAGCCCTTGGGAATATTGCAGTCAAGAGTGGAAATATTTAAAGATATCCCGAAATATCTTTTGGACCTTAGGGCCAATTACGGAGATTTGGTTGCTCTGCTGAGAAGGAACAGTATCATCTTTAGGTGGGAATTTCCTCAAGGCCTATCTTTCAGTTTTAAAGGAAGAAAAATAAAAATAAGATCAGTTGAAGATAAAGACAAATTTTTGAGTACCCATGAAGAGGACCTACAGAAGGGACTTGGAAAAGAACCAGGAGTACCGGACAGAAGATCACCAGACAGAGTACTAGAGCAAGGAGTACTGGACAAAAGATCACCTATACTGGACTTAGCAAAGTTAAATTTTGGATTGGACTTCCCAGCGAAAGGGATACCAGCACCACCGTCAGAACAAGAAGAAGCACTGGGTGCAGTTGGAGGTGACTTAAAGTAATTACATTATGGCACTGCAAATACTAAGCTGGAATATTAATGGGATGAACTCCCCCGAGAGGAGACGAAGAATCTTTCATGTATTAAAAAAGGAACAATTGGACTTGATTTGCTTACAAGAAACACATGTGATAAGGCTACATAGGAAATTACTGGTAAATAAAAGATTGGGACAAGAATTTATTTCATCAGACAAAGTAAAAAAAAGAGGAGTAGTACTATATGCAAAGGAGAGCCTATCACCAAAATTTCTTTTTAAAGATGATCAAGGAAGATTTGTAGCAATTGAAATCCAATCGCAAGGAGAGAAGTTTTTGATATTAGGTATTTATGCACCAAACGAGGGAAAATCGGAATTCTTTAAGAAGCTACATGAGACTCTGATGGACTATATGGATTATAATATGATCTTGATGGGAGATATGAATGGTGTAGTGTCTACAAATATGGATAAAGCACAGAGACAGGTAGTTACTAAGGATGGCAGATTGCCAAAGACTTTCTTTGATATGACTGACAATATGGACTTAGCTGACATTTGGAGAATTAAAACCCTTTGGGAAGAGAGGAACCTTCTTCTCTGAGGCCAAAATGACATGGACAAGAATTGACCAAATTTGGGTAACTAGAGGACTGGCTCCAAAAACTAGAAAGGTGGAAATCTGCCCGAAAACTTGCTCCGACCATAATGCTGTAAAGATGGAACTGAAACTAACACCAACTGGTTCCTTCAGATGGAGGATGAATGACACATTGTTTAGGAACGAAGAAGTGACTAAGAAGGCCCCAAAAACTCTGAGAGACTATTTTGAGATAAATATGAACACCACTGTAGAAAAAAGAGTAATCTGGGACGCAAGCAAAGTGGTTATGAGAGGGTTTTTGATACAACAGAATGCGATTCAAAAGAGAGTCCAAAATGAGAAAAAAGATAAAATACTGGAGAAAATAAAGGAAGGAGAGAAGAAACTGAGAGTGAAACCAAAGTTGCAGGAGATTTTGAAAGAGATAAAGTTATACCAAGTACAATATATGAAAATGATGAACCAGGAAATAGAATGGAAAATTAAACAGATGAGACAAAAGACATTTGAATCGGCAAATAAATGTGGAAAACTGCTGGCTTGGCAAATGAAAAAAAGACAAAAACTTAACACTATCACAAATTTGGAAGTAGAAGGGAAAAATATACAGAATCCAGTGGAGATTAGAAAGTGCTTTCAGAGGTATTTTAAACAACTATATATACAGGAAACTCAGAAACAAATGGACATTGATTGTTTTTTGAAAACAAATGGATTACAAAAAATCTCTCAAGAAAATAAGCTAATGTTGAACTACAAAATAATGGAGCAAGAGATAGAAGGGGCCATCCAGAATATGCAATTGGGTAAATCTCCAGGCCCGGACGGACTGACTTCAAGATACTATAGATCCCTGAAAGAATGGATAATACAGCCATTAAAAGAAGTCTGTAATGGAATATTGGAAGGGAAAAGGGCGCCAGAGTCATGGAAGGAAGCCTACATCACACTTATACCGAAAGTAGAGTCTGAGAAGACACAGCTTAAGAATTACCGCCCCATATCTTTGCTTAATGTGGATTATAAAATTTTTGCAGATATTTTGGCTAAAAGACTAAAAAAGGTACTAGTAGAAGAAATCCATAAAGACCAAGCTGGCTTTCTCCTGGGCAGACACTTGTCTGACAACACGAGGAATATAATTAATATTTTAGAAAAGTTACAAGTGAATATCAATACTGTCAGCCTTGACAAATACTAAAGCAGTTTTGATATTTGTGGACGCGGAGAAAGCCTTTGACAATATTTCTTGGAGTTTTATGAAGAAAAACCTACAGGGGATGGGGGTTGGTCAAGGTTTTGAAAATGGTATAGGTGCAATTTATTCAGAACAAAAGGCTAAATTAATTGTGAACAATGTAGTGACGGAAGAATTTAAGATAGAGAAAGGAACACGACAAGGTTGCCCAATCTCTCCATTGCTTTTTATATCGGTCCTGGAAGTTCTTTTAAATATGATTAGGAGGGACCAAACAGTTAAAGGTATACAAGTGGGAGCAAAACAGTACAAACTGAAAGCATTTGCTGATGATCTGGTATTGACATTACAGGAGCCAGAATCTAGTACCAAAAGAGTACTGGAACTGATCCAAGAATTTGGACAAGTAGTGGGATTTAAGTTGATAAGATGAAAACTAAAGTTTTAGAGAAAAATTTAACAGTGATGGAGAGAGAAAGGTTTCAGAAGGAGACAGGATTAACATTGGTTAAGAAAGTGAAATACCTAGGGGTTAACATGACCGCTAAAAATGTGAATCTGTTTAAGGATAACTATGAAAAATGTTGGATGGAAGTGAAAAAGGATCTAGAAATATGGTCAAATTTGAAGTTATCATTGCTAGGCCGAATTGCTGTGATAAAGATGAATGTATTGCCAAGGATGCTGTTTTTGTTTCAAACATTGCAAATACTAGACAAAATGGAGTGTTTCAAGAAGTGGCAGAGAGATATCTCTAGATTTGTCTGGCAGGGCAAGAAACCCCGAATAAAATTAAAGATATTAACTGATGCTAAGGAAAGAGGTGGATTTGCCCTGCCAGACTTAAAACTTTATTATGAATCAGCCACTTTTTGCTGGCTGAGAGAATGGATGCTTCTTGAAAACAATGATGTGTTGGATTTAGAAGGTTTTAATAATGTCTTTGGGTGGCATGCATATCTATGGTATGATAAGGTCAAAGCACATAAAGCGTTTAAAAACCATATTGTCAGAAAAGCACTGCTTAATGTTTGGATAAGATATAAGGATTTGCTTGAGAATAAAACCCCAAGATGGCTGTCACCAATGGAAGCGAAGGCTCAGAAAAAGCTCAATATGGAGGCTAAATGGCCGAAGTATTGGGAAATTTTGGAACAAGAGGGAGACAGAATAAAATTGCAGAGTTTTGAAAAATTAAAAAACAGAGTGCGAGATTGGCTTCATTATTATCAGATAATGGAGGCATATAATTTGGATAAAAAAATTGGCTTCCAGGTGGAAAAATCAAAATTGGAAACAGAACTGTTAGACCCCAAAACTAAGAATTTGTCAAGAATGTATAATTTGCTGTTGAAATGGAACACTCAGGATGAAACGGTGAAATCTGTTATGATTAAATGGGCACAAGATGTTGGACATAACATTATGATGGCTGACTGGGAACAGTTATGGACCACAGGTATGAAGTTCACGGCATGTAATGCCTTAAGAGAGAATATAATGAAAATGATATACAGGTGGTACATGACACCAGTCAAGCTTGCGAAAATCTATCATTTGCCCGATAATAAATGCTGGAAATGTAAAGAGACGGAAGGTACATTCTTTCACCTTTGGTGGACATGCCCAAGGATTAAGGCTTTCTGGGAGATGATCTATAATGAAATGAAAAAGGTATTTAAATATACCTTTCTGAAGAAACCAGAGGCCTTTCTCCTGGGCATGGTTGGCCAATTGGTGCCAAAGAGGGACAGAACTTTCTTTATGTATGCCACAACAGCAGCAAGAATACTTATTGCAAAGTATTGGAAGACACAAGATCTACCCACTCTGGAAGAATGGCAGATGAAGGTGATGGACTATATGGAACTGGCGGAAATGACTGGCAGAATCCGAGACCAGGGAGAAGAGTCGGTGGAGGAAGATTGGAAGAAATTTAAAGACTATTTACAGAAACATTGTAAAATTAATGAATGTTAGAATGATGTTGGAATGAATCTATGTGATTTTAGCAAAAATGTATCAAAGATTTAAGAAAAATAGACTGTTAATTGGTGAAAAGAGGGAAAGTAAACTTATAGTAAGATCAAGATAAATTTTCAGGATAAGAATTTTGAAGAGAGGGAAAGGATTTGCTGAAATGGATAATTGACTTAGAATACAAAAAAGGGAGGTGTGAGGAGGTCAGGGAAACAAGCATATGAAAGATAAGTTATGGGAAGGCTCGATTTGTCGTCTTCTTTTTTTTTGTATGTTGTTTTTAAGTGTTCTTATTTCCTTGTTTTTTATTGTGATGTGTTGTTTTACTATTGTCTAATCTGGTGTTTTTTTTTACTTTCTGTTTTCTTTTGTCTTTTTGTAAACTTAAAATCTTAATAAATACTATTTAAAAAAAATATATAATCCGTTTAAATTAACTAGACATCTGAAAAGCATCCACTGAGTGCCTGGTTCAACAGGGGGGGGGGGACTGCTGGGTCTCAGCTGGGGGGCAGAGCCACAGAATTGGGCCAACAGGACCGAGAGCCCATCCTGCAGGAGCTCCACCGAAGATGCTCTGCCCAGGGTTCGAAATCCGCCTGGCACATTTTGCACCTGGCTATTGGCCACTTGCGACCAAGTGAAGATGCCCGTGAGCCAGGATGGGGCCCAAGATCTCCGCCACCTGGGGATCCTTGGATCGGGACTGTTTTCACACACTAAGAATGAACTTCTGTAACGAAAATGCTTTTTCTAGGCAGCCTGAGGCAGGAGTAGTGAACAATGTTATAATGAATTGCTGGCGCTTGTCTTCACTCCCCCCTCACCCTGCTCACACATGTGAAGAATCTGCCTACATTATGAATGGTCACCATTAAGAAAAATAAGATATATATATATATACATGTGTGTGTGTGTGTGTGTGTGTGTGTATATATATATATATATATATATATATATAATTTTCTTCTTTAAGTTTTCAAAATTCTTAGCCCAGCTCAAGGTTGTCCTCTGAACTAGCCAGAGGTTTCACTGAGAATCAATCACAGTCAGTCCATCATTTGAAAAATAAGACTTCAGAGCTGTCCGGCCCCCAAATGGCAACTGGACATTTAGTTTTGGTGCCTGCAGCCTCGGTTTAAGGAGCCCTTTGGCCCCGAGCTTATACACCCGAGTTTCCAACACTGGCTAGACCACTGAACTACAGCCTGCTCTCCCCTCCCAGCTTCCTCTAACACTGAGGCCAAGCCAGGGACGGAATCTCGGTTCCCCCCTCTCTGTGCCTGCTCCTGGTCCAGGGGGCACCCCAGGATTCCCACAGGGAGGGGCAACGGGAGGGGCGGGATGCCAGCTGTACAGCCTCTGCCCAGCAGCCCCTCCCAAGGCAGTGGAAGAGAGGAGCAGCCCTTGCAAGGACCCCCCCCCCATGTCTTCTTCCAGAATGATGCTCTTTTGTTGCTGGTTTATTCAGTTTCAGGGCAATCATTTCTACCCCGCTTCAATAACCAAAGAAACAGAAGCAGCCTCCCTGTTGCTTTACGAACATATTATTATTGTTATTCTTATTATTAGTACCCTGCCCATCTGGCTGGGTCTCCCCAGCCACTCTGGGCAGCTTCCAGACACTGAGGTCCAGCTCTGAGGGCCTTCTGGCGGTTCCCTCCCTGCAAGAAGCAAAGCTACAGGGAACCAGGCAGAGGGCCTTCTTGGTGGTGGTGCCCGCCCTGTGGAACACCCTCCCACCGGATGTCAAAGAGAAGAACAACTACCAGACTTTTAGAAGACATCTGAAGGCAGCCCTCTTTAGGGAAGCTTTTAATGTTTAACAGACCACAGTATTTTAATATTCTTTTGGAAGCCATACAGAGTGGCTGGGGAAACCCAGCCAGATGGGCGGGGTATAAATAATAAATTATTATTACTATTATTATTTATTTGGCTGTGGAGCGGACTCTCTCAAAAGACGCTCTCTCCTTCCTTGGAGGTTTTTAAGCAGGGATTCTTTGGCTGCGGCTCCAGAATTGAAGGAGTTGAACTAGATGGCCCTTGGGGGTCCCCTTAGAATCATAGAATCATAGAATCATAGAGTTGGAAGAGACCACAAGGGCCATCGAGTCCAACCCCTGCCAAGCAGGAAACACCATCAGAGCACTCCTGACATATGGTTGTCAAGCCTCTGCTTAAAGACCTCCAAAGAAGGAGACTCCACCACACTCCTTGGCAGCAAATTCCACTGTCGAACAGCTCTTACTGTCAGGAAGTTCTTCCTAATGTTTAGGTGGAATCTTCTTTCTTGTAGTTTGGATCCATTGCTCCGTGTCCGCTTCTCTGGAGCAGCAGAAAACAACCTTTCTCCCTCCTCTATGTGACATCCTTTTCTGTATTTGAACATGGCTATCATATCACCCCTTAACCTCCTCTTCTCCAGGCTAAACATGCCCAGCTTCCTTAGCCGTTCCTCATAAGGCATCGTTTCCAGGCCTTTGACCATTTTGGTTGCCCTCCTCTGGACACGTTCCAGTTTGTCAGTGTCCTTCTTGAACTGTGGTGCCCAGAACTGGACACAGTACTCCAGGTGAGGTCTGACCAGAGCAGAATACAGTGGCACTATTACTTCCCTTGATCTAGATGCTATACTCCTATTGATGCAGCCCAGAATTGCATTGGCTTTTTTAGCTGCCGCGTCACACTGTTGGCTCATGTCAAGTTTGTGGTCAACCAAGACTCCTAGATCCTTTTCACATGTACTGCTCTCAAGCCAGGTGTCCCCCATCTTGTATTTGTGCCTCTCATTTTTTTGCCCAAGTGCAATACTTTACATTTCTCCCTGTTAAAATTCATCTTGTTTGTTTTGGCCCAGTTCTCCAATCTGTCAAGGTCGTTTTGAAGTGTGATCCTGTCCTCTGGGGTGTTAGCCACCCCTCCCAATTTGGTGTCATCTGCAAATTTGATCAGGATGCCCTTGAGTCCATCATCCAAGTCGTTGATAAAGATGTTGAATAAGACCGGGCCCAAGACAGAACCCTGTGGCACCCCACTAGTCACTCTTCTAACGCTTACAAATGGGACGGTTCCATAAGCGGCCGCCCGGCCCCCTCCCAAGATGGCAGGCCCGCAGCAGGCCCTTCCCCCTGAGCGTGAGAAAGCAGAGATGAGGATCTTGCAAAGGAAGCCCCGAAAACACCGCAAGGTTCTCCTCGGCTGCTTCCCAGGTGGGTGGGGCAGCGCCTGCAATTACGCAGCCCTGGACCTGTTCACCCAGGCCCCCTCCCCACCCCGGGGAGCGCAAGGAGCCGAGAACAAAACCCACTAATTACTCCGACACAATGAGCCTCAGGAACTCTGCTGACAGCCACTGCCGGCCTGTTTCACCGCAGAGAGAAATCTAGCTGCCAAGCCGGGACTATTCCTGCCAGGACAGGCCCCTCTGGCCTCTTGGCTGCTGGCCACCCGGGCTCTGCTCTGCCTCCACAAATACACAGGTACCTCTACTTACGAACTTAATTCTTTCTGGAGGTCCGTTCTTAACATGAAACTGTTCTTAATAAGAGGCATCTTTTTGCTAATGGGGCCTCCTGCTCCTGTGCCGCCGGCACACGATTTCCGTTCTCATCCTGGGGCAAAGTTTTCAACTCGAGGTAACTCTTCCAGGTTAGCAGAGTTTGTAACCTGAGGCGTTCGTAACCCGAGGCATTCGTAACTCAAGGTACCACTGTTCCCCTGAATATGGGCTGCTGGAAACCCCAGGAGGGGAGAGTTGCTCTTGTGCTCAGATCCTGGCTTGCCGATTTCCCAGAGAGGCCTTGTGAGAACAGGAGAGCTGGACCCAGACACATCAGCTGGGCACCAAACGGCTCCTTAAACCAATGCTGCTGTCGCCAAAACAGAAGGTCTAGTTCTGGTTGCCATTTGGGGGCCCTAAAGTCCTCTTTGGGGTGCCACGTCCTTCATACTGCCAGCCTGCATCTGTCTCTTCTTTCTCCTAATAGGATGTCAACTGCTCTGGGGGCCTTTTTGGCCAAAGAGCCCAAACACAGCAAATAGGCAAAGGAAGGAAGGTGCTTTGGCGTTAAAGAGGACACGGGGGGAAGCTGATAGAGGAGGAGAAGGCTGTCCATGGTGGCTAGCAGTGTTGGGAACTCAGATGTATAAGCTAGGGGCCAAAGGGCTCCTTAAACTGAGGCAGCAGTCGCCAAAATGGAACGTCTAGTTGCCATTTTGGGGCCGGACAGCTCTGAAGTATTATTTTTCAAATTTTGGACTGACTGTGATTGATTCTCAGGGAAACATCTGGCTAGTTCAGAGGACAACCTTGAGATGGGTTAAGAATTTTGAAAACTTAAAGAAGGAATGTCCCTTGATCCAGGGACAGTCTACCGATACAGTGGTTACAGAAGCTTCAGACTCCGCTAACCCAGAAGTAAGAACTTTGCTTCAGGATGAGAACAGAAATTGTGCTCCGGCGGCGCGGTGGCAGCGGGACGCCCCATTAGCTAAAGTGGTGCTTCAGGTTAAGAACAGTTTCAGGTTAAGAACGGACCTCCGGAACGAATCGACCAGTTCCAACCTCTTTTTCTTAATGGTGACACAGACCATTCATATCACACGAATATTCTTCACAATTGTGAAATGGGGGAAGCAGAGGCAAGCGACAACTATCAGTCATAATTGTTTGCTGCTCCTGCTCAGGCTTCACAGAAAAAGCATTTTGGTTCCAGAATTCATTCCGATGGTGTAGATGAAATATAAGAGAGAGAATTCTACGGGAGTGTCAGCCCAGGAAACATTTCTGCATTGCAGAACCTTCCAACTCTACGATTCTATGGTTCTGCGACCAAGGATACACGAGGGTCCAAATCTGCCCACTCAGCCAGGAAGGACGACCTTGGGGGCCGGTCACTCAGTCTCAGCCCAACACGGGGTTGTTGTGGGAATTAAACGAGGAGGGAGAGGAGAAGCACGTACGCCACCTTGGGCTCCGTAGAGAAAGGGGGGAGACATAAATGCAGCAGGAAAACACACACGCCTGGAGGGCCTGCCTCCTCAAGAAACAAACAACGGAGCCTGCAAACCAGCCCCAAGGCTCTCCCACCTGAGGAGGGGCAAAGATCTGCCTCGCTGCTGGGCTTGGTTGGAGAAGGGTTTGGCACCAACTGGATTTCCCAGCCAGCCTCTGCTTGGTTCTGCCCTGTGTCTGGTTCTGGTTTGGTGCCCGTTCTGCTCTTCCTCGCCTCTCTCTCTCTCTTTTGGCTCCGACTGGGGTTTTGGCTGCTGCCCCTTCTGAGTGTGGGAAAAGCAGGTAATGAACTCAGGAGGTGAATAAGGCGCCTGCCGGAAAGGCCAGAATTGAGTGGAAACGGAAGGGCAGCTTCGTTTCTGAAACAATGGACCGGGCTCTGCCAAGAGGCTGCCACTCTGCACATGCTTAGAGGCACCCACAAAAATGAAGAATTGTAGCCCAACCCCCTGCAATGCAGGAATCGCAGCTGAAGAATCCCCAACAGACCATAGCTGTCAACGTTTTCCTTTTTTAAAGGGAAATTCCCTTATTCTGAATAGGATTCCTCGCAAGAAAAGGGAAAAGTTGACAGCTATGCAACAGACGCCCATCCGAACTCTGCTAGAAACCTCCTGTGAATCACAGAATTGTAAGGGACCCCCAGGCACCATCTAGTCCAACCCCCTGCAATGCAGTCCCCAGTGGAGTGAGGAGAAGAGAATGGCAGGCCCAAAGGCAGCAGCAGAGTGGGGTGTCCAGAGTGGGGTGGATGGAGCTCTGGGTCAGCGGAGGAAGGGCCAAGGGGCTGCCCGCAGGCAGAAACCAGGAGGGATGAGGATGATGGGAACTGCAGGCCAGGAACCCTCAGAAGTGCCATGTTGCCAACCCAGAGTCTGGCCTGACCAAAGGCACAGCCACCTTCCTTGCTCTTGGTTTCATGTCCACAAACGAAAGGAAAAGCAGAGAGCAGTTGGGTCTTCCGGACTGGTGTCATGGGATGTGGCGGCCGCCTCAAATGCAAGAGCAGCTGGATCAGGCCAGTCGCCCACCTAGTTTAGCCTCCTGTTCCCACAGGGGCCAACGAGATGCCCTTATTGGGAAACCACGAGCAGAATCCGAGTACCAGAGCAACTCTCCCGCAGCCGGGATTCAGAGGCACTCAGCCACCCCCACCATCAATTGTCCTAACCCTCTTTGAGAGCCATCCAAGCTGGTGGTCATCACTGTGGGAGGGAGTTCCACAGGTCAGTTATCTGCTGTGTGAAGACAGACTTTCTTTCGTCCTTCCCGAACCTTCCACTATCAGGAGCAAAAGGTGAGCGCTGCCGGTGGGCTGAGGTTCTGGCGCTGCACAGTGCCCAGACAGACCCAGGGCAGGGATCCAGGAACTCCTCCCTCTCGCCCCCAAGAGGGGTGCCGCCTGAACAGGCTGGCACGGCTTGCAAGGCAATGCAGGCCCTCCAGGGAGGTGGGAGGGAGTGCCAGGAATGAGCCACCCCTGGAGAATTCCTCCCTGGTGAGGATGCGGGCTGCAGGCTGGATCTTTCCTTCCTGGGAATGCAGTGCCCCCCCCCACCTCCAAGGTTATGCAACGGCGAGCAGCACCTTCCTAGCGGGCGCCCAGCCCTGCCCAGGAAGCGAGGGAAGGTGTTGGCATCACCCGCGCCCACAGCAAGGTGTGTCCCTGGCGGCTCCATCCATCCCATCCAGAAACATCTGCATCCCTCCTGCTCAGGGAAATGGCTCCTGGCAAATCCCCCCCTGCGCGCCCGGCCTCCAGGCTTCCGGGTGCCCCCGCAGCGCCTGCCCCAGATGCCCTCTGCCCGCGGTGCCCCGGGGCCTGGATTCAGATCCTGCCCCACGGCGGGTGGCTCGCCTGGCCTTTGGGGTGGACCCCGGGCAGACCTCGGCATGGCTGGCTGAGCAAGAGAAAGGGAGACAGGTTGCCACGGCAGAGCGCAATGCGCGAAGCTGGAGCCGGCGCTCTCCAAAAGCGCAGGCCGCGCGCTGCAGGCGCCCCGGGAGCGAGTCCCGCCTGCGGGGAATCTCCCAGCGGCAAAGGCACCTGGCGGAGCGCAAGTCCGGGATGGGGGGCTGGACGGGGGCTCCCCCGGGAGGGCGCTCCCTCGCTTCTCCGCCAAGCGCCTGCCTCTGAGCACACGCAGAGCGCGCCTGCCCCGGAGCAGGAGGGAGCCCCGCGCGCGGCCCCGGGAGGCCCGTCCGCCCCCTCCTCCTCCTGGGCCAGAGGATGGGAGGCAGCCCCCCCACCCCAGTCCGCCCCCGGCTCGTCTCCCGGCCCCGGGAGGCTCCAGCTCCGGCCCGCCGGTGCCTCGCGCGCGCTCCTTCTCCTCCCGCGCCGCCGCCGCCTCGCGCGCGCGCGCCCGTCACTCACCCGCTCCAAGAGCCCCGGCAGCAGCAGCAGCAGCCTCAGGCGCGCGCCCGCCAGCCCGGCCCCTCCAGGTCCGAGGAAGCAACCTCGGCTCGCCAAGCAGGGGGAGCGCATGCGCAGCTGGACCCTGCGCGCTCCCGACTCCGCCACGTGCACGGCAGGAAAGCCCCCGCCCCCTGAGAGGAGAACGGGGGCCCCGCCCAGGCGGACAGAGGGAGGGGCAGAGACCCCCAGGGTCGGAGGAAGGCAAAGGCGCGCACGGGATGCCTGCTTTGCGCGCAAGAACCGCCAGAGCGCGCGGATCCAACGGGGAGCTCCGCGCGCCCCGCAGCCGGCGCTGGGACTGGAGGAAGCCTGGCTGCTAGCCGGCGACAGCCTCCGCCTCCGCCCGGAATTTGTGCAATCCTCTTTCCGCAGGATCCTAGAATTGTAGAGTTGGGAGGGATCTAGTCCAGCCGTCCAGACTGGGGGCCATCCTGCCTCCATAGTCTGACCAGGCGCGGGGGGAAGAAGAACTTCCTTTGACCTGCCCTCCATCTTCCTGGGATGCTCACAAGTTCCAGCGCGACGAGGAACTTTCTTCCATGCCAGGTGGAACTGGGTATCAACTTCCATCCCGTCCCAGCTCCGAGGCAGCAGGCGAGGCTTTCACCGCCTTCCCTTGACGCGCGGGGGAGATCCCGGCAAGGAGGGGCCGGTGCCTTCCCAGACGAGGCACCCAGAGTTTGCAAGGTGCCTCGTTGTGAAATGTGTTTCCCCTTGACCTTAAACCCACAAGAGGCTGAGGCACCAGTGGAATGAAGGTTGGCTTATTCTCCGAAGCTGCAGATCCCACGGGACAGGCGCACCTCGAAGGAAGGAGCGAGAGAAGGAGAAGGGAGTGTGGCACTAAAAAGAAAGAGGGAAAGGGAAGGTTTCCTCTGTCCTGAAGCAGAGCAGTTACAAATGAATAACATATGAAGGAGAGAAAATAATAGTAATATAAACAATCACAACAGGTACAGAGCCGTCCCTCCAAAGAGGAAAATATAACAGAAGCAACCCCAGTTGTGGTTCATTGAATGCACAATAGCCAGCTGAAAGTATCATTCATAGACTTGTAGAATAAGGTTACCAGGTGTCCCCGTTTCCCAGGGACAGTCCCAGGATTTACAAATCAGTCCCCATACAAAATCCATTGAAGTTGAAAAGTGTCCCTGGATTCATTGAAAAAAACCTGGTAACTTTTTACTCGGCTTGATGGGAAAGGAGATTAAGACAAAAATCAAAGACTGTTTATGTACGCCACAGGTGCTGCAAAGACTTTGTTGGCCCCAAACTGGAAATTAAAGGAAGTTCCTACGATTGCGGAATGCCAGACGAAAGTGACTATGTGGAATTAGCCAAACTGACGGGAAGAATTCGGGATCAAGACAATCAGAGATTCCAAGAAAATTGGAGTAAATTTATTGTATATTTAAAAGATAGCTGTACAAATTTAAGGACACTAGCAGGACTGAAGTAACTCCTACAATGTAGATGAAAAAAGTGAAAAGATAAAATACGTGAATGGATGTGATATGGGATACCAGCTGAAGAGAGGGAGGGAAGTCACAAGCTTGGCAGAGCTAAAATGGTTTTGTGTTGATTAAAGTATTGGAAGAAAGAATATGTAAAGAAAACAATAAAAATTTATTGGGGGGGGTGGAAAGAAAAAAATCTGGTAACCTTATCGTAGAATCCTAGAATTGCAGAGCTTTAATAATAAAAAATAATAATAAAATTTTATTTATACCCCGCCCTCCCCAGCCAAGACCGGGCTCAGGGCGGCTAACAACCAATAATAAAAACAAGTTGATTAAAATACAATTTAAAAGATTACGATACAACACTAAAACATTAGGATGCAGCCTCTTCACAGGAGGCGAAAGGAAAAAGAAAGAGGGAGGGAATCAAATTGGCTCCAAGCCAAAGGCCAGGCAGAACAACTCTGTCTTCCAGGCCCTGCGGAAAGAAATCAGATCCTGCAGGGCCCTGGTCTCATGAGGCAGAGCGTTCCACCAGACCGGAGCCAGAGTTGAAAAGGCCCTGGCTCTGGTTGAAGCCAATCTAACTTCCTTAGGGCCCGGAACATCTAGTCCAACCCCCTGGGATCCAGGAATCATAGCTCCAGATGCTCTGACCTTCATTTATAAACCTCCAAGGAAGGAGAGTCCACAGCCTCCCGAGGGAGACCGTTCCGCAATATTGCCATGTGGACGGAAGCCATGCTCAGTAGACGTGCATATTCCACAAAAGGAATTTGGTTCCCTGAAAGTTTGTGCTTTCCTTTCCAGCAGGGGGCTCTCAGTGCCAGGCTCTTAGCTTGCGCATAAGCAGAGTCCTACATTTGCGACAGCCGAGCCTCAAAGAGATTTACATTAAGAGTCTTCCTGCGCCTGACATTTATTAATCCGGCGGCAGTTAACAAACGGGTAATAAGATCTTTATTAGGCATTCCTTGGGCTTCTAAAGAAAAATAAGGTAATCATGCTATTTTGGGATCTGATTGGACTGGGGATTTCATCATCTGGTTTATGGTCTGGAAACCTTTTTCCTAATAGGGAACAGTCTTTAGAAAGCACCAGCAAATGAGGTACAGGGAGCCAGGAAGATTGCAGTCCTGATAAGCTGAGCACACCAGGCTCCCTCCTGCCCAGGAACCCAGAGAGGTTTTATTTTTTGTGGGGGTGTGTGTGTTCCTGGCTGGTGGCGTTGTGTTCCCTACCTTGGCCAGAAGCAGGAGCAGCAGCTTGCAGGGAGAAAGCTCTGTAAAGCAGGAAACTCCATCCAAGAGTCACAGAATCATAGAGTTGTAAGGGACCCCCAAAGGTCATCTAGGCCAACCCCCTGCAAGGCAGGAATCTCAGCTCAAGCATCCATGACAGGTGGCCCTCCAACCTCTGCCCAAAAACCTCCAAGGAAGGAGAACTCTGAACAAAGAGCTGATTCCAGTAAGAACATGCCTTATAGCAAGTCCCACCACTGGTCCGTTGAGCTCAGTATTTATACTGTTATGGATGAACATAATTGCACCCCCTTATAAAACCCATAGAATGCATGTAGAGGGCCTTCTTGGTGTTGGCACCCTCCCTGTGGAACGCCCTCCCGTCAGATGTCAAGGAAATAAACAGCTCTTTGACTTTTAGAAGACATCTGAAGGCAGCCCTGTTTAGGGAAGCTTTTGCTATTTGATGTTTTATTGTGTTTTTAATATTTTGGACTCACAGCTGTCCATGGAGGCACAGGTCAATTCTGTGTCCAGGGCAGGTGTCTGCTGGCTCCATCTGGTACGCAGGATGTGACCCTCCCTGCCCATGGACTGTCTGGCCAGAGTGGTGCATGCTCTAGTTATCTTCCGCTTGGACTACTGCAATGCGCTCTATGTGGGGCTACCTTTGAAGGTGACTCGGAAACTGCAATTAATCCAGAACGCGGCAGATAGACTGGTGACTGGGAGTGGCCGCCGAGACCACATAACACCGGTCCTGAAAGACCTACATTGGCTCCCAGTATGTTTCCGAGCACAATTCAGAGTGTCAACACTTCATTCATCACACATCAGCGGGTCCAGTGGAGAAACGTGCCTTGTGGAAATCATCCAATAAGCCCGTGAAACTCTTATCAACGGAAAACACTGTAAATGTTCAAATAAACCATTTTATTTGTACAAAAGGGTAGAAACTCAGACTACAAAGACATGGCTGGAGTGGTCCTGAGCCCTAGGGCTGGTCAAAGCGAGAGGAGCCATCATCCCCAAAGCACAAGTGCCAACTTGGACCTCTCCCTCTTGGCTGCCAGAGGGCAAGGCTGGACCAGATGGACAAGCAGAGAGTCACCCACTCACAATCAGGGACTATTTGCACAAGAGACTGGGCCAAGAGAAATGAACTAACGTGACTGTAATGTAAAAGAAAACGGGAATCCTTGCTTCAAGGAGGAAAGATGAGCAATACACTGACATCTTGACTGAAAGGTGAAAAGCCAAGGACTTAAGTTTCTGTCTATCACAGAACCATTTTGTGACATGGCATGGCATTTAAATTGTGTTTTATGGAAATGTTTTTGGGGAAATTGTAGCTTTTAAAAGGGTTGCACACCTTTGTCCGGGGTCTCTTCTTTTCGCTTGCTGGGGGGGGGGGGTTTGCAACAATAAAGATGGGGCTTAATAGCTTCATATACCTGGCTGCGGTCTCTTGGATGGTTATGACTGGCAAAAGGACCTCCCAAGATCACCAGATCGCAGAGTGGAATGTGCTGTACTCAGTGATCCTCTTTTTTTGTGATAGCCTTTTTAAATTTTTCATAAATAACCAAAATAAAAACAACAGCAACAACACAACAGAAGATAAAGGGGGTGGGGAATCATATGCTAAATTTTAAAAACCATATTCTTTTTAGTAGACTTCCCTCCCCCTCTTGGTTTCATTATATTAAATAATAATAATAATAATAATAATAATAATAATAATAATAATAAATTTTATTTATATCCATCTCCAATCATTTATATCCAATCCATCTCTCAGGAAGAAGTCCTTGAGGCAATGGAGATCTTCACAGACTTGGCAGAGGGTCAGGGCAGCTCATGTCCTGGAGTTGCATATGTCCGCTCCTCTCCAGGGTTTTTCCCAAGCAAGCAGAGACTGCGCTTGTGTGAAGTTCTTCTCTTCTCCACCCTTTTCCTGCCTCTTCTGGTTCTGAGAGACCAGGAGGGAGGGGAGTTTGTGGCTGCAGGAGGGGGAGCCTGACTCGCCTCTGCCTCTTGGCCTCCCTCTTCCCTCCCTCCTGCTTCAGCTTCGGCCTCTGATTCTGGACTGCCCTCTCCACAGACTCTCCCCGCTCACTAAGCCCTGTTACCTTCTCAGCTTCTGACCCCTCTTTTCCTCAGTCTTCTCGCTCTGACCTCCCATCGTTGTCCCACCCCCTCTCCCCAGGCTCTCAGCCTTCTGCCCTTGATGGTTCCCCAGCTGGTTCCTCCCATCATTTCAGACAGAAGATGAAAATGAGTCAGGCTTTGGGGAATCAGATTCATTGGCAGCAAAGAAGCAGCTAAAAAAAGGGGAGTTCTTACCCATTAGTTTATTCAATAATCACGAGAGACAAAGGAATGTGGTCTCTCTCTAGAAATGGCCTTGCTCAAAGTAAAGTCCCCCCAACTTTGCCTCCCCTATTCTGTGTTGGCCAGTCTGAGCCTTCTGCAGCTGAGCTCTCTGTTCTGCTATCCTCAATGCCTGTCTTGTCTTGGGAGAAGGGGTGGGTGGGGGTCAGGAATGCTTTCCAAAGACCCTGAGTCTGTCAGCTGTCTCTCGCCGGTGCTTCTTCTTCTTCCTCTTCCAATCTTCCCCAGCTTCTACCCTCCGCAGCCTCTGAACTACGCCCTTCTGAAAACACCTGATCCAAATCCATACTGTCCTCCAGAACCAGCCAGGATGGCCCAGATGAGGATCAGGAGCATAAAAAACAACAACATGACGTTTAAGGTATCTTGTTGGAATCAGCCTGTGAAAAAGATTTTCAGTCCAGGAGGCTTGTAGTCGTGGCAGTTATTATAGGTTCATTTTCATCATTCATGACTTATGCAAAATAAAGAGAGATTTATATCGATGGAGCATTAATCTAAAAACAACTGTGTGTGTTTCCTTTCTGCAGTGCTGGGTAGAATCAACATGCAATACTGTAAGAATCCAATGCCATCTTAAGTTCTTGTTCCCAGGTGCTCCTTTGTATTCAGATCAGGCCTCAGCAGAATAACGTAGCACTTGGGGAGGAAGATGCAGCCCAGGAGCCCAGCACTGGAGGCCAACATAGAGAAGATCTGCACGGCCACCATGTACTTCCCCTTGGTGCTCAGGTAGGTGGGCACAAAAGACACCCAAACACTGCAGAAGACCAGCATGCTGAAGGTGATCAGCTTGGCTTCGTTGAAGGAGCCGGGCAGCTTCCTGGCTAGGAAAGCCACAGCGAAGCAGATGGCAGCCAAGAAGCCTAGGTAGCCAAGGGCAACATAAAACATGACCACAGAGCCTTCGTTGCATTGCAAGATGATCTCTTCCACCTGGGAGTGCATGTCAGACTCTGGGAATGGGGGAGAAGAGCCCAGCCAGATGGTGCAGATGAGAACTTGCACACCAGAACAGGAGATGACAATGGAGGTGGCCAGACTCTTCCCTAGCCATCTCCTCACCCTGTTCCCTGGCCTTGTGGCCAGGAAGGCCAGCACCACCATGATGGTCTTGGCCAAGACAGAAGAAACAGCAACGGAGAAGATGATGCTGAAGGCCGTTTGTCGGAGAAGGCAGGTCTCTTTCCTTGGGCGCCCGATGAAGAGGAAGGAGGACAAAAAGGAAAACAGGAGGGAGACGAGCAGGATGTAGGAGAGGTCCCGGTTGTTGGCTTTGACTATTGGGGTTTCTTTGTATTTAATGAAGATTCCTAACACAATGCCTGCTGTAGAAGATAAGAAGAGGACAATGGAAGCTAAGGTGATCCCCAGATGTTCTTCATAAGCCAGGAAGGTGATAATCTTGGAGACACATTGATCTCTGACCTTGTTTGGATGCTGATCTTCTGGGCATTTGGTGCAACGTTCTGCATCTGAGGAGGAGGAAAAGAGTGGCTTCAGCATCCCTTACATCCATGACCACCTGTGCTCCGGAAATAAGAATGTGTAAAGAGTGGCAAGCAATTCTTTGCTCCTTTTTTGCAAAGGGCAAAAATATTCCCTCTCTTGTAATCCTTCTCACCCACCTTCTTGGTTGGACATGGTTCCTTCCGCACATGGGTCACAAGCATAGCAGCAAACAGGCTTTCCTTCTGGAACCACCTTTGCAAATCCAGGTTGACATATTTTGCTACACCTGGAACGAGGCACGGCCTAACCATGAAGATAAGAAAGTGCATGGAAAATCAATAAACATGATACAGGGAGAGGGAAAGGAGGTGAATTTTGACAGTTTGGAAATGACCTAATAAGATCTCTTGTCCCCTGAGCCTGTCCACCTTTTGCATAGAAGCATCTCTTTGTTCATTTGTTCATGCAAGTTTTATATCACACATTTATATACAATTCAAAATGTTGGTGCTGATCTTTAAAGCCCTAAACGAACTTGGCCCTGTACGCTTGAAGGTGTGTCTCCTTCCCCTTTATCCAGCCCTGACCCTGAGGTCCAGCTCCAAGGGCCTTCTGACGGTTCCCTCCCTGTGAGAAGCGAGGTTACAGGGAACCAGGCAGAGGGCCTTCTCACTGGTGGCGACTTCCATGTGGAACAACCTCCCATCAGATGTCAAGGAAATAAGTAACTAGCTGACTTTTAGAAGGCAGTCCTAGACAGAGAAGTATTAAATATTTGAGGTTTTATTGTACCAATTGGCTGTTCAGGGCTTTAATGCGGTTTTGCCAAACTTTAGGATTCGGATAATGTCCCACATGCCAAACCACAGGGTGCATACACCTGGGTGTAAGATTTGGGGTTTAGAGAAAACCAGCCACCAGCCTATTTTGATGCTTTGGGGGACCGGACAGGAGAGAGAGAGAGAGAGAGAGAGAGAGAGAGAGAAGAGAAGAGAAGAGAAGAGAAGAGGGCTGGGTGCTGCTTTCTTTCTTCCCCAGGTGAACAGAGAGCGGAACCTGGCTGGGAAACATAGTCTGCCTTTTCTCAGGATGTCTGGGCGCTAGCGCATTCTTGAGCCTCCAGATTCCTCTCCCCTCTCAGCTGCTGTGGCAAGAAGGAGCAGCGCTGGCAGCTGAAACTGGGTGGAAAGGACACCATTGGTCCCCCTTATAAGGTCATTTGGCAAAAGAGGCTCCAGGAAGAGCATGAGCAGGATCTCCTAGTCTTCTTCCTGGGTAACATCCCCTACCTTGTGAAACTTCTCAGGCCACTCAATGGCTTCTGGGTTGATGGTGAACTTGATGCCAGTAGATGCCTCTCTACTTGTACTGCCAATCTTCACCAAAGCACGAGACTTATTGGGAAACATCACCCAATTCATGATATCAAAGTCAGGAGGCAGCTCCCAATTCTCATCCAAACACATTGTGCCCCTGGAAGTATTCAAACACTGGATTTCTTTTAAGAAAGGGTGGAGCTGGAATGACAGCAGCATTTTATTCCTCCTCACTTGGAGCAAGGGGCTTTCCAAAATAAAATTAATACAAATAATAAATAAGATTAATACAAAAGGCAATAAAATCATTTCCCTTTTAAAAAACAAATTGCCTAAGGAAATACCTGCCATGGCTGAAGCCTTCCCTGTTCCCATTTGGCTCCTTCTCCCACCATCAGCATCCGCCGTGGTCTAGATGAAAACGCAGCATTTAAGGCCTGGGCTGCAGCTTGAACATTGATGTAAGTGCCATAGTTGTCTCCAGACAGAGCGCTCTCAATCTCCTCTTGGGGCAAAGACTCCCGTTCCTCCTTCTCTCTGCATCTTATCTGGCCTTTCGGGGATAAAACATGCTTGGAATATGAACAGTGAAATGCTACACTCCAAAAAAGGAAAAAATTACGGAACAGAGATTCATCATAACCATGTTTGGTGCTCCTTATCCTGGTCTTAATTGTGAAAGAGAGAGAACCTTGAATGTACCGGATGTACCTAGGAGAGAAAGTCAAGCTAACGTTGATGTCCTGGAAAGCAGTTGTTATCCAGACTGTTCCCGGTATTTCCTTCTTCCAATATTCCTCAATACTTATACATGTTTCCATTATTAAGAAAATTTCCTTTGTATCAGTTACATAGCAAACAAATACCCCGACTTGTCTCCTGTTGATAACAGCTTCACTTGGGTCCATTACTTGAAATAAATCCTCTTCTGTATATATTTTTGAGAAGGCAATGCAGATCCCATTTCTGATCATCAGAGGTGTCATAGTCCTCACGAACTTTTCTCCACTGTCATTGTCTGGAGCCAAGAGACCAACCCACGTCCATCTGAAATGGAGGAGCAACTCCACGATCCCCTGGTACTGACTTTCCTCTTTGGGGAGCATCTGGTAGACGAAAGGGAACTGTGTTTTATCTTCAAGAACCTGGGCTGTGAAGCCATAACTGAGCTGGTGAAGAAAGGAAAGAGTAATTGTTTGTTTTACTTTCATGGAAGGGAACAGAAAGAGTAATTGTTTTGCTTTCAGGAAGGGAGTAGATATTTAGTAATCTGAAATGATTAATATCTAACCACAGTTGTGCTGCTGGGATCAATGGGAGCTTTATTCCGAAACATCTGGTGGTGTCAGGAACTCTTCAGATGAGAAGAAGAGGTGGAGACCCTCAAGAGTCTTCCAGGGAGGGGGCAGAGGAAGACAGCATGGAGCCAGGTTTGTGGTGGTGGGAAAAGGACCCAGCCCAGAAGACGAAAAGAGCTGGGGAATGTTGGAAGGTGAGGAGCAAGGGCAAGGTAGCAGATTCACCAGCCCTGAAGAGAGACAGGAGTCAGATGCAGTGGAGACAAGATCAGAGCCAGTTGAGACTAGGTCCCTTGGGAGCCTGCTAGATCTTCCTCCTTCCTCCAAAACCAGGCGTTTCACCCACATCACAGAGCAGAAAACGACCCAGAGGCAGAAGGGGTCCCTTGGCCGCCACCGTAGGAGCAGGAGGGGTCTGATATGCAAGCTGGGGCAAGGAGGAGGGGGCACACTGGGCAACAGCTCCAGCCTGGAGGGAACATACTTTGTGGTTCTCTGTCTGTTTTGCTTGATACTAAGAAGTGAAGGGATAAAGACGCTCTCTGCCTGCCTGGTTCCCCTTGCCAGTACTTTCCCTGTCAGCTCCCTCCCTGTCAGGTGGGGGCCAAGTAGGAAAAGGCTCGGTACATTCAAAAAAGAGTGTTGGATTTCATTCCATTTATTATATTTCTGTGTTGCTTTTCATTCACAAAAACCACAAAGCGGCTCATGAACAGCAAAAACATAATAGAACATCACAAATACAACATAATTCATATAGAATAATTTACAAATCATCAGTAAAACAATTATGTTCTATAAGACACTCTTAACAAAACAACAGTACAATTTCAACAAAAGTAACATTATATGATTAACAAAATACCACAGTATGTATAATCTATGGAACAATATTAACACCCTTAACAAACCAGCAACCAGAAATGAACCGAGCACTCCTGAATTCATGCACCCAGTCTCCCCACCGCATGACTCATGATCTTTCTCTCGATTCATTTCACTAAAAGACACATGCAGATCATGTCCATGGCAGCAGCTCAGGGCTGGAAGGTGGGGCAAGGCAGGTGGGAGAAGCCTTGGCCGGATGGCCAGCACATAGCTCAGGGTTTCCCCCCTTAACTCCCCCCAGGAGAAAGTAGAGGTTCCTCCTGTGCCCCTCCATGCCCTCTGTCCCATTCATACCTGTGGGATTTTGTAGATGCCTGACATGGTGGAAATCTCCTTTGAGATGTCAGAATCACTCCTTCCAAGAACAGCCAGAAGGGGATTCTCTTCTCCGCAGCGATAATTGGGAATGTTTCTTCCGCTGCCTGCAAGCAGCTCTAGCATGGCATCTGAAGTCATCCTGGCATCAAAATAGTTCTCATAGAGGTTGTAGCCAAGGGTGGTGTTGGGTAGGAGCCTGAGATCCCGGTTGATCTCCTGGATGGTGAACAGGAAGGAGAAGATGTGCCAGTAGAACGCAAATGTGTCGCTGCAATGAATGGACCAATTTAAAAGACTCAAACCCTATTCACAGGTGAATGATAACAAAATATTATCCACAAAGATTAGTCTCTATTAAATTATCTTATTGCATTTATATCCAACCCTTTCCTGCCCATTATACAATAAAGATTTGGAGATTTGTTCTCCAATCCAGGAGTGTAGAGGTGGTGTTTTGTGACCAGTGGGTTAGTTAGTCCAAGATCTCAAAACAACTTTACTTAGAAATGAGGATGAGAGAAGAAGAAGAAGAAGAAGAAGAAGAAGAAGAAGAAGAAGAAGAAGAAGAAGAATTATTGTTCTTTTTTAAGAGATCTGACTCCATAGCATGGGAGTCTCCTGGCTTCTATTGTTTATTTCTTCATTTTGTAGAAAGCATATCTTTCCCTCTCTTCAGCTAACAAATGTCACCTGGAAGATCTTAGCATATCATTCTCAAAACTGCTCCATTCCTTAAAGACAATTCTGATGAAGCAGTTTATAAATTGTACAAATAGAATAGTGATAAATCAAAACTTGGCACCTTGGAAACTGCCTGAGTCTCATGCCTCCTCACCTCCTTCCTGCAGGTGGGAAAATCCAGGGGATCCCTTTGATCCCTGACCAGATTCTCTTGCATTCTTGTGTCACCAAGCTCCAAAAGCAACCCAGTAGCATGAGAGGGAGAGTATTTTACTAGGGAAGATGCAAGGAACTGGGAGAGGCTTTGGGGGAAATCTTTTACTGGACTCCAACTCAGCCCCGGTGGGGCGGCAATTGGGTTGTTGTTTTTATTTTTCTCAGGTATTTTGTGGTTTTATATCTTGATTTTATTCTGTGAACTGCCCTGAGACCCCCGGGTATAGGGATATCTATACATTCTAACAACAACAACAACAACCATCGAGGCCAAGGGTCGGTCAGGCAAGAGGGGGTTGTAATCCAGCGATCTCTGGAGGACCCCAGACTCTTGAGAAAGGGGCTCTCTCCTTCAGAGATAGGGACCAGGGTCCCTTAAGGACTTTGACATCCCTCTGTAATGAATTACTTACTCCACAATCCTGGTGAAGGGTGTCTGGGAGAAGACATAGGGATCATATTCTAAAAAATCTTTTGGAGATACGATTCCACCAATGAGAAAGTCTCCATGCTGGTAGTACAATTGTGAGCATCAGTTTCAGACTCCCCAGCCGTGAGATAGGGGCTCTCTCCTTCAGAGATAGGGACCAGGGGAGGTTAAAGACTTTTACATTCCTACGTAAAGAATTACTTACATCAAATGGTTGGTGAAGGGTGTCTGGTTAAAGACATATGGATTATGTTCCAAAATATATTGTGGAGATACGATTCCACCAATGAGGAAGTCTCCAGGCTGGTAGTAATTGCGAGCATCAATTTCATCTCTGATCAGATTCAAGGGGCATTTTGCCTTCTGCTTCACACAGACTCCTTGGGAGCAAATTAGCAGCAGGAGCAGCAGGGATCTCATCCTGGCTCTGCCTCCTTCACGTCTGTTGTGTGTGGCTCCTCTTCCTTCTCAACCCAGCCAAGCAGGAGAATCACAAGACTCTCGCAAGACCAAATCTGCAGTGGCTTTCCTGGGGTGGGTGGGGGGCTCAGCTCTGGCTTCCCTCTTCCCCCCCCCCCAGCCCTTCACCTGCTCCAAATCCCGACTCACTCTGTCTCCAACACTTTTTCTTTTCCAGTCCAGGTACAATTAATAATGTCATGCTGTTGGTGCTTCTGATGCAACCTCCAGAAATATCTCTTGGGCTTTGAGGAGAAGAAATCACTATGATTTTGGTAATTATAAGTGGAAGAAATTTCACCTAGACAACTTTCTGGCGTCTTGAATCCTCAAGCAGCAGCTGCAGAGCTGGAGGAAAACATGTTTGCAATGCTGCTCTAACATTTGCCATAAATCAAGGGGGGGGGGCAGAGTTTGGCCTGTTGCAGGAACCCCTCCCCCAACCATTCAGTTGCACAAGCACTACACACACACACACACACACACACAGACAGACACACAACACACACACACACACCACTTCCTTTAATAAACTTTATTTGAAAAGCCTTCCGTAAACAAGGAAGCACTTGAATTGTAAGTCTATCCCCACGGGATAGACCAATGAGTGTAACGGAATAGCGCCCCTTGTGGCGACCAAGCGGGTACTGCAGGGCCGACGTCTACCTCTCAGTAACTATTGACAGCTGCTCATACAATGTATCTGGGTTTAATTGACCATGACTTGTCCTATCCGAATGTATCCAAGGGTTTCCTCTTGGAGCGAAAGTGTTTTTACCTCTGTAGTGTTTCTGTTATAAATTCAAAGAAATTCAGCTGTACATCGGATCTGTACCGTTCCACTTTTGTTTTGCACCTTGGAAGAAGGACTATCAAAGGGGGAGGCTTGACATAGGGCAGCCATAATCCCCCAAGCATACCAACACGTCCGCAGCGAGCCCACCCCAGCGGGCGAGCCCACATTGATGGTGCCAGAAAGGGGAACTTGCATATGGAAGTGGATTCAGTACAGACCAAAACAAAACAAAGGACAGTGACCAGCCCTTCCCTCTGGGAGCAGGAAACTGTGAACTCCTCTTTGTCCTCTGGAATGTACTCATGGGGAGGGGGAAAGGAGGAACTGGACAGGTGACAGGACACTCAGGTTACCACCTCAACCCCTCCCTCAGCCCCTCCTTTTTGTGATGGATCAATGATGTAGTCTTAGGTGTGTAGCATGGGGGATTAGTAGCTAATAAAAGTTGGGGTCTTCTTTTGTTTGGGACTTCCATCTTGCTTTGTCTTGCAGTGAGTTGGAGTCCTGTTGGGATAGTCTCAATAAAGACCAAGCCTACTGGCTGCTGTTTTGCTCCAATTTTCCTAATTGGTATCCTTGCTTTTTGTCCAAGGGAGCCCTCAGATTTCTCCCTTAACAGTTTGGCGACTGTGCTCAGGGACTCTTGGTTCTCCTATGAAGACGAGGGAGGAGATAGAGGGGATCGGGCGCCACTGGGCAACCTTAGCCCAGGGATCCTTTTTCTCTCCCTGCCTTCCCTTTGTGGGAGGTAATCAACTGTCACCAAAGGCTCAGCTAGGAGGAGCAAAGGCAAGGTCAAGCTGGCCAACTAAGGATCCCGGGATCCACGAGGGATGTTCCTAGGACGTGAGTATGGTTTGAAATTAGTGCACTGGGAGGGGTGTGTGTGGAAGGATAACATCTCCATGACAACCAAAGCTTTACTTTTTTCCCCACTCCCCGACCTGATCCCTCGGAGTACGGCCAGAGAAGGTCATGGGAAACCTTTTTCTCTCTCTCCTCAACCCGATCCATCAGAGTTTGCCCAGAAAGGGTCGTGGAAAACTCACCACTTTCCTGAACGATACCCTTCGACCCCATCCTTCGGACTACGGCCAGAGAAGGTCGATGGGACTTTACCTACTCCTATACTCTTCTTTTCTCCTTAAATCAAATGAAGCCGCACCTCTGGCACGATGACCCTTGTTGGGATGACTCGTGTACGTGAGAACGCAAGGTTGTTTGTTCCTTTCCAAACTTTTGTTTTCTCGGGTCCCAGTCTGGCATTGCGATGTGCAAGTGTCCACTAGAGAAACCCGAATCTAGCATTTGAGTTCAGGCAGAAGGTTGTTGTGGACGGTAGAGCGGGAAGTTCACCGAAGAAGACAGGGCCCCGCACTAGGATTAGTTTTATGAGCAGCTCTGAGTGAATTCTGGATCTGTGGTTTTTCTGGGTTAAGAGACCTGTGGTTTGCAGGCCAGTTGCCTGTGGTTTTAATTGTACGCAGGGATTGCCTGGTTTTAGATTTCTGCTAGCCTTCTCTGGTCCAATTCGTCGGAGTTTGCCCAGAAAGGGCCACGAGGGGCACCTGAGTGTTAGACTGAATACTGATAGGACATTATTTTCTCTCCCCACCTCTTTGTCCCTCTCTTGTATCTGTTTGTGTATCTCCTTGTATAGTTTGTTATTGAGCAACCCCTCCTCGGTATAAAAGGAAAATTGGAGCTCAACCTTCCAAGCACCATAGCTGGACTCCTCCTGGCAACAAGGCTTCCATGAAGCCTTTTTGCCCAGAGAGGATTCTGATACGGCTCTCCAGTTTGTCATCTCCACCTGGAAAAGTTTAAAGGGGCGAAAGGGTCTTTCCAAGTCCAAATTGAGAGACCTTTGTAACTTTTCATGGGTGGCTTTTATCCATCACCTAGAGGCAGGGTCTCAATGGCCACCTCAAGGCTCTTTTAACGTTACCAAGATGCAAGCACTTAGATCCTACTTAGCTGATGAAAACACCCGACAGCTTTACTACCTAAATGCCTTCGTGGAAGCCCATGAACTCTTTAAATGTAAGCAAGCACAGATTGCTTGACAGATGGCTGTACTGGGGACTGCCAGACCCCCTCCTTATGATGAAATCAGGATGCAAGAGGAACAGTTAGATAGGCCCCTCATCCCCTTTTACTACCCTGAACCAATGGGACCCCTGCCATCCGGACCAGGAGCCAGAGCCAGAGCCGGAGCTGGGGCAGGAGCCATAGACAGCCCGGGGAATCCTGCCCCTGATCTCTCCCAAAACCTACAAATCCCAGCTCAAACAACCTTCTCTGGAATGCACCGGGGGGGGGAACAAGCTAATCCTGACCCGAATGCTCTGCCTGCGGGGGCTCCTTCAGATGAGGAAGGTGAAGAACCGATAGAACAGGAACAGGCACTTGCTGCAGTCGGAGGAGAAGCAAAGTAACTACATCATGGCTCTGCAACTATTAAGCTGGAATTGTAATGGTCTCAACTCCCCTCAGAAAAGGAAATCTGTGTTTCATTTATTAAAAAAGGAACAATTGGACTTGATTTGCTTACAGGAAACACATGTAACAAGGTTACACAGGAAAGTATTGATCAACAAAAGACTGGGCCAGGAATTTAATTCTTCTGATAAAGTTAAAAAAAGAGGAGCAGTGATTTATGCAAAGGAGAGACTATTACCGAAATTTATCTTCAAGGATGAACAAGGAAGATTTGTGGCAATTGAAATTCAAATACAAGGAGAGAAATTCTTAATAGTAGGAGTTTATGCACCAAATGAGGGGAAATCTGAATTCTTTAAAAGGTTGCATGAGACCTTGATGGACTATTTGGATTATAATGTGATTTTGATGGGAGACATGAATGGAGTGGTATCTACACATATGGACAAGGCACAAAGACAGGTAGTCACTAAGGATGGTAGACTACTGAAAACCTTTTTTTTGAAATGACAGACAACTTGGACTTAGTTGATATCTGGAGAACAAAGAATCCCCTGGCCAGAGAGGGAACCTTCTTTTCTGAAGCCAAACTGACATGGACAAGAATTGACCAAATATGGCTAACTAGAGGAATGGCACCAAAGACAAGAAAAGTGGAAATCTGCCCAAAAACCTGCTCCGACCATAATGCTGTTAAGATGGAGATGAAACTAACACCAATCGGCTCCTTCAGATGGAGGATGAATGATGCCTTATTTAGAGATGAAGAAGTCATTAAGAAGGCCCAAAAAACCTTGAGAGACTATTTTGAGATAAATATGAACACCAATGTTGAAAAAAGAGTAATCTGGGACGTAAGCAAAGCTGTTATGAGAGGGTTCTTTATACAACAGAATGCATTAAAGAAGAGAATCCAAAATGAGAAGAAGGATAAAATATTGGAGAAAATAAAAGAAAGTGAAAAGAAATTGAGAGCAAAACCAAAGTCGCAAGAGATTTTGAGAGAAATAAAGTTATATCAAGTACAATACATGAAAATGATGAATCAGGAGATAGAATGGAAAATTAAACAAATGAGACAAAAGACATTTGAGTCAGCTAATAAATGTGGGAAATTGTTGGCTTGGCAAATGAAAAAAAGACAAAAATTAAGTACGGTTACAAATTTAGAAGTGGAAGGAAGGAACATACAGAACCCAGCTGAGATTAGAAACTGTTTCCAGAGGTACTTTAAACAATTATATACACAAGGACCACAGAGAGAAATTGATTTAAATCGATTTTTGAAAACAAATGGATTACAAAAAATCTCTCAAGAAAATAAATTAATACTGAACTATAAAATAACTGAACAGGAGATAGAAGGTGCCATTCAGAATATGCAACTAGGTAAATCTCCAGGACCGGATGGACTGACCTCTAAATATTACAGATCCTTGAAGGAATGGTTAGTACAACCTTTAAAGGAAGTCTGTAACGAAATAATGGGTGGGAAAAGGGCACCAGAGTCGAGGAAAGAGGCGTATATTACACTTGTACCGAAAATAGAGACTGAAAAGACCCAGCTTAAGAACTACCGCTCCATATCATTGCTCAATGTGGATTATAAAATCTTTGCAGACATTTTGGCTAAAAGACTTTAAAAAGTTTTAATGGAAGAGATTCATAAAGACCAAGCAGGCTTTCTCCCAGGTAGACATTTGTCTGATAATGTGAGAAATAT